GAAGGAACGCACGGGAAGGACCTTTCTTGGATTTTGCTCGCCGTGTTCCATGCTTAATGAAGGCTTAATGGCTTAATGCTTATGCTTGCTCCCAACTGGATGTGATACGGCGCAAGGGAAACCTCCCTCAGCGACAGTTTTTTTGGCTAAAAGGAAACTTGTCCAGCTTTGCTGAAGGCAAGCTGGGCAGGTTCCCTTGAGAAGCAGGATACAGTAAATCCGGCATTGCTGTCAGCGTCACAGTCATGCATTTTTGACGCTTAATTTTGACACATTTTTAGCAAGGCGCATGCAGATGTCAAGGAACTGCAGAGAAATCCTTTTTGATGACAAGGGTGACAAGATGGTGGCATGATGGTGGCATGTAGGAACCACTTGCACTAGATTCGGACGGGGCAGAACAGCCATGGGCATGGAATTGCACGAACCGGAGTCTGCCTGCTCTTCTCATGCAGAGGGACTGGATATCTTCAGAGAGTGCGGCACGGAGATAGTTGCAAAGTGAAACAGTTAGCAAACCTTTTGTATTTTTTTGTCGTTTGTGACCTGTTGCATGAGCGACCACATGAGGTGGATACGTGGTGTCCCCAAGCCAAGGCTGTTCAACTTTCCGAAGCTAGTGATTCTGCATCCTCGTCGGAATGTTCCAAAGCATCTCAACAAGAACGTCAAGAACCCTGGACAAAAACACATAGTTGATCAATGTTTATCGTACTTTTTGCATGTTGCCAAGTGCCAAGGGATTGACATTAGAAGTCACTGGCTCTCATCGCTTTGAACCTCTTGCATGAGCTGTCCCTAACCACTTCTCCACAATCCTGTTTTGGACTCGGACTTCATCCTTGAAATGGGCACAGGGAAGTTCAGCATCATGTTTTTCTCTTCGATTTTCTGAGATTCTGTACTCCACCTTCATCAGGGGCAGTTTCAGCTTTCTCTTATTGCGATGTTCAGGAGGAAGGAGTCAACTCAGCAAATCTGCCGACCGCAATGTTGATTGCTCGTACCTGGCCGGAAGTTCCAAGGGAAGTTTTCTCGTGAACTGCGAGTAATTCCTTTTCTGTAAAGAGACCGAAGAAACATAATATTATCAATATATTATCATAATCATAATTCTTTTGAATTGTTTATTTAGGTCTTCAAGCTTTTGCAACTTGGTGCATGGCTACAAAGTCAGACTTCACATGGCAACGGACCGCTTCATGCCGTTTCCCATCTGTTTCCCCACCATTTCCCCCCGCCCAGGTTACATCACCAACATGAAACTTGCATCGCCGGAGGCGGTGTTTTTGTTCGATTGGTTTGGGACAAGAAGTGCTTGTGCTGAAGTGCAGATGTGATGATATGATGATAAACAGAGGCGAAGAGACTGCTTATTAATAGACGCAAGAACCTTTTGATTCATGCGCAATTCAGGAGCACTCGGCAGCTAATGTAGAACTAGCGCTCCATGATGTGGTGAAGCTGATTTTCACAATTTAGATCTATGATGATCTATGCAGACGTCGCCATACTGAGCTACATCATGTCCAGATCACTCAGGGTGCCACAGTTGGCGGTTGCATGCACAAAATAAACACGCCAAAGAGCCAAAAAGCCAAAAAGCCACTGAAAAGCAGTCAGAATCAGCCAGGAAGCGACTGCCGCCACAAAGCAGAAGAGATATTACAGGAGAAGATGAAGACAGAAGCGGCATATGGTAACAAAACAACTACAAACTCTTACACTATATATATATTATATATTATAATCTATTCCATATGCATCATATGCATATATAACTACAATTATATAACTACTATAAACGACTGTAAACTACTATTAATCATTTGAGCACGCTACATAAGTTTGCGGACCAAACGCCGTACAAAGACTGAACATCGCCTTCCCAATCGAGCCAGCAGCTGGTTATGAGCTCATTGGAATGCCAGACAATGAGAACCGTGTATGTGGTCAGATGCTAGCAGCCCCAGTGGTTTCATAGCTATTCATAGCTATTCATAGCTGACATAGCCCGTTTTTTTCATAGCTCGAAGCATGGCCGTGCATACTCTGAACATCTCTGCGCATATTTTGCATAAGTATTGTTGTAATTTAATTGTATTCGGTGGATTTTGATGGTGCGAGGTCCTACGTGCCACCTCCCCTGGCTTTGCCTTGCGTGGTTTCGGTTGGGCCCTCCGAAGGCCACAGACGAAGGACAGCGACTGGATCCGCATGCTCAGCAGAGTAGGGTTATAAGATGTTGTGAGACTAACAATCTGCAGGAGTTTATGAGGATTTCTTCAATACTCTTTTGAATGCGACATATGTATGACACCATATGACATTCAATCTATGGAAATTGTGCGCAGTCCTGGATGGCCAAAGGAGGCTTGTTTGGAGCTCTAGTGACAGATGAAAACATGGCTGCTATCATCCATGTCGGTAACCAAGCAGAATTGCAACAGCTCAGCTGCTGTGCTCCTTTGCAACAGCTCCTCACTTTCAATCTGCTGTGGTGGCAGAGACCGGAAAGCCGCATCAATGCTATGAGGAGATATGAGGAGTAGACTGAGTAGACCTACAAATCAAAAAGGGAGATATCTGAGATATCCCGGTAGGGGAGCCTTGCTCCCCATCCCTTCAGGCCTCAGGAGGCCACCTGCAAATCTAATCAATCCCTGTCACACACCAAGCCACTAAGCATGAAGAAGCCAGATGAAGCCAGCGCCACAGGATCTCTTTAGTCGCAGCTGGCCAGTGCAGTACATCCAGACCTTCTGGCCGCTTCTGGCAGCATTCAACATATTTTAACCAGATTCTGCTTGGTAAACTGGTAAACTTGGACTCTGGTACAAGAGAAAGGGAGTTGACTTCCTAAATGGAGGGGGGTGCAAAGGACCTCATTCCAGTACGGGGTCAGGCACTTTGTTTCGGAGATTTGACGTAGATTTGTTTTGGCAAACTCGCGCGAGTGCTAACAAGTCAACCAACGTGGAAGGAATGCACCGAAATTCTAGCGGCCTTAGTAGCACTGTGTCTCCAAAGTGGTCGCTTCATTCGCCATTCAGCATACTTTCTAAACTCTAAACAGGTTGGACATTTAGACGGGCCCAGAGTCCATGCCTACAAATGTCCAGCATACCTGTAGGAGCTGCTTCACTTGAGGTCACATTCGTGGCACGGAAAGACGGCTATGAAGATGCTGGTGTTGCTTCTTTCATACAACGGAACCCTTCGATTTGCATAGGGTACATTTTTTTGAGTGCAGCGCAAAGCCTCCAAACTCAGCTGTTACCAGATATTTCGAGGATTGTTTTGGGGAACGCCGAGACACACTGTATCATGGAGGCCGGCAGAGGTTGCGCTGCAGCCAAGGCCCAGCTGCAGTGATTCTTGGAACGCTTGCCGCTGCATCTCGACTAAATACAGGGCCACGGGCATCGATGGGCATGGGCAAGGCCCGCAGGCCACAATGAAATTCCATGAAATTCCCATATGTAAAGATGTCAGACCTCCAGAAACGCACGAAAATGCTCAAAAGGTGAATCTGGAAACATGGCGGCTACACCATGGAACATCGGATCATTGTCCTGCCAGTTCTGCCCGATCTCTTTAGAAAATCGCTTCGCTGCTGAGCACAGGCAGTGATGTTCGCGTTCAACTCCTACGGCTACCTCCCAGCATACTCGAAAGCACCGCAGACTTGCAGAAGTGCATGTCTAACATTGTCTAACATGAGATGCCATGCTTTTCCCCAGAAGATTTTGAACTGGAAATCAGACGAATCTGATGGCAGAGAGACAGAGAGAGAGAGAGAGTATTGGTTGATGCAGAGATTGGACGGGTGGACCTGGCACATTGGCAAATCAAAGAAGTTCTGTAACAAGTTCTGTAAAGTTCTACTCAAGACGACCCCTTTGCCAAAGGTTCTTTGGATAGTGCCTGGGACTGGCTTTTAGATGCTTGCCCCTTTTCGGCGCCGCCGGCCCCAACAGGACAAGCTACAGCCATCAGCCCATGTGAGGCAGTTGTGATGCTGGAAGGGGATGAGTTGGATGAGCATCAGCCCATGGAGTATTTGGACATGGCTCCGTGGGCTCTCGGCGCTGGCTGTAACTTGAAACCCCAACCAGGATCCATTGGAACTCGCTCCCTGAGTTGATGCCTTGGAGCCCTTTGAAACCTTTGAAAGCCCAACCAGGCCCTCTTATATATATAATATAATATAATATAATATAATTATAATATAATATAATACAAATATAATATAATATAATATAATTTAATATAATATAATATAATACAATTATAATATAATATAATATAATATAATACAATTATAATATAATATAATACAAATATAATATAATATATCATATAATATAATATAATATATAATATAATATAATACAATTATAATATAATATAATATAATATAAAATATAATATAAAATAAAATAAAATATAATATAATATAATATATATATATATAACATATATATATAGCATTATATAACACACACACATATATATATATATATATATGTATATCGTCTTATCATTTCTTCATTTTGTTTGATGTTGTTTGTTACCGAGCCTGCACTCACACTCAAACCGCGTTTTCAAACTCATTGCTTTGACCTCGCAAAGCGAGCGACCATGCTGAGGCATCGTTTCCATTTTGGTTCTTTTCCTGTGGCCAGCGCCTGGCTCAATCTTCGTTGACCGCATTTGCATACATCAAGAAGATCCAGACCTAAAAGGAACCTTGGATCATCTTGGATCGCTTGATATCGCCTGGTTCTCCAGCAGCCGGTTCGAATTTTACATGATTTTACACGACACACTGCCAGAATATCCAGAGTGCCTGTCGAGAAACAGTATATACATCCTTCAAGTTGCCAGACTATCACTTACCGGCAAAAGTGGGGAAATTGATGCAGCAATATACAGTGTACAGACATGTATAGACTATATATAGATCTATATAGACCGAAATAGTGAGGATATTTCTGGCCAACAAAAGTGTTTTGTGCCTGTTTCATAAATTTCATCTTCAAGGCAAATGTTGAAGTCAACCTGGCTGGGGATGGTTTCGGTCAGGGGTTGGCCAGTAATTGATGACACACTTCGCATATCTTCCCAATTCTGAAGCCGCGCAAATTTGATGTGGGCTGAGGCAAGGGCATCATCAGCATCGGTGGATTCATTCGCTATTCACGTGATATGATGGTTCTGCGGGATTCCACGTATGTGGAAAGGCACCTAAAGCTGCTGTGAGCTGCTGAAGAAAAGCCTGGGCGACATGTAATGTATGCAATGCCACGCTAAAGAGACGCAGTTATTTTGAAGAAAAGCTATGAACAGCTCATGTTGCTGAATCCTCTACATCTAATGTATATATATAATTATATGTTATGTATGTAGCATATGCACACACACACATATATACATATATACATATATATGTGTATGTATATATGTATAATTATATTATATTATCGTGTGTGTCAATGTGTATAATGTTGGATGCTGATTATTGCAGCCCCCCCTCCCAAACAATTTTCGGATCCACTTTAGGGTGGAATTTTGTAAGTGCCAGGTCCTCAACAAAATGTGATCAATTGATTTCAATTGATTTTCATGATTTCAATTTACTTTCAATTTACAGTACTTTCAATTGACTTTCAATTGATTTTCAATTGATTTCAACTTACTTTCAATTGATTTCAATTTACTTTCAATTGATTTCAACTTACTTTCAATAGTTTTTATTTTATTTTCAATTTACTTTCAATTGATTTCAATTGATTTCAATTGATTTTCAATTGATGTCAACTTACTTTCAATTGATTTCAATTTAGTTTGAACTTATTTTCAATTGATTTCAACTTACTTTCAATTGACATCCCATAGTAATCCCATAGAAATATCATAGACATATCATGGAAATCCCACAGGAACCCCACAGAAATCCCATAGAAAGATCATAGCAATAACATGGAAATAGCATAGGAACCACAAAGAAATCCCATAAGAATCCCATAGAATTCCCTCAGGAACCCCATAGTAATCCCATAGAAATATCATGGAACTCCCATAGGAATGCCATAGGAATCCCGTAGGAATCCCAAAGAAATCCCATAGAAACATCATAGAAATACCATAGAAATCCCACAGGAATCCAATGGAACCCCCATAAGATACCATAGAATTCCCATAGCATCCCTTCAGAAATCACATAGTAATCTCATAGAAATGTCATAGAAACATCATGGAAGTTCCATATTAATGCCATAGGAATCCCATACTGTAGAAATCCAATAGTAATACCATAGAAATATCATAGAAATCCAATAGAAATTTCATGGAAGCCTGACAGAAATCACAGAAATCCCATAGAAAATTTATAGACATATTATAGAGATCTCATAGAAATCTGATAGAAATCCAATGGAAATCCCATAGAATTCCCTTTGAAATCCCAGAGAAATTCCAAAGAACCACCATGGAGATCCTATAGAAATCACACAGGAATCCAATAGAAATCCCATAGAAATATCATAGAACTCCAAAAGAAATATTAGGGACATCCCAAAGAAATCCCACAGGAATCCAATGGACATCCCATAGTAATCCTATAGAAATATCATAGAAATACCATGGAAATCTCGCAGGAATCCAATAGAAACCCCATAGAAATATCATAGAACCACCATAGAATTTCCAAAGAAACTTCATGGACATCCCATAGAATTCCCAAAGAAATCCTCTAGAAATACCATAGAAATCCTTTTTAAATCCCATAGTAATCTCCTAGAAATATAATAGCAATCCAAAAGAAATATCATGGACATCCCAAAGGCATCCCATAGAAATATCATAGGCATACCACAGAAACCCCATAGGAATCCAAAGGAAATCCCATAGACATCCCTTTGAAACCCCATAGGAATTCCACAGAACTACCATAGACACACCTTTAGAAACACCATAGAATATCATAGAAACACCATAGCAATTATATACATAGAATTTCCATAGAAATGTTATCAAAATCCCATAGAAACACCAGATTAATCAAGGAGAGGATGCCAGCAGAATTGAAGTAAGTAAGAGACAAAAGCTATAGCAAAGGAAAGGAGAACATGATTTTGTAAAAAAGCATTTCAAAAAAAAACTGGACACAATAGAGGACCCACACAACAAACATACTATTGAAGATCATGGTCATTCATGTGTTTTTTTTGGTTGGCTGAAGTTCATCCTTTGGAAAACCTTTTGATTTTGATTCCAAGAAGAATGGAGCTAAGTAAAAGAAAAAAGCTTTCGCGAAGGAAATGGTATAAGGAATGTGTGATTTTTTTCACCTCAGGCAGCAGCTGGACACAATAGTGGACCCCCACAACAAACATACTGTTGAGGATCAGGGTTGCTCATGGACTACCCCGTTGAAAAATTGTTTGGCTGCTGTTTTTTCTTTTTTTTATTAGGTTTTAATTAGGCATCCTATATAATTATTGTTGATGGGTCATAGCCTAAAAAAATGTTTCTTTAGACAGCAGCTGGACACAATAGAGGACCACCACAACAAACACAATATTTAGGATCAATATTGTTCATGAAAAAAAAAGTATTTAAACCAAAAAACAAAAAAAACAAAAAAAACTGAAAAAAATGAAAAACAGATAAACAAAACTGACAAAAGTACCACCAAAAAAACTTTACACAATAGTGGAGCCCCATGGAACCCCCAATCATTTCCACAGATTCAGAATTATTTTGGAAAAACTTGACACAATAGTGTATCCCCACACTAATTAGCATACTACATTATCGAAGGAAGTTTAGAAGTCAAACTTCCGACAATATGGACAGATGAAAAGCAGAGTAGGGGAGAGGCAGAGAGAAGAGGAAGATTAGAAGAGAGAAGATGAGAAGAGAAAGAGTCAGAAGAAAGAAGATACAGATGCGCGAAAAGGTAGGAAAGTCGCGAAACACTGTGTTTTTCCAATGATTTGTGGCTCAGGAGGGTCGAAAAGTAGGCTCGCTAAAGCGGCGGGTGCGGAGCCAGCTGGTCACAGGAGCGATGAAAAATTGCACGCCGTTGTGGCGCGAAGCACATTTCCAAGTCAAAAGGTACAAAACACCTCAGCGTCGGACGACTTTTGGAAGTTGCGATGTCGAAAAAGTGCACGCCGTTGTGGCGCGAAGCACATTTCCAAGTCAAAATGTACAAAACACCTCAGCGTCGGACGACTTTTGGAAGTTGCGATGTCGAAAAAGTGCACGCCGTTGTGGCGCGAAGCACATTTCCAAGTCAAAATGTACAAAACACCCCAGGTTCGGACCGCTTTTGGAAGTTGAGATGTCGAAAAAGTGCACGCCGTTGTGGCGCGAAGCACATTTCCAAGTCAAAAGTGTTAAAAACTGACGGTCTCGGACCACTTTTGGAGGTTCAGATGTCGAAAAAGTGTCGAAAAAGTGCACGCCGTTGTGGCGCGAAGCACATTTCGAAGTCAAAAGTGTAAAAACTGAGGGTTTTGAGCCTTTTTTTGAAGATTTTGACGTCAAGATGTCGAACAAGTAGACACTGATTAACTTAACTAACTTGACTAACTTAATTAACTTCACTAACTTAACTACCCTAACTTCGACGACAACAGCAACAGCAACAGCAACAACAACAACAACAACACCAACCACAACCACAACAACAACAACACCAACCACAACAACTACAACTACAACAACTACACGACAACTACAACTAGAACTACAACTAGAACTACAACTACAACAACTACTACAACAACAACAGCAACAACAACAGCAACAACAACAACTACAACTGCAACTACAACTACAACTACAACTACGCCTACTACTACTACTACTACTACTACTACTACTACTACTACTACAGCAACAACAACAACTACAACTACAACAACTACAACAACTACAACAACAACAACAACAACTACTACTACTACTACTACAGCAACAACAACAACTACAACTACAACAACTACAACAACTACAACAACAACAACAACTACTACTACTACACTACACAACGACTACAACCACACAACAACTACAGCTACAACTACAACAACAACTACACCTACAACAACTACAACTACAACTACAAAACAACTACATCTACAACTATATGACTGCAATTACACTACACTAATTACATTACACCACAACTACAACTCCACTACGCTACAACTACAACTACAGTTGCAGTACGTCACACTACATCCAGCAGTTGTGGGTGAGGTGACCACTGCAACCATTGCAACCATCCCAGCAAACACAACTCCAACCACCTTTCGGTCAATCAGTGGATTCGCTCTGCCATCCGTGATTCACAACAACCAACGTCTCCTATAGGTTTCCTATTCTGAAACTTCCGCCACCGCCTTGTGCGGTACTACTGGTAATCAATGATACGTACAGCAAGGGGCCCCACAGTTAGCTAAGTTGGTTTTTAACTATAACAACTAGGATTTATGATATATATATATACTATTCTATACTTAGATGGGGTTATAAACCATCTTATAACTAGGAGCACCTTCCTGTATGCAATATTTGCATATACAATAATTATAGAGTTAGGATATCATTGCATATCATTGCATATATACCATACTCCCTTTATCTTTTAGAGATCATGTTCTACACCTGACGCAGGCTTTGGTGCATCTTCGAGCTTGCGGCCTTCTTGAGGAGCCAGGATGATGATCCGAGTGGCTCTTCTGCGTTTTTGTTCGCTATCGTCCATCGGAGTCCATCGTGTCGTCGCTGTGGTCCTGCCATGATTTTGGAATCACCGCGCATACTGCCGCATACTTTTGTCAATATATGCATACACTCATAATATATTATAGATCTATGTTTTTGTGTGCGCATCAAACATTTATTTTTGCATACACTTGGACTTAAGAAACGGTGTCAACAAACACAAGGTGCATGAAGCAATGAAGATTAAATTGTAGAAAAGTTAAGCCGATCATCGCCAGATCGGTGCTTGACGTCATGAAAAAGATGACAAAATGCTTCAGACTGCCACTGCGAACCCCAAGTGCTCCTTCGAATACTGCCAACATTCCAAAATAGCTTCATGTGAATTCATGTGGCTCTCGGGCTTCAATTTTGCATGAGAGTCTCCTCAGCTTGTCTGACTGACCGACGGAGGGGTCTGATCTTTTGCAAGCTTCAAAGGGTTTCATGATTTCTTGACTGTTCCGTCTTGCAGTACTGAGGTAAGCGGCTGTGTGTGCGGCCAACCTTTTTGGGGCCGTGCGTTTTTGCCTTGTACGTCAGCTGGGCAGTTGGATGTCTCACATCTTTTCTCTTGCTTGACACATCGCTTGTAATACTGATTATGTAACTCAACTGCAATGAGGTGCAGGCCGAACCACTCAAGGGTTGGTAATTGGGAGTGATGCTCACGTGATGACCCAAGGCCCAAACATGCCCAAACTGATCTTATGAATTCTAATGACCCGTACCTTAAGCCTGCTGTCTTTAGATTTTTTACAATCCTTTTGGTGGTGCAGCATTATCCTGTTTAAGTCATTCCCCCCCGGGTCCCACCTCTGCGCCTACGCTGCACGGCTTCGCACAGCAAGCTCCCAGTCTGTTTGGGTCTTGCCGGACCCGAACACTACCGTGAGCTCGCAGATGCTCGCAGGCTCTTCAGAACCCAAACATACCCGAACGCCATGCCAGAGATAGTCGAGGATCAAAGCCGTAGGTTCTTTGCTTGTTTCGCTTTAGTGTCGGGCGGGGCTCTTGAAGGGAGTCGTGGCAATTAATTATGGATTATTGTGGCCGTGCCTGCGAGATTTGCAATGACTTTTTGACTGGTTTCAAGTTTTTTTTGAGAATCAAACCCATGTAAATGTATATATTTCCATTCGCTTATTGGATGACCGTACTAATTATTATTTCGTGAGGCTTTTGAGCATATTTAGCATACATGGAGGCACGGTCCTGTGATTATGCCTGGTGGGCGGCACTTTCATTCATTCTTATTGACTTGATGCTTTGGGACGGGGATGGGGTGTGGTGTGCAGGGAGTTCATTCTTGGTCCTGCATTTGAGAACTCATGAATCAGGGGTCCTTTGGAGGTTCGTTGGGGAGGTCGTTGGGGAGGTCGTTGGGGAGGTCGTTCGGTTTTATCATCATATCTCAAACATGTTTTTCCTTACGTTATTTTTCCATTTTGTCCGTCTTGGTCTGGTTCTTTTCCTCCCTTTCTTGCTTCTCCCTTCATCTCTCTTCTCTGTTCTTCTTTGTCCTTCTCTCTTGTTTTGGTGCTGTTCTCTTCTTTTGCTGTCTTGGTGCTTTTCTCTTCTTTTGCTTGCATCTTCTTCTCTTGATTTCTCTCTGTTGCTTCTCTTTTGATTTTGTCTTTTTCCTTTTGTTCACTCTTTCTTACCCGTATCATCTCCTATCTTTTCTTTTCTTCTCAAACCACGCCTTTCTGCCAGGTTTAGTATTGCAGAATAATCGTGTTGCAAGGCAAAGTAGTGTTGGGTAGGGCAAACAAAACATCAGATAAAATGTCAGAATACATGTCAGACAGAATGTCAGATAAAATGTTTGAAACAATGCCAGACAGCCAGATAGAATGTCGCAGTATATGACAGACAAAATGTCAGATAGAATGTCAGAGACAATGTGAACAATTGTCAGAGCGACTATCGTGTCAGAATGTATATGACAGCAAATATACCAGATAGAATGCCAGATGAACTGTCAGATAGAATGCCAGATAAAATGTCAGAATACATGGAGAAAAAGTCAGAAGATATGTCAGATAGAATTGGCCGACAAAATGTTAGGTAGAATGGCTGATCAAATGTCAGATAGTAGAACTTCATACAAAATGTCAGAGAGAATGCCAGATAACATGCAATGTTAGATGTTGGAATCTATTGCAGATAAAATGTCAGATCGGATATCAGAAAAAATCATAATACATATAATATATATCATTATGTATCATATATGTCATATCAAAAAGACAGAATATACGTCAGTTGGGGATAAGTCGAAGGAGGGCTAGTAAAGCAATGCCTTTTTTATCCTTTTTTTGGTGTCCTCATTTAGGGGGTTAACGGAGGCCGCAAAGAACGCAGCCTGAGGTGGATGTTTGCTTTTCTTGTCGTCTTGGCGGTTTTCGGGCATGCGCTTCGCAGTCATCAAAGGTCCATTCACCAAATGCTTCATCAACTGAAGGAGCCACGGCATGCCACGGCTACAAAGGTTTCAACATGTTTCAACATGGTTTGTCGTGTCTTGCAATCTGTTTCAGTTTCAATTGGATTTGTGCCCTGACACTTGCCTGATCTTGCCTGCTCGGAGGTGGAACTTTTTTTTTTTGTATTGATCTGTCATGAGTTTCGCCGCTCCCAGGAATTCCGCATAGAGAACACCAAGTCACAATGCTGCACGATGGGGCACCGAAATCCACATGACCAGAACCCGCTCACCTGTGATCGAGAGATCCTGATGCAATGCATCGCTGAATGGTTTGGCAATGTGGAGCGTCTTGGCCGCAGGAAGGATGGGCCAAATAGTGGGCTCAAGATCATTGTCGGACTTGGGTTCCTTCCAACGGGTGTGGCGCTCAGGAAATTTGAGGAGGAGGTGCGATCCAGGGTTCGCATTGCACTAGAGAAAGGGCTTGGGAATGCTTCTTGGTCGCAGTTGTGCCTTCAGAAAATTGCAAGCACCCTGGGGAATTGGAGCGGACCTACAGTACCCAAAAATCAAGGTCATGTTGCATCAGTGAACTCATATTTGGCCTCTCTGTGCCAACTTGAGGCGGGGATGCCCTACCTGTGGGGCATTGCTGCGGTGTGTCCATTTATGTGGACACAATTGGATGCCATTGCTGGAAGACTTCGCGCTGGAAGGGGAGACTGGGCATCTTGGAACATCTATCCTTTTCCGTTGACTACTCTAGGGCTTGTAAACCTTTCCGGATCGCTTTTAAAGCTATTGCTTACCAAGCAATGTTGCTGGGAGTGGGCGTGAGCGCGCACACGCACACGCACACACACACAGAGACACAGAAGGTATGTGGCTCCAAAAACCGCACAGCACGCAAGAAAGAACGCACTTCCGCAAGAGAGCTCTCCTGGCCCCGGTTTTGTGTGAACGGAAGTGAGAGGAACTTTCGTGCTGTAAATGGGTCACCAAATTTGCCGGCCACCGAGAGAAACCGATAGACACAGAAAGACACAGAGAAACACAGAGAGACACAGAGCGACACAGAGGGACAGAGACTTTTTTCTTCAAAGAGTGTGTTCACACTATGGGCCTCTTACCGTAGGTGTCAGGTGCAAGAGATTCGGCACTTTTGGAGGGTCAGAACCTCGTTAGGGGACGGTTTTTCGAAGTTGAGGAGTACTGTTGCCCAACTTGGGCCCAAGTTGCACCACATTGGATTCAACTCAAGTTAGGGCCAAGTTGGCCCAGGTTGATGCCATGTTAGGCTGATGTTGGCTCCGAACAGTGAATTGAGCCAAATTTATGACGACATGCAAAATAAGCAGAATTACTACAGCGCGGCCCATGACTTCCAAAATGTAACTCCTCAAAATCCTCAAGCTGCAGCTATACCATCATGCTGAATGTATTGAATTAGTGTCGGCACCAGCCTACCATGCTGCGAGACCTTCAGCACATGCAGATTTTGTGCTTTTTTTTTGGTGTATTTGTTAATTCATCTCATTCAAATGTATTGTTTGTCATTATACAATATTATACATTTGCCATGCTGATAGAGATTCGGAGGGCCAAACTGGGTGTAGAGAGATGGCCCCACTCTAAGTTTGCGTCGGTCGTGGCGTCGAACTAGCCTGGCAGGCAGCCAAGATAGCTATCTACACTGTGGTGGCATGGCTAGGCATTGTCCCCTTAGTAGCTTGGCACGCAGTCTCGGTTTTCAAGGCAACCGAATCTCCCCCTGTGATTCCCTGTGCGGATCGTCACACAGATTGAACGGCTCTATTCGTACATTTGTCACTGTCACATCTTGTCACCCTGTTCATCCCTGTTCCGCCTCTTCCTGTGAAATCTGATCTGTTGATTCGTGGATCATCGCTGACCGGACTTCTGCGTCGTTCGAGGTCCTCCCTCTTGCCTTTACTTTGACCAAACGGTTTCGACGCCGTCGGAGTTGGATCATTTGTGACTTGGGAGTGACCGTGATGGTGACCGCTGCAGTGGTACTCTTCATTGTGCTGCTGTACTTGCTGCTTGGATCATTTTGATGTTTGATTTATCTTGTTCGTTAAAGTTCTGTGGTTGGGTCTTTGTTCATTCAAAGTGCTGTAAAGATAGGAATCTGTGATATGCTATGCGCTGAAAAGTGCAATCCCTTGCGCCGCATGATCTTCTTGGCACAGTGGTTGAGCCTTCACTGACGGGACCAATAGACATAGTCCTACCGGGGTACCTGTTTTCCTGTCTGGGTGTCCATATTAAATGCTAAAGCAAATGCAGGGCATTTTCATGCATTTTCCAATGTTTGAATTTGCCTGTTGCCACTCTTTCTTTCAGAATTATGTTTGTTTCACAAAAACCCACGAGCATTGGTTGGTAAATAGCTTCAAAATGCTTCAAACGATTTCGGGGGTGTGATTTGCAGCTCCTCGAATGGTCAGAGGCACTTGTAGCATGGCAGCATGGCCTGTGAAATCCCGTGGAATGGATTCAATGGATTCAATCTTTGCCCCAGCGTTAGAAGGACATAGAAGGACTACATTTGGGGACAACTAGCCCCAGCTGCCCCAGCTGCCCCAGCTCTACTTAGTCGGGTGTTGTGACAGTTTTTTGATGTTTTTTGCGACTCTCAGGATCTATGCAGGAGTAGCCATGCTTGTTCCAATCCGCTTTCTTGGTCCTAGCATTTATGCGGTGGTGCTTTCAGTAGTTGGCTTTTTGACCTGGAGGCATCAGAGGCTTGTCCTAAGCAGAGCCGTTACCGTCTCGTTGGGTTGCCCTTTCCTAATCGACAATTCTCTTCTGATGTCTTCTGATTGTCAGCCCGTAGAGACCTGGACCCATGAACATGCTTCTTCAAAAAAAAAGGTTTCCCAGCACGTTGGGATGGCTTTCTTGAACTTTTTGCTGCTGCAGTTTTGAATTGCCATAGGTCAGCTGTGAGATGCTGTGAGACAGACATACTCTTGGAATTGCCGTATGCAGTACGTCGGCGATCGCCTTCCTCGTGAGTGTGCCAAGGAGTTGGCGGTTCGCTCGCTGGGCGAACGAGCAAATCCATGAAGGGCACAGTGCTTGTGCTCCTGCAGATGACGGAGATGACGCTGGCAAACAATGACTTTTTGAGCGCCTCAACATCCGCACGGACCTCCGAGTCGGTCTGAGACAAGACGCACTTTCCAGATGTTGCGAACGAATGATCACAATGATAATTTGATCAGGTTGATCTATACGGCATCATGTCATATACTTTCTAAATATTTCTAAATTGATGAACATATATGTCATGCGCACACGCAGTCTCTAAATCAATGTATTCACAATTATACATACATGCATCCATGAATGCATGCATGCATGCATACATACATGCATACATGCATACATACATACATGCATACATGCATACATGCATACATGCATGCATACGTGCATACGTGCATACATGTATACGTGCATACGTGCATACGTGCATACATGCATACATGCATACATGCATACATGCATAAATGCATACATGCATACATGCATACATGCATGCATACATGCATACATGCATACATGCATACATGCATACATGCATACGTGCATACGTGCATACGTGCATACGTGCATACGTGCATACGTGCATACGTGCATACGTGCATACCTGCATACGTGCATACATGCATACATGCATACATGCATACATGCATACATACATACATGCATACATACATACATACATACATACATACATACATACATACATACCTACATACCTTCATACCTTCATACCTTCATACCTTCATACCTTCATACCTTCATACACACATCCCAACATATATAATCATATATACACATCCATTGGATACCATTAGATACCATGACATACCATTACATACCGTTACATACCGTTACATACCATTACATTACGTTACGTTACATTACATTACATACCGTGACATACCATCACATACCAGTACATACCATTACATACCACTACATTACATTACATTAAGTTACATTACATTACATTACATACCATGCATGCATGCATGCATGCATGTCATTTCATTTTCAATTCATTTTCATTCCATTTCACCACATTACATTAACTATGTTACATTACCTTACATTACGCTACGGTATAGTACACAATAGTACAGTGCAGTGCATTGCATTGAATTACATTACATTGAACTACATTGCATGCCATTGCATTGCATTGGATTGCATTGCATTACATTACATTCCATATACTACACACACACGCATGATATACGCACGAATTATACTCATAACAATTACCGTATGCACGTTTGTTCATAGGTGGCATGTTTGACACATTTTGGGTCATTTTGGTTCCTGATCATCCATGGAAGACGTTTCCACGGGGGTTTCGTGCGAGAGTTCTGAAGGGCCCCATGCTGGCTGTGGCATCGGACTTCCAAAGTCTACCAAGTTCATCGAAGGCAGAACAAATGGTGACCGATTTAATTTAAGTCATGCTTCCAAGATTCTCCGACCGCAAGATCAGCAGGCAATTTGGGGTCCGCGATTGCATCTCATTCTTCAAATTTTAGGCAGTTTCCTTTTTCAGTAGCTGGACAAGCATTAGCTGTCCAAGCACTGCTTAGATGTGACAAAATCTCAATTGTGCGGCCTTGGGCCTTGGGGAGTGAGAGAGAGAGAGGGAGAGCGTGCTTGGTGGGTGTAAGTGGGTATGTTTTAGAACCATTCCGTAGCCATTGCAGCACATATACGCACGCACACACACTCTCACGCAGGGCTGAATGCGCAATGACGCTAGAACGGCAGCGATGGAATTTGGAGGCAGAAGATTAGGTTCTTCGCACGTGTGCGCTGGTGGGTTGAACACAACATGCATTTGCACGAACAATAGTAGCATTGTGCAAGTCCAGAAGCTTCTCTATGCTGCTTTATTGCGATGCTCCACTGTGCTAGGGCCAGGGGCGAGATTGAAAAAATATAAATATCATCGGTGGACTTGCGTGCCTACATAAGCCTACATAGATCCACCGATACTTATAGACACAGGCAGACATGCGAAGAGACAGAGCATCATTCTGTAGGTGCAGACGACATGCAGGGATTGGCAGTCCGAAAGGGAATTGCATCTCTAGTGGCGCTTCGAAGTTGAGGTTCCCTTTCCGGACGCTTGGTGATCATGGACATCACCAGCCAAAGCGAACTTCGTGCCCAAAAGCCATCAAAAGCCCTTGGAAGCCAGCAAATCTAGTTGATGAGGGTGTTCATGGTGTTTCAAGGTTTGCTCCCGTTTGAAACATGTCAATGGCGACTGGTAGGAGTCTGGCCGTACACAGGGTCTTTGTCCGTCGGTTGCATGTTACAGAGGTACGTTTTCATTGCCTCCAATCGTGTTGCTACAGTCCCTCAGCGGCAGGTATCCGGATGAATCAGTTAGTCTCAAGTTTGGGACAAGGCATGTGCTGCGTCGAAGGTGTGGATTTCAGCGCAAGCTGAGGCTATGCCGGTACCACTCCCAAGAGTGGTTGCTGATTGAAACTCAGCAGCACTTAGCAGAGTCCCCCCGTACAGCTGGCGAGTCGGGCGAGGGTATGGCTGTAGAGGCCTGTGACACCTGACATTTTTCCTCCAGCTGAGGAAACAACTGCAGAACCCAAACATTGGAAGTTGCTGCTGGTGGAAGACCGGCCAGATCAGCCAGCGCATCTTGGACAGTGTGTCATTGACAACGACGGTGGTATGTGATACTGTGGATACTGGGTTGGGCGTGCGGGTATGTGGGAAAACTTGATGAGCCCAAATCAGGAATTAAATTGGCAATTGCTGCACTGTACTGTGGATTCTCTTATCGTTTCCGTGTCTCCTTTGGGAGCTCTTCTGATTTGTTTGTGCGGAAAGCAGGCAGGAACTGGTATGGACCAAACAATGGGTTAGTGGTGGCAGCAAGAATCCTTGCAATGCTGGTAAATCCAACATACTTCCAGTGATTAGAGAGGGAGAGAGAAAGTTCCCTTGTGAGGCTTCAGTGGAACATTACCAACGGCCAAGCTCTTCCTAGTGGGTCTGGTGCTTCTTGGCAGCTTGCGACTTCTATCTTAGCACAGCATCCAGCATCACTTTCCCACACCTGGTTTACAAACTCTAAAATTTGCCTGACAAACTTTCAATACGTTCTGCCATGCATGCATGCATGCATGCATGCAATGCATGCATACATATGATGCATGCATATCATATGATGCATGCATCTGATGATGATGATGATGATGATGTTGATGACGATGACGATGACGAGGATGATGATGATGATGATGAGGAGGAGGACGACGACGACGATGACGACGATGACGACGATGACGACGATGACGACGATGACGACGATGACGATGATGACGATGATGATGACGATGACCATGACCATGACCATGACGATGATGACGATGACGATGACGATGACGATGACGATGACGATGACGATGATGATGATGATGATGATGATGGGAGTGCGGAGCTGGATCGTTGTAGCTTGATGCCTTTTGTCATCAGTCATTCATGTTAATTTGCTCAAACTTTGTCCACAGCCTGTATTGTCAAACACCTTGAAGAAAGGAGCTTCAAGTTTCCATTCAAACAGGGTCGTTTCCTTCTCATGATTTTGGTTTTGATATTTGTGGATATTTGTGGTGGCTGTGTCGCTGTGCTTCTGCACTGCAACTCTCAGGAGCATTTTGAAATGGAGCCTTTGAACGGAACGCCTCCGCATTTGTTGCTGGTGGTACGTCGAGGCTTAAAACCAGAGGGCAAGAGCGAAGTGCTGGGGATGCTCATGGACGAGGCAGAGAGGGCGGCGCGCCCAAATGGGAACGACAGTTCTCACTGTAGTTTTTGGGCAGGAGAGTATGCGCCCAAGCCATCCAAAACATTGGTCATACATGGTCATACAGTACTACATGCAGTAGTAGGTTTTGAAAGGAAGTCAACAGAGTGGAACGAAAAAGCGGTGACCAAAAACCATACCAAAAACGATACCGACTCCCTAATCAGCAAGATAAAAGGCACCACCACCTTATGTCAAGAAAACTTGACATGTAGCGGCGCTGCAGGTGGCTGAAAAAAGTCGTTGACTTGAGCTGTTGGATGATGTTGGATGCCATATCTGGCTATTTAGTAATGTTTGAGGTTTTTGGTCTTTACCTTCGAATTATTTGATGCCGTTGTAACCTGTTGTAACAACTAAAAAGATGTGGAGCTTCACACACCGGCGACCCCACAAGGGTATACAAGGGTTATGTTATGTTACGTTATGTTTGTAATTAGTGTGAGTGTTGGTGTTGTTCATGTGCTTTGCGCAGAGCACGGTTTGATATTCTTTACACACCGCAGCATCCGCAACTGGCAACCATCTTACCACACATCTTTTTGTTGCATTTTGGTGTGCCCCTAAAAATCGTCAAATAATAAGTGGTGTTTTCACGTTTTTTAAGACTCTCAGAGCACAAAACACCATAAATAAATGTAAATACCGATGCCGACGGATACCGATGTTCTTGGCGCCTCGGAAGCCAAAAACCACGGTATTTACGATATCTTGTGCCACTGGTAGCAAAAACAACAGTATTTGCAGTGTTTTTGGGGCATTACCTAGCAAAAACACAGGTATTGAATGGTATTGACACGATTTTCAGCAATTGGCACGAAGTACTTTTTATCTGCAAAAAGTACAAAAACACCGTAATTTATGATGTTCTTCCTTCCTGAGCGCAACAAAAAATCGGACAACCATTGTCCAAAAACGCTCCAAACTGACCTCCTGAAGCATCTTATTTATTTATTTATCTGGTTTCCCCGAAGAATTTTTTGGGGGCGGCAGGAGTGCGCCCCTAGCTATGCTACGGGGCAGGGAGGAGAGGTTATGAACAACAACAGTTGACGGTGGCGTAACTGCGCGCTGACGTCTCTTCAATTCACCCTATAATTGGGGGTCCAACAGGCCATTTCGTCACTTCAGATCCAAAGTCTAAAGCCACGAGTTGTCCTTTTCGATATACATATCTTCGGGAGAGGATGGGCACTTTTTGCCACAGCGACCAGCTCTATACACAGCCAATAATTCCAAGCAAGTTTCAAGGCTTGGTTTTTCAAGCAACCTTGTACTTGCAGCACATCGATATGTGCGCGGTCACGGTTGACACGTCTCCGGCCACAACAGCCTCAATGCTGCTTTTCTTTTTTTTCGGAGTCGAAATTGCTGCTGGCTTTTGGCCAGAGAAGTTTTCTTCAAAACTTGAGTTGTCCTTTTTCCAAGTATAGGAACGTAACAGCATATGTATCAACTCACGAAGAGTGAGCGGCGTAGCAAGACGTATGTTACTTGATTTCACATGTCTGTCATTTCCTGCAACTGAACCATCAAGAATGTACTATCAAGAACGTTATTGCACCCCCCCCCATCCCCACCCGAACCCCCCCAACCTTGCACGGCACATGAAAAACGAGGACTATCTTATCTAAAGACTTCAATTCTCGAACTACTTCACTACCCCGTACGTGCACACTTGTACATGAACGCGTCACAGCATGGCATCATGTGGCATCCCGTAAGTGCGCAATGTACATGAACGTGTTACAAAAAAAACACCGGCCATAGACCCCAAACAGTGTGGGGAAGGGGACTGTGTGATAATGTGGTAAGGAAATAGTAGACATGCAGGTCACACAGCAGAGAAGTGCAGCACTTTTTTTTCCCCTCATTCCTGCATGAGAATTGTATCAGAGCAGCGGCAGAAATCGGAATCCGAGCGCGCAACCGCAGCCCTGCTTTACCGAAACCATCATCCTCTGCACCCTGCCTCTGCCCTGACGCGCTCCCCCTATCTCCCCCTTTGCTGTCGGCCGGGGTCGGCAGATATCCCTACAGGCCCTACAGGATCTTGTGAGGGGAAGTGCTATGCATTTTGCAAATGCAATGAGCAATCGCTGGTCAGGACGCTCAGGGTTCCAGTGGCCTATGTTTGTTGTAACTCTGCTGCAAATGATGCTGATTCCCATCCGTGTACTCCTGGCATGTCCTGCCACGCTTTCAAACTTGCAAAGGAATTCATCACTGGACCCACCAGCAGAGCAGAGCAGTTATTTTGCTTAAGCGCTTAAGCTCATGGCAAGCCGGATTGAATTATGAAATCATGGCAAATCTTGAAATTTGTGCAAGATGTATCAAGATGTGTCGTTTTTCTGGCAGAGCTGCAGGTTGTCGCTGCCATCTTTTCCAGAAGACCCTTTGGCACGTGTAGAGCTGCCGATGGATGTGGCTGCCCCTAGCAGCTCTGGCAAGCGGAGGCTTGACACTTCAGCGGCGTGAGGGTAGAAGTCTGCAAGATGCAAGTACAGTTGTTTTGTCCATCAAAATCACTTTTCCTTGCCATGGATGCATCAATTTGTATAAATGAAGGCGAAACCTAGTCTGTTTGCAAGGGGCTTGAACTGGTTTGTTCACAGGAGCTACTTGGCAACAATTTCAACAATCAACCGATTTCGGCTTTCGTTGCGACCGTTTCTCTTGATCAGCGCTAATTATGTGATTTGATCAGATAGGCACGGCAGGAAGGCCAGGAAGGGCAGGAAGGCTAGCAATAGCAAGGGCAGGAATAGCCATCGTTTGGAATTCGGAGAGAATCGCAATTTGCCTGTGGCTCATGATGAGTCAGCTGTGGTAGGCTGGTGGACTTGGTGGTGTTGTTGGGGGGCGGCCTCTTCCTGACGGTGCTCCATGAGGGATCAGACAGCTTAGTCATGCTCACAACAGCGAAGCCTTCTCCGGCTCTAGCCCAGCAGAAACCAGTGAACCAGGCAGACTGGTGGCCATGCTTGATATGCTTGAAGTATTGCCATGAAGTGCTTGGGCCAAGCGTCAGAAACGTTTGTGACACTGCCATTGTCCACTCAGATTTATGCGTGTGCGTTTCCATGCGTTCGCACCAAGCAGCAACATAAACAAGAAGAAGGGGTTTTTCAGGTTTGGATTGCGACAGATTTTGAAATTCCACTCAGTTGAGTCTGGCATAGATACGTGCTCTCAAGTCATGATTCCAAGAAGCCAGATGCAAGCAACCTTCATAGACATAGCCTAACTGGAAATCTAAAGTTTACTTTCTGGTTTCCCTTGGCCCCTTGACAGATTTGACAGGTGGTACAGGAATTACTTGTTCCTGGCCGTGTTTTGGGGGCATCTGCTCATCAGTACTGGCCGCTCGGCATTTGAAGGCAGAGAACGCGGCTACAGCATGCTACAGCTACTGACAAAAATGGAGAAGCACGGGCTTCGGCAATTTGGTAAGAGAACAGCGTTCAATAGTGTTCAGTATTATATGTATTATCACAGGCTGCAATATATGTATGAAAACATGTACGTCTGCAATCGTCTGCATGACTGCATGTATGTGAGATTATGTGAGTGTGGTGTTTAGGACAAGGTCCGTGATCGCACCTTCACAAGTGGATACGCCACTGAGATCCAAACCTCAACAGCTGTGCGAATCACCTTTGTTCGAGGTCGCCAGAGTTAAGATGCGGTGGACGTTCACTTGCCATATTGTGGAATCTTGGTGCGAAATGGTGCGAATCACATCTTAAGGCTGGACTTTGCCGCTTTTTGAACTGGTGGCCGAGCAAGTGGCTGAAATACACAGAATCACTGACAAAGAAAAGGGATGAAAAGATATGAAAAGGGTAATTGCAGGGGTTTCAGGTCCCAGGCCTTCCAATAGCAATTCTGTGCGTGACCATGGCCATTGGTCCTTTGGTGGAGCTTCCCTGACACGAGGACGGCTACTGAAATCTTTGCATTGACGGCGTTGGGGAACAGCTTGGTAGAGACTTGCCCTGTGACGCAAGAGTGACTGCGTGCTGCAAAGCTGGGTGCCAAATTCAAAAATCAACGAAATCAAACACATATTCTGAGGCCAATGTGGGACCAACCAAGTAATCCAAGTAAGAGTCTCTAAGGGGACCATCCCCCGCCAGCATGACACAACAGAACCGCGTAATTGACTTTTCTGAGGATGGGAACAGCAAGTCACCAAACTCCCCTGTCTTGCTGCAGTGAATCATCCTTTTCCAGGTGGTACCAGGTGCTCTAAAAATTCTTACCCTGCAGCATCCGGCTAAGCCACGAAGTGGATAAGTTATTCAATGTTATTTATATAATGTTTTTTTAAATATTGTTTAATTTTTTTATTTAGAATGTTTGACCATGTTCCTTTATTTTGACAATGTTTTGACTGCCGAGGAAACCCTTCAGAGCAGATCCATCGATTCAGCTCGCGCGAGCGTTGGGACGGCGGAGCCAAGCGCTGAGTGGGACGAGCTGCTGCCATTGCTGTGCTGGGCTTTAGATGTTGCAGCTCAGCGCAACCTCGGACCATGCACAGAACGCCCAGTATGCTTTTGGATGGATAAGATAGATAGATAGATAGATAGATAAGATAGATAGATAGATAGATAGATAGATAGATAGATAGATAGATAGATAGATAGATAAGATAGATAAGAAAGATAGATAGATCGATAGATAGATAGATAGATTAGATGGATTAATTAGATACATAGATGGATAGATAGGATAGATAGATAGATCGATAGATAGATAGATAGATGGATAGATAGATAGATAGTTAGATAGATAGATAGATAGTTAGATAGATAGATAGTTAGATAGATAGATAGATAGTTAGATAGATAGATAGATAGTTAGATAGATAGATAGATAGATAGTTAGATAGATAGATAGATAGATAGATCGGTAGATAGGTAGATAGGTAGATAAGTAGATAGGTAGATAGGTAGATAGATAGATCGATAGATCGATAGATCGATAGATCGATAGATCGATAGATCGATAGATAGATAGAATAGAAAGATAGATTAGATAGATTAGATAGATAGATAGATAGATAGATAGATAGATGTATGGGCCAGGATAGGGTAGGATAAGATAAGATACGACAGATAGATAGATAGATAGATAAGATAGATAAGAAAGATAGATAGATCGATAGATAGATAGATAGATAGATTAGATGGATTAATTAGATACATAGATGGATAGATAGGATAGATAGATAGATAGATAGATCGATAGATCGATAGATCGATAGATCGATCGATCGATCGATGGATAGATAGATAGATAGATAGATAGATAGATATGATAGATAAGATAGATATGATCGATAAGATAGATATGATAGATAAGATAGATATGATAGATACGATAGATACGATAGATAAGATAGATAAGATAGATAAGATAGATAAGATAGATAAGATAGATAAGATAGATAAGATAAGAAAGATAGATAAGATAGATAAGATAGATAAGATAGATAAAACAGATAAGATAGATAGATAAATTAGATAGATTAGATAGATTAGATAGATTAGTTAGTTAGTTAGTTAGTCAGTTAGATAGATAGATAGATAGGTAGGTAGGTAGGTAGATAGGTAGATAGGTAGGTAGGTAGATAGATCGATCGATAGATAGACAGATAGATAGATAGATAGATGTATAGACTAGGATAGGAAAGGATAAGGTATGATAGTTAGATACAGAAGATGAGACAAGGTAAGGTAAGATAAGATCAGATAGATCAGATAGATCAGATAGATAAGATATATAAGATAGATAGGATAAGATAAGATAGGTAGATAAGATAGATAAGATAGATAAGCTAGATAAGATAGATAAGATCAGATCAGACAAGACAGACAGACAGACAGACAGACACACAGACACACAGACAGACAGACAGACAGACAGACAGACAGACAGACAGACAGACAGACAGACAGACAGACAGACAGACAGATAGATAGATAGATAGATAGATATAACACACACATATTCATCATATTATATATAATAGTAATTCATTACATCTCTCCTGATATCGGGTGATATTGAAAATTCCCCAGGCGGATGATATGGAATGATCATGACTCATGGCATGTCATCGCATAAGGACTAGAAATCGGCAGGAAGGCTGACCAATTTTTCGGCCTGTGTCTATTTCGACCAGGAATATCCAGGAATTAGATAGAATTAGTCAATTAGTTGCAAAAAAATGCAACAACATATCAAATTTTGAAAGCCAGAGGCTTTCCAAAGCATCTTGCCAGGAGACTGTTGAAGAACACATTCTTCGTACGGTGGCAATAGAAAGAGAGAGAGGGAACCATTTTTCTTACCCTCCCGTAAGATCTTGATGATCCTGATGGCCTTTCATGGTGACTCCATGTTGGCAGTGGTTTGCTTTCCACTTAAACATTCTGCAATCAGGACATTGACAACCTACTCTTAGATGCAGGTCGCCGAGTCTTATCAGGCAGCTGCATTATTTGCTTGTTTTTTGTTTCTTTGCTTGCATTCAACCCCAGTGTGCCGTACTGTGTCAGGCAAAGGCAAAATTGTTGGTTCCGCTAGCGAACCAGCTCCTGGCCAACTCTAGCATACATATTGACATTTACAGTATTTTTACTGGCTTGGCCAAACATCAATGATCCACGTGCTCAGCCTGGTAGGATGTTGTAGCCATTCGAGTTTGAAGGGTTCGATGCATCATGTCAGAGTTATACGACCAGAAAAGATACCACAATGTCACATGGCTTGTTCTTCTTTGATATGTTGACAGTTTCAAACGATCACTAGAAAAACGCATCCACTTCTCAGGAATGAAGTGACGAAGTGACGAAGTGAATAGAGTTCAGATGTGTTCAGCCCTGAGTAGATCATGATCCCCTGCAGGTCGATGGGATCAGATCGGGGAGCAAGGCTTGCGCTCAGCTCTGGCCTTGTGGGAGCGGAGGTCATCGCAAGAAGTCCCGTTGCTGGTGCTGCAGGAGTGTTTCAGCGAATTGCCACCTGGCTGAAATGCTGTAAAGATATGTAAAAAATTGTAAAGATTTGTAAACTTTAATAGGATTCAGAATTTATTCATGTTGTTTCGGCACTGCATCTGAATAGCCGTGCAGGCAACATTGTCACATTGGCCTTTGCTTTGAGTCTATGTGAATATGATGCCCGCAAACTTCAACAAATTTTAAACGGTGCTGATACTGATAGGGATGCCTTCACTGCAGCAGTGCGATGCAATGCGATGCCACACTTGAGAATTTGTGCAACACTTGGCGCACCATATCAATTTGGAGTTAGGATGTTTCAATATCATTATATAATGAAATTTGTGTTGGGTGTAAAGTGCAACTTCCATATCATTTTCATATAATTATGTTCATTAATTTCCATCAAATTCCATGAATCTTCGAGGTTCCAACACCTGGAAATGATGCACCACATGGCCCCGGGCATACTCCATGTTTTGATGCCGCACTGGCCACAAGTGGCCTTGCGGCTGGAAGCCATGCACAGTCAGAGCGGTGCATCCAAGACTGAATTCGACGCTGGCCTGATCCGATACATGAATAAGGAATACCCTCTGGTAATTTAACATAGCTATGGAAAATCACCATTTTCAATGGGTAAATCCACTATAAATGGCAATTTTCAACAGCTATGTTAAATTACCAGAGGGTAGTAAGGATGAGTTCCATGTAGTTTGCGATTTGCCTGGCAGTAGTTTTTGTGATAGTCACGCTGTGCAGATTTGGCTGGGAGCTTCCACACATTTCCGCGGATGTACTTCGAGCAACACCTAGGATTCTGAGAAACTGGAGGAAGACATACCTGGATCACCAGAACTGTCCAACGTAGCCTGGTTCCTGTCCTTGGTCGTGATGCTGTTGGTTGTCCTGCGGCAGAAGGCTCAGAATGAGGGCGCTACTGGAGAGTACAAGCGTGGCGCCAAGAGCCCCAAAGTCCATTCCCTGAAGCAGGACGGCATAGCCTGGCAAGCCTGGGTATCCGACCAGGCCCGGACTCGTTTTGCATTGTTTTGCATTGTTTTGCATGATGAGTGATGATGGTACTGATGGCAGCTGTTCTGATGTGTCATGATTCATGATGTTTCTCTATAATTATGTTAGCAGCTAAAATGCTGCTACCGGTAGTGCTGCGGCGAAGCCGAAAAACCATATTCAACCACAAGGTGAAGACACACACACGGACACGCAGACACAGACACATACAGAAGATCAGACGGTGCACGTCTCCACGTGCTTTTTGCATTCTTTGCATATGGTTGGCCATGTAATGTGCGTATATTAAATATATATATATATATATTAATATATAATATATGTATGTGTATAATAGTGATGCTGGTTCATGATTTTTTCGTGACCCCTGCGCAGGTCACACTGATAATCAGTGGTGCTCGTGGCCCGCCAGCTCCCAGCTTTGCGGACTTCGCAGATGCCGTGCAGCAGGAGTTTGACGTTTGGTGGGCTCAAGAACTACAAGAAGCGCAGTCGCCAAAGGACGTGTTCAAGCCAGAGAACATCCTCGCCAGCAACTTGACTTCTATTTGAAGATTATTCATGCTTGCCGCAGTTTGATGCTTTTTCCATCTTGCTTTGGATGAGAGGCGAGGGCAAAACTTTGCACCAATGCAGCAACTCTTTCCTCCGTGCCGGGTCGGTTGCTAAGGCACTCTGACTCCGGAACCTGCGAAGCAGCTCAAGTTTGCTTCAGTTACTGTAATGCTTTCAGCTATCATTCGGCGGGTTAACCATTACCCAATTATGCAAGAATGGGTGCCCAGGTGCGGCAATGCCGTTGCACGGGACATAGACTCCTGCATGATTCTTGAAGAATTCATCATAGTACCAAATGGATCCAAATGGTTAGTTCCAAGTTCGAAGCAGTTTCTCGCAAATCTGGCGAGGAAATATGGCACCATCTACGAGAGAAGCATGGGAACAGATCCTGAGCTGGTACCTGGCTGCTGTTCTGCCCGCCTGCTCCTGTTGGGAGTTTTGAAGAAGCGATGGCCGCAAGTGTCGCCAGAGTCAGGCAGATCCCAAGATTCCAATGCAGAATGTGAAGGTGCAGGGGTTGGGTCTATTGGGTGAGCTTTTTGCAGAAGTGTGCGCTCGTTTCCTTACAATGATTTCAATTGATTTATGACATTTAAGACCATTAAATATTATTAAATAATAATTAATATTAAATAGGCTCAATAGTTTTCCATAGTTTTCCAATATTCTGGTAAATCATGATATATTTGGATTCCTTTGTGCCATCATTGAAATCAGGGTTCCCCAGTAGTTCCCCAGTAGTTCCCCAGTCGTTCCCCGAGGCTTCGCCCAGTGGCTGGTGAGCCTTGACCGCCTGGGCGCCACCTTGGCCGCTGGCAGCTTGGTGGAGCTTCTGCTGCGAGGCGCCGTTGCTGCGAAGCTCGGTTGGGGGTAGATTTCTCATAGATTTCCCATTAGAATCCCCAGTTTGTCATTTGATTTTCCACATTTTTGAGCAATAATGTTTCACAAATCATTGATATTACCTCATCAGTGGATATGATATGATATAAAATATAATATGATATAATTATATAGTATTGTTGGGGATTGGAAGCTTCTGTGGAGTTAATTACACCCTTCTGACACCTCACTTTCATTCTGTTGATATTTCTAATAGTGAGCACAGGCTACAGGCTGTAGAACTAATGGAAAGCTACACTAGGCAATGCCACAAGCACACACGACATACTTATATAAATATATTTCAATATATTTCAATACTTATTATAACCATTGAAGTGTGTAGTTGTCGACACACAGTGCGCCAAGAGGCGACATATTTGCAGGTCTAACTGTTGGAGGTCTAGGGAGTCTAGGGCACTCTTGGCGATCCATTCCAAGGAGCGAAGGGCCCGAAGAAGCGAAAGAGACCCTTGGCTGAGCTCGGTTGGGTGGTTGGCTCCTCGGAGATCATTGAAAAACTGGGGCATGTGGCCGTGCGGTAGCTTAAGAAACCTTACAGAATGACTTAGGTATGACATGTATGACATAGGCATGACTTCCCAGAAATTGCATTTAGATGGGAGAAAGCAGATTCTCATCACACAGGCATACACAGGCGCGACTTGGGCATGAGTTTCGCGTTACTGTAGCAAGGTTTGGGATCTTTAGGGGTGCTTAGAGCCTTTTTTGGCTGAGAAGATCAGTCAGTGCGGTAGGTAGAGTAAGTACGGTAAGTAGGTAGGGAGAAGTACGGTAAGTAGGTAGGGAACAGCGAGAAAGATATATAGGCAGATGTAGGCAATAATCACCTCGGACCATCTTCGACTCCATAGATCTTCTCCGACACTGACGGATGCTCTGGTTCGTCACGGCATTTGGGCTTGTCGCTGAGGATTGCCGCAGACGTTGACCTTGCACTTGCGGTTGCCTTTGCCCTGATGGATGTTCAGACTTCTTTTGGCAATCGGAATCTGGGCAGGGTCCATTCTTCGGTTTCACAAAACAGATTAGGACATGTTAAGACAAACTATGATAAGCTAATGTTATATATATATATGTACCTACAGCCTCCAACCCACACTTTTTTTGGGGTTGCTAGAAGGGGGAAAACACGTTTTTGTCAAAATAGCATGTTATTTTTGAGCAAGGCATTTGGTTACGGGAAATTACTAATATTTACTAATTACGGGTAAATTACGGGTAGAAATTTGGGAAACTTTGTTTTCTAAAAATATCATTTTTTCCTTAAAATCTTCACAAAACCATGTTTTTTGATTTCAATCCCCAAAAAAGTAGGTTAAGGGTGCCATAGGTATATATATATAATTACACTATAAAAATAGTGAAATAGACTTGGTTAGTAGAAGTGTTTTTGCAGCTTTAAACCTGCTGCATTTCGCGCAGTTTCCGCATGGGGCCGCTGCCTTCAGGACGGCCTCTGTATGTGGGGCACTCTGTGCACTCTTGAAACTGGCCCGTCCTCCGTCAGAACGCCCACAGCCATCGATTTGGAAGAGTGAAGATCCAAAGGAAGAGAGTCCACATGTGGAGGTGCAGCTTTTGCCTTGATGCTGTATGGGACAGGACCCTGGATGACTTCGAAACAACTGTGTGTGAGTCAGTATCAGGATGTATGAGGCTTGTCATCGCCAAAGATGATAGGACATGGGATTGACAGATATCGATTATTGCCGGTGCAGCCCAAAAAAAACGGATCAACAAGGGTATAGGTGAAATGTGGGCAAATCCTTTGAGAAGCCATGGCAGAAAAAAGAAATATACGTGGCATCCATAAAATTTCGCCACAACAAACGCAGCAAACGGTGAACACCGCCGGACTCATGGCCTCAGATCTCAGCACCAGAGCTGCTGGATCGACTTTGCCACCTGGATGCGGAGGCTTGAGCTGTGATTTGGAAACATGCTGCAGCTGCTGCACCGGTATGCATTCAATGCATTCAATGCAGAAGAAAAACAACATAAGCATACATAAGCTCTTTTGTACATGAATAATTATGATATATACGTATATATATATTAATATGTATAATATAGAACATCATATTCAGGTAGTTACACAGTTGCACATATGTACCAGAACGCAGATTGGCGTAGTTGATCATGACTTGTAGTGTGACCAAAATTTCCAACCACCTCATTCTTTGCATGGTATTGCTTGTCTGCCCGACCGTGCGGCGCAGCGTGACAGCTTCAGTTGCCAGGAGAGAAATTCGTCACAAAGTTGGATGAATTTCTTGGACTGTATCTCTGAGCTTCCTAGTGGCTGCTGTTTCTTGGATTGAAGAAGCACCTAGCGAAAAACACACTAAATGCATCTAAATGCACTACATTCTCAAGTCTGCACATCCCGTCACCGCTGTGACTGCTCAGGCTCCGAATGTTCGAATACCTGGAGTTGGGAGCAGGACCGGACATCTGCTTTTGGTGGCTTTGGTATCCTGATGACTTCATACTGCAGCAGTAGGCATGTTGCGTGAAGTTCTGCAGCATGGTGACCCGACAGTGACAAGTTACAGTAAGTGCCAAGTTAAGTAAGTCAACTCAATCACCTTGGCACAGCAACTTCCAGCAACCGGAACCTACTTCCAAAGAGTTGCAAGTAAGATGGCTATATAATGCTGCAAGTTTGCCAGATGTTTGAGCCCCTCGTTCTGAGTTGAGTTCAGTGTGTCCCAGTATTGCAGACAGCCAGTGCAGGAGGGACGCATGACCTCATTTGCTGCGCTCCAGCCAACTGGTGGCCTGGGAATGACACAGGCACTCTGGAGGGAAGCTTTTGACCAGTTGGAGGGCGCCTAGAATCAATTAGAATCGCTTAGAATACATCCTGCCATTCATTATCCGCACATTCTCAATTCCCGAGTCATCCCAGCTCTCATTTTAAAAGAACCCTGGGCGGCGCTCGTGGCAGGTGTTGCAACCTTTAGAATCTTGTTTGCAGAAAGACTCTGGCAGCTCACTTGCTACTTGTACATCTTGTACCATTTCTCTTTGACTCTGTTTGATTCTGTTAAGACACCACCTCCCATATATCTCCCATTGCCAAATCCAGGAATTCTGGTTGATGAAGTCATGCCCCTTGGATGGCCCTCCAACTTCGGAGTCGGAGTCAACATCCTGCAGCTCACCAGCGCTTCTTCCAACTACAGAGATGCGAGAGACGCTTGAGAGGATCCTGGAAGATGGAGCACAATGGGAGGCAGGAGGAAAACCGAGGAAACATGGAGTCATGGAGAACCTGACAGAAAAGTCATGAAAAGTCACTAGCGATGTCCTTGGAATTCCTTGGATATCTTGGATCAATTGACCTTTGATACCGTATCATTCGCAAAAAATGACTCATTGGGACTCTCTTCACGCTGCCGGTTGTAGACGTCGCAACAAGCCTAGTGGGTGTCGCCGTACGGACTACCCAACCGCTGCTGGTTGCTAGGCCCAGTACCAATCTGTCGACCTGACAGGTTCCTGACACTTTCGCAGACCGCCTGGTGCAGTGCCAATGGTGGCATGAGGTGCAAAGGCCCCGATGGAGCCCTGCACTGCCATTGCTAATGCTGGCATTGCTTGCAGCAGTGGAAGAGCACCTTGCCTTAGGCTGATCCAAAGATATCCCAAGAAACTCGCATGGACGTGCATTGATACATTTAAAAGGGTGTGAGGAATCCTCTCCACAAGAGCTACTCGGGGTATCGTATCCTCTTGAGTTGGAAAGACCGACGTGGAGGATCTGGGAAGTCAGTCAGTCAGTCATGTTTTTTCCCAAAGACCTGGACTCAATTTCTGATACAGAGAAGGCTACAAAATGATCAAAATGCATTTGGAAGAACAGTTCATGATTACAACAACTATAACAACTGAGTGCTCCACATTCCTTTGCCAGCCCATCTTAAGGTGGATTTGGGAACTGCCATGGACTGCCAAGTTCCGCATACACTTGGCCTCCTGTCACAACAAATGGCTTGGCATTTTCCAACCCGAAGAAGTATCACGGGTACAACCATCCAAGACGTTTGGGACATTTGTTAGTTTAGTTTTTTTAAAGACTTGTTCAGGATGCCTCGTCACAAAACCAGTACAGTCCTGAAGCCTGAAACCGTGAAATCTTCGTGATGAGCTGATCGATTCTGATTGATGTTCAGCTGAAGCGTTTGACTGTAGACTGCATGGCAAGTCCATTCGGCAAATATTTGAGGCTTACGCCTTGTACATTGTGAGATCTTGGGCTGGAAAAGGGGATCCAGATGAGAACCAGCAGGCTTCCAGTTGGGGTCTCCAGAAGTCCATGATGCGCCAGTGAGTTTCTACACGCCGCATGGTCCTTGATGCCCCCACCTCAATGATTTAGCATGATTTGACATAATAAAATAGAATAAACCAGACACAGTCAATTATAATAGATTTTCAGAAAGGGAGAAGAAGCACAAGCACCAGTCGAGCAAGACGATACAAGATGCGTACTATGTATATAAACACCTTTCCTTTAATAGATGACAGTGAGAAGCATGCTGAGACACCATGCAACATTAAAGGGTTACATGTGGATCAGCTGGTTCTATCCATTCATGTTCTGTCTCATTGTTTAATTATTGCAGGCACTTCAGTCAACATAATCAACAGCCACCACTGTAAGCCCTGCCAGGGTGAAGAACTTGCCAGCGCAGCATCCTTCGCAGCTTGAGGTGGCGGAGCTGGGTAGTTCGACCATTCAGACAGCAGGATTTGTCCCCTGGAACTCATAGAAAATCGTAAGAAGATCCTTGGAACAGACGAGTCATACACTTGACGTCACAGGTACAAGTTACCAGAAGATCAGATTGGATGTTACATGCCCATCTTGCTGCTTCGTTTGGCACTACGCTGGGGATGGTGAGGCTCTACGTTGTCCAGGACGGTGAGCTTGGATGATCTTGGTACTTGATACTGTTCATGTTGGAAACGTATAGAAATTCAGAAAAGTGGACAGCCACGAAGGCAACCAACCAAAAGATGAAAAGCATTCAGAAGCTGCTTCTACCAGAGGTATGGCGTGCATTGCGCGGGTTGTGACTGGAGGAGCTGATCACTGTGCGGTGTGAATGCCCTGGAGGATGTGGCTGAAGCACGCCGAAGTGTGCTGGGTGAGGCCAGATCAACGGCAAGGCCCTGGATGACAAAGCTGGAGCTGCACCAATCTGAACCTGCCTGGGTCAGCCCGCAGATTCGTTGGAGATCCTGCTAAAGAACGGGAGAGGTTCGAGATGAAATGCTTTAGACATTTTTGGACCGTCTTAAGAAAGCAAAGCCAGAGTTGTGCAACTTTCTGCAGCCACAGCTTGAAAGTTGAAAGCTTATAGTTTAGACTGAACGCACCGGAACAAAGACTGCCGTGCTTGGGTGGAAGCAACTCAATTTGGGGGCGGTGGCAATCTATGGGGTTAAGGAATGTTAAGGACATTGTAAGGCCAAAGGGTAAAAGTTTTTTTTTTCCCCCCCCTCTCCCTCTCTCTCTCTCTCTCGCGCGCTCACCCACAAGTGGAGCTCGCAAATCAATACAGAGATGGGGTCTATTGGCTGAAGCCATTTTGGTCAAAGCACCTAAAAGTGTACGTGCTACCTTCCGGCAACCACGTGTTCTCTTGTTGCAATGGCAATGGCACAGCCAAAGAAGCCAGCAGGTGGAGCTTTTGGTCAGTTCTTGGCTGAGAAACGTCCCGAACTGCAGACGCAGTGCAAAGGACAGCCCATCACGGCCATCACCAAGTTGGCCTCTGAGAAGTTTAAGGCTCTCAGTGAAGAGGACAAGAAGATCTACCAAGAGAAGTTCGTGGCTGCCAAGGCCAAGTATGATGAAGACATGAAGGCATTCCTGGAAGCAGGAGGTGAGAAGAAAGCCATTAAGAAGAAGGGCAAGAAAGATATCAAGAAGAAGAAGGACCCTCAAGCTCCAAAGAAACCAGCTGGGGGTGCTTATGGCTGTTTCCTTGCGAAGAATCGCGCTGCTTTTATGAAGGAATGCAGTGGTCAGCCAGTGACGGCTGTGACGAAGTTGGCATCTGCCAAATGGAAGGAGCTTAGTGATGAAGACAAGAAGATCTACGAGGAGGAGTTCCAGAAGAAGAAGGAAGAATACCAGGAAGCCATGAAGTCCTATGTTCCATTGTCCAGTGCCGACGGAGATGATGAACCCCCCGCGAAGAAGCGCAAGACCAAGGAGGGAGCTGCCGAAGCTGCCAAGTCCAAAGAGTCCAAAGCAGCCAAGAAAGCAGATGCCAAGGCTGCGAAGGCCCAGGCCAAGGCTGAGGCCAAGGAAGCTAAGGAGGCGAAGGCCAAGGCGAAAGCTGAGGCAAAGCCCAAGGGAAAGGCCAAGGCCAAGGCGGCAGATGCCAACGCCGGAGTGAAGTTGGAACCTGCCGTGGCAGCCAAGGCAGAGAAAGCAGGATGGAAAGATGTCCTTGTGAAGTTGGCGGCGCGTCCTGATGTGATTGCATCTGGCAAGAGCCAGACTGCCATGCTCCAGGCATTGGAAAAGGTGAATGGATTGTTGCATCCGGCCAGAAGAGCCCTTTTGGGTGCGTGAGTTGAAGCAAAGATGTGAAAAGATTGGAGAGGAGAGATGTGCCACGCAAGAAAATCGCCTGGCATGTCAAGAGTGTATTTGAATCCCAGAAACGGGGGATGTCAATTGCAGATCGAACGTGTGTTTTGTGGACACGTTCTTCGGGGTGCAATTGTAGATCATTCGTGCTGCGTTGCAGTCTCTGGCATCGATCGCGCTTTGGAGAGAGAAAAAAGAGCTGGGCAGCCCGCAGCCCATGCGGTCCATTGGGAGCAGTGGGAGCAGATGAGAGAAGAGAAATCCTGGGTGCGCTGTGCATCGTTGTGGTGCATTTTATGGAACCAAGGCTCAGGCAGAGCAAGGCCTGCAGAGAAACAACTTGGAGGAGGGCGCAGGGTGGGGTGGGGTGGTTTGATCTATTTGTTTTGAGAATTGCCTGGGATATAAGCTGCATTCAGAGCCCATGGGGATTTGCAGTAAGCCTGAGTATGTACAGCGAATGGCAGCGACGTTGTCCGCCTTGTTCCTTGTTATACTGTATCTAGAAGCCCAGGCAAAGCAAAATACTGTGAGATGCGAGGTCATGGTAGCTTCTCTCAAGGTCATGGAAGTATAAGGTAGGCTTTGCAAACAACCAAAGACTGATCCCCCATGCGGAATTGATGGTGTTTACCCGATAGAGTTCAGGATATCATGCACATGCAGAACCTGTATCTACCTCACCAGGTCACCAGGTAGTTTTGGGCATGTTTTGGTCTGACATGCTCTGACTATGACTGCTGATTTCTTTCGAAGATCTGGAAGCGTCATGTCCTTTGTGCAAGGCATCAGCCAAGAGTTTCCAGCTACAAGCGCAGGCAGCATGGCTTTCGTAGCACCGGAATGGGAGTGGTATGGAGTGGTCTGATATCGGTTGGTTTCCCACGGGTCCATCATGGTCCATCTCCTTGAAATCCACCGAGATCATCGCCCAAGACATTGACCAGTCCAAGCGCCACGTTCTCGAACTCAAGAGCTCTCTGCTGGGCAAACAGGTGCGGATTGGGCGGACAATGTGCCGTAGACATGTAGGTCCAGGGGGCTGTAGATCCACGGCGCAATGGTCCTCTGAATTAGATTGAAATAATATTATGATAATATTATGATATGATAATAATATGATATGATATGATATGATCGAATATGGAAACTGGAAGATGGTTCCCGACTCGAGATTTTTGGTCCGGTGCAGTGACCGTAAGCACGCAGTGGGCTCACGAAAGAACATGAAAGATGTGAACGGGTACTGTAACGAAAGGTCGCTCCAAGAATGCCGCCATGATTATACAGTTTCATTTTATGCAATTCCATAACCCTTTGGGCCATTGGGTGACTTTTTGGCAATTTTAGAGTCCAGTCCAGTCAGACTTGGTCCTGATGAGACACCTGACAGGCCATCATAGAAGATCACCAGAAAAGCATTCAGGTGGAGGAGCAGCTGCTTCAGCTGCCTTAGCCGCATCAGCATCGGATAGCATCGGGAAACTGTGGTAGGAAGCTGTCGCAGGAAACCGTACGAGTGGAGCGACAGGCAGGGCGCGAGATGGCTGCCGTGATGTTAAGTTATGTTAAGTGATGTAACGCACGTTCGTGACTGTAGCCATCTGAATCCGGCACCAGAATCACTAGAAACTGTTTGCAACTAGTTGCTTGGCCTATGTCCTCTTGGTTGAGCGAAAGGGGATGAAGTTGGGACTAATGTATATGATATGTGACGATAATATACGATAACTAATCAGTAACTTCGGGTTGTTTATCCAAGAGCAGATTGCCGAATGTAAAGAGATGCTACGTGCATGTGACAGGGAATGTTTGCCTGCCGGGCCGCTTGCAGTTCTTCTCTGGATCTTCCTGATAATCTCCGCCACTAATGGCAAACCAGAAACCAACTCCAAGATGGAAGTCTTACCCACAGCCCTAGGGAGATTGTATATTGCAGTTTCTTATGGCAGAGAGCATGTTGGGCAGCCGGTGACTGTAGCTGCGGACAAATCTTCCGCCAATTTACTAGTGTTACTAAGTGCTGTCTAGTGACTAGTGTTACTAAGTGCTGTCTAGATCTGTCTAGTGACTAGTGCCTATTGCATCTCATTGCAATGTATCAGAACAACATGGCTGTGGCATGCTATGGCAACGGCTGTGGCGAATTTTTATGAATTTTTGGACCAGTTTTTTTTTTAAAAATATAAAAGCAAGCAGACCAACCTGAGCTACTCACATCACATTGTTGTCCAAAACTTGACCATGTGCGAATTTGTTCGCCTCCAATCGATCGTCAATCGCTGGTTTATTGGTGTCTTGGATCAGTGGCCAGCAGAAATGTCACGGAAGTCTTATGAAGTCTTCAAAATGGATCTCAGTGTAAACTTCACAATACGCCTTGTGAAGCCGACTGCTGCCATATCGTTATCAAGAGCCCATGATTTTTTCCTTCAATCAGTGAGTGATCATAAAGCTGCCTAGGCTGAACCCTGGGTTTTTGGAGATGGTCCTGAGGAAAGAGCCTTTATCGCACTTTGACAATTTGAACAGCTACCATTCGCGCACTGGAGCCCCAAATGAGTAGGCAACAAAGATCCTCAACGCCCAAGTGATAGTCAGTGTGCTTAGAGATCCTCAAGTTGTGGCTATCCACCATGCATTCCCAACTGCAGTGATAAATTGAGCACAGGATCGGGCCATGTATATCATTGTATATCCATGTATGCTGCCTGTGCAGATTAGATCCGACCAGCCTAAGGTGGGGATTGTTGGCAAACATGACAGCTGGATCACAGACCTGTCTGTGCCTGTTCCCACGAGTGAGAAAAGTCCTGAAGATCCCAACCTCTTGCTCCCCGGCTAAGTTCGCTTCACCATTCAGGTTTTTAAATTTTTCATTGGTTATTTTATGAGTCAGTTCCAAGCATTTCCAAACACATATTTTTCAGGAGAGCCCTTTTGAAGGGCAATCTTTCAACAACTTTCTTTGGTGGTTATTTCTCGGGGATCAAATCGGAACGGACAGCCAACCACAAGGGGAGCAATTTCTTCCCAGCTTCAGTGGCAAAAAGGTAACATGTACAGCCCATGCCACTGCCGTCCCGATATCAGACCTTGGGTAATTAACCTGCATGTTTCCCGAGCAACAACGCACTGCCAATCAGTTTGATCATGTTTGATCCAATGAGATTTCGCCTTACAAAAATTACATGTGCCATGGTCAAGAGTTGGATTTAGCACACATGGCACAACTTCAATACTGGAAACTTCAGGTTGTCCGCTTCCAGGGACGGCCTGTTGAAGCTTTGGTCAGTGCCAGAAGGGGCTTCTGTGCAAAAAGCAGCGAGCTCAATTTCCTGCCTGAGATGGGATGACAATAGCTGACATGGGTGTGCGTGAAAAAAATCTAAATCCAAACCGACATTTTTTAATGATTGAATACTTGGAAAAGATATGGAGATATATCGAGATATGATTGTGATCTGATCATGGCTGGGATTTTGGTTTGCCATGCCCCATTGTCAGACCCCACATGCTGAGGTCGTTTGCAAAGGGCACAGGGATGTGGTGTCGGGCTGCCAGCTCTCTCCAGATGGAACCTTCGCTAAGCTTCCCTAAGATTTTTGAAGTTTATTCAAGATCCATTCTCACATATCTTCGCTCATTTATCATCTTTATCATGAATGATATCATATGATATCATATGATATCATTATACTTTGGACATCCTAGACCCAAGTTGGATTGGTGACGACACTGTGCAGCATTTCTTAGGGAGAGTTTGGCAATTGTGGAGGCTCTGAGGTAATGATTGCGGCGTGACAAATCTAGCGGGGAAGCACTTCCTTAGGGAGTCACGAAGTTAGCAGTGAGCCCAACTCCTGTGCAGCAAAACATGTTGATGTTTATTCAGTAGGTTGACGTAATTTGATTGTATGGACATCCACTGAAGCAACCACTCAATCCTTGGGCCGGCTTGGGCCAGATTTATTTGAGATTCTCATTGCTCGAAGTCCCATGTTTCAGGACAATTTGCAGTATCTTGCTCCTGGGACCGAAGTGTCTTGGCCAATCCGTCGTGAGTAGACATGAGTTTTATGGTTTGGACTTGGTAGAGTTGCGTCCTGCCATCTCAATGGAACTGCCCTTTCTGTTTACATTCTATAGTGACCCTATAGTGCTTACTTATGTTTTTTCTTTTGCAAAAAGACTTTTTGTCAAGGACAGTGTGCATAGGGAACGGTGGAGCAACCGCATAGCCGGGACATTCGAGGACAGCTTTCACCAAGTGAGGGCCCGGTGTACTTGTAAGGCTCCTGCGGCTCTTAAGGTGCAGACATTTGGTGAAGCGGGGTTGAAGCAACCAGCCAATACCAGCCATGCAAGGCATGAAGATCTGGCACCTGGAAAAAGATCCGGGAGAAGTGCTTCGGAGTGGCAGGATCGACAAGCAGCTGAACACAGTGATATTTTCACCTGACATGCGGCAAATTCTTACTGGAGGCCAGGCCTGGGACGTCAACAAAAAAAACAAAAAGTACAACTCCAAGCCTAGCAGTTTAAGGATATTCTGAAATATTCTTAATATGTTGACAATTGTTGACACGGTCTTGAAATTTGTTTGAACCCCAAGATGTGATCCCTACTTCAAGCTCTATGCCCCATGGCAGTCCTATGCAGGTGGCACCCGCATTGATCTTTGGAACACACTTGCAGAAATCAAATATACCCTGGGAGACTGGATAGACAGTGACTTGATCGTCAAAAGCCTCTTGGGTGTCAGCAAGTGTACCAGTCTCAAGAACGCGATTGCGATGGTTTGCGGTGGAGCACCGGGGATGGTTATCAATTTGTCAAAATTATCATTCAATATCCAGCATTGACATGCATTGGCATTGTACCCACTGCCAGCTGTAGCCAACCTCCTGTGACGCTGGAAGCACTTCGATATACTTCGATGCTCATTCTGCAGGTCCTGGGGCAAAATCGTGACTCCGGATATGACATGCTAATGATTATTAATGATTGGATGCTGCTATTCTCGCTATTCTAAGGTAATAAGCACACAGATTGGGTTTCTGCGCTGGACTTGCTGATTTGCTTGGCAGACCATTTCTTTTCATTTTTTCCCTCCACTCTTTGTATCTCTTTGTCAGAGCTTTGATTGGGTATTGCCATGTGATCCCATTTTTGCGGCGCTAGTTGAAGTGAACGCATTTTTTTCTTGGGGGGGTATTCGGCTTGAAGGATGAATTTCCCAGGAATTCGTGCCTCTAGTGTCGAAGGAGGACGACAAAGGCAGGCCTGAAAGTTTTCTCTCTGCATCTTGGGATCACAAGTTGAAGCGCTGGAACCTCACCAAGATGAAGCTTGCCCAGAATTGCATGGCCATCAGGGCCAGAAGAACTTTTCCCGACTGTGAAAGACTTATCTCGGGTAGAAACACGGTATGTGCAAACACGCACACGCACACACACACACAAAAATTACACAGATACATACACACACGTATATAATACGTATATATATCATTATATATCTATATATACATATTATACATATATATATATAATTACTATATACATACATATATACATATATATTATATTATAGTATATAATCTAGCACATATATATATATAATCATATACACACATAAATATGTTATACATGATGTAATTAAGGTGTTCCGTTTCAGAATTGGATGCCAAACATGCCCAGACATGCCCACATATCAATATCATCTAAGGAAACTCATCAAGGAGTTCGTTGGGCACAAAGGCCACCCCTCCGTTGGAAAGGGCCATTTGAAGGGAGCACAACATGGCACATATTCAGCCGCTTTGAGTGTATAATAGATAAACTATTTATCTATTTGATATGAGACAGTAGCACCTTCAGAGCGGCGTTTATACCATGAGATTCTCAACTACATTAAACCTGTTGTATTAGTTCACATATTTCGTGGTATCTCTTGCACTTTCTGTGCCATCGACCTCAGGTTGAAACTCAGTGCTAGGGCCTGCTAGGGCAGTGGGGCAGTGGGTGATAATTAAAATACGCCTCAAAGGCAGAGACAGCCAAACCCATGCCAGTTCTCCGATGGCTCGTGTTCCCTTCTGACCGTCTAGACTTAAACTGTCAGCTGAAAGCTTGAGTTTTGACAGTCTCTTTGGGACACAATGTCCTGACACTTTTGGTATCGTTTGTTGTTGATACGCAGGGCCAAAGTTTTCATTTGCTTTTTTTCACCTGTTTTTGGGTGGTGTTTTCTTGCACACTCATGCGGGTCACATGGGGGGGCGAGCTCAATGGGCCAGGAGTTGTACACAGTATTTGCATCAGTCCAGATGCTTCTTTGATTGCTTCTGGCGGGAAGGAGGCGCATCAGCAGTCAGAAGGGCATCCATACTTCATTTGATCCATGGGCTTTCACCATCTTTCACCATTGTTTGGTGGTGGACTTTAGGTGAAGTTCAGGGGTGCAAGCAACCGTTGCAAGGCAGTCGCGAAACTATGGGATCTCGCGGAGGGTATGCTTCTTTACGCACCTCGCCCGCTGACAAAGATCAAAGCACATTTTAGCAAGATGTTCACGCTGCGTAGAGAGACTACAGTGACTTCAATCGGATCCTGAAGGAGCGTACTGAAGCCTCAGTCTACAGTCAATCTATGTCAATGTAGTGCATTAAATTAGCCGTACAAGCAACTCAAAGTATGGGTGTTGGCCGCATATTCAGAGGCTTTCACATGATTTGATGAGGATCTTACCGTGGTCTCCACAATTAATTCGCTGGCCTTCTCTCCTACGCGGTACTGGCTGGCTGTGGCCACAGACGTCTCCGTTGAGGCGAAGTGTGTGACGATCAACAGTTGTAGTGTGTTGATGTATGTTGCAATGGCCCAGAATGGCCCAAAATATCCCACAAAAGAATACAAAAGATTGGTCGCATCTTCATTGGTGCAGCCTTGCGAGAGTTTTGTCACGTAGTTTGATCAACCCCGCAGTATTATGAATGCAATGAACAGAGGGGTTACTCATGACTGAAGCAGATAGAAGCGACCCTGGGTCTCTCTTACCACGCAGGTATGGGATCTTGATGCTTGGAAGCAACCTAGCATTGCTCCACGAGATAGCCTTGTGCTGCATGTCATCACCAGCATTGCCAACGTCAGAGTGATGTATGTAGAGATTGCAGGGGCACGCACAAACACAGACAAACACACGTACATACACATTTCGTAGAATAAAAGCAATCATAGTAATAATAGGAATTAACATTAACAGTAACTAACAGTAATAAAAGTAACAACAGTAATAATAGTGAGACAAGTAATACTAGTACGAACAGTAACCATAGTAATAACAGAAATAATAACAATGATAATAAAAGAAAATAACGGTAATAATAATAGTAGCAGTGGCAACAACAATGCACTAGCAATGATAGTGATAATTATTATGATGCCCATGAGAACCATGATAATTGTCCATCATAACAATAACTACTCTAACAACAATACAATAAATGAACAATGCACAAGAGTGATGACAATCATGCCTGATCTCTTTCAGAGAGAGAGAGAGAGCGCGGGTAAGCATCAAAAAACGAGATGTGAGTACCTTGACCTACCAAAACCATCCAAAACCTGGAAAAAGTCACGGTTTTTCCACAAAAAAACGGTTCTTCATACTTAATGGTTGGATATACCGAAAATATGGCTTCCCGAAAACCCGGGGTGTCATCATCCAATGGACAATGACAGGTCAAGAGGGTACGATTCGAATGATTTCCTTTTAAGAAGAGATCGTTTTGGCCACTTCTTGATCAGATTAATCCCGAAAATATAAGGTTTGGATCGAACACCATTTTACCCATAAAAACACTAAACAGCAATAAACTTCCCATAACAACCAACAACCCAAACCTGCAAAACCCAGTTTTCCATCAATTTTTCGGCCCATTTCAGATACCCGGGCCGGAAATTCCGTGTTCAGCATCCAGATTGAACTTCTCTTGGGACACGCGCAAGTGCCACAGGAATATCAGGAATGAGGGCGTTGATTATGCAATGCTCCTTCATGCCTGCTAAAATAATTTGGTGGGGTGGAAGCAGCAACAAGAGACATAGTTACGAAGGAAGGGATGCAGAACTTCACTAGGCCTACTCTAACATGGTGTTTGTTGTCCCAGTCAATGGATCATGTGATTGTTTCATTTAAATCAACCGAGACCGAAACATTGCAAAACCTGGAAACGTTTTTTACCGGAAGGAAAACACTTTTTGTTTTAACACACCTTTTTTGCTCACAGGTATGTACGATATTTATATATATATAATATAATTATATATATATAGATATAAATATACATATTACATACATATGTCATCTCAATGCACTGTGTGCCAGCTTTTCGCATTGTATCTGAAAGTATGCGAGGAAATCAAGCAGCAAATCTGGGTGGCTGGTCTTGCGCAATTGCGGATCGTTGAAGTTTTCAGATTTCCACCCCCCTCTGAAGGTCATCCAGCTATTTGAGCTTTGCCGGACATGTTTTGGGTATTCGGCGTTGTTTCGAGTTGGCCTTCTATCCTGGTTTCGGATGGTTTCGGTTCATGACACACTGGCAGGGTGTGGAGACCACCTTTGGTTCACCGGTGTCCAGGGTTGACATGGCTAGGTGGACAGAGGACCACCTTTGCCGGAGAACATTCCCTGGGCGACCTGTTTGAAGTGGAGCACCAATGGCCAATCGCTTTTCGTTGGTCATTCAGATGCTTGCCTCAATGGGGCTCACATGTCTTGGGATGGCATCATCATTTTTATATTCAGGAATCGGGAATCTATCCCAAATGCGATATAAGTAGCTCCACTTAAGAACATATGTGCTCAGTAATTAGGTCGCTACGTCAGGCCATGAATGCTTGTTTTGAATGTTTGCGATCAACAAGAAACACTGGGTATGACGGGTATGATTTGAGATCGATTCGCTGCTCTTGTGTCAGATTTTCTTCCTTTCAGAGGCAGGCCATGCTTTGGGAACAGCTGAGGATGGCACAATCACGCGATACGATGAAGAGCCGGATCGTCCGGATCGTTGGTGAAGACGCTGAACGTGTCATTGTATTGCTATTATATGATATTATATGCTATTATTGCTTTGCCTGCCGTTTCCCCGTTTCCCCGTTTCCTGCTTACTTCCACAGCGCACATGCCCATGGCAGATCGCTGTACGGTCATGGCCTTTGCAGATCCGTGATTTTTTCGTTTCACCTTGCGACGAAATGCGACGAAGATTTGGCCGGAAAAAGGCACAGATCCAGAGTCACTGTCAGCTGCAAGTCACTGTGAGTCACTGTGAGTCACAGGCCATGAAGCGAATCCAGCTTGAAACTGAGTTGGTTTGGGGCCCCAGCCGGAAGGTCGGAAGATTAGCATTAAATTAGCTCATGACAAATCGCAAACGAAAACACCCCATACATCCCCATACTGTATACCGTATACAGGTTGATGGGTTGTTTTTAGGGTGACTTTTAGATCAGCACCATTTAGTCTATTTGAATCACTACTAAAAGTTTCAGAAAGTGGTCAGAGTGGGTGAGCTATGGTGAGCTCAGATCTAAGGATCAAACACGCAGCAGCCTAGCCAAAGCACAAGCTGGGCTGGAGGCTGCCACTCCCTCTTGGCTGCCATTGTGTTTCGGACAGGTGCAATAGGACACCCTAGGAATTTCAACCATATAGTTCCATGATGTTCCATGCATGTTGGCTTTTCACGTCGCATTTGTAGATAAATGTTTGTGTATTCTATATTCACTTAATAGACACCCCGTACACACGCACATTTGTATGTATATTCACATTCATGTTCAAATAAGGGCCGGTACAGACTTATTCTATTAAATATAATGCATCTACACGCCGCAAAAACAGGCTGGAAATGGCTGGAATGAATGGCATTTCTTCCTGTCTCTATTTTTTTCTGCTGCGTCTTGGCACTGTCTGACAGGTGTCCAGACTTCAGCTCCAAGAGAAAGAGATGCGACGGAAAGACACCACCAAACGCTTGGAAATTGTGCCATGGTGGTACGGCGTGTTTGCACCCTTCAAGGAGGGATGCGGGTACACGAGTGCATGGCTTCAATAGCCAGAATTGCACCAATGTTATTTCAAGGGCCCAATGAGGAAGCGATAATTCGGCTCCTTCGATGCTGAGATTCCTACGATGGTTGAACTGGCAAATCGGGCGGCTGCTGTGATGCTTGTCTCATACTCGTAACTGAGGTGCAACAGGAGTTGGAAAGCTTGAAGTCCGAGGTGGGCTGGGAATGTCACAACATGTCGTATGTGCTGGGGGCCGCAGCAGTTTCACTTCTTGCCCTAGTCACAGTCACCTCTAAACTTCAGGATCTTCAGGCATTTCATTGAGGTCTCGCCAAGCAAACCTTTGGGCCTTAGGGTCATTGAATCCAACTGGGATGACGTGGGGAGGAAAGCGACTCTCCTGTGCGATCTTCGGCAGCTGATGTCAGGGCCTAGGAAAAGGTGGCAGGATGTCACAACATTTGCCAGATAGGGTAAAGAGATTAGAGCAGCTCTCAGTGCCCTTGGAACTTCAAAAAACATGCGCACAACAATAGCTTGCTAATTTGGCCTAACTGGTTTTGAGATGTTTTGAGTTCATTTGCCAAGTGCCGTTTGCGGACCAGATTTGAGACCAAGAACTTTCATGTCCTACTGTATAGGCATTGTTCACTCATTCCATGTACTGTAAACAAATGAAACCTTTCACGCAGCCTTGTTCGTTGCAGTCTCCTGGATTTTTTTCGGAGGCCAATTTGCTCGAATTGAACGTAATTGAGGCGAAGGCCCTTTTGCAGCAAAAGCAGAGCAAACTGACGGAACAGGAGCTCCAGGTGCGATACTTGGGAAGTTCTTGGCAGATTTTCATGCAATAATTTTCATTAATTTTCAGCCTTCAGACTTGCTCATCTTGATATTCGAGGGGCTTAAGTCCTACTGCTGAAATGTGTTGGCAAAGCATGGCAAAGCACCACCTGCGAGATAAAATTGGGGTTTGGCATGATTTCCTTGGCCTTAACTTCTAGGGCTTCACAGTTAATTGAGGCGATGACTGACTACCCAATGCCACTGTGCAAGGTCCAACGTCTTGAAATGGCAGGATACCCAGTGATTACTTGAAGATCTTGAAGCTGGGGTGTCAGCATGTTGTCAGCTGACTAGTTTGTGCATACTCTCAAATTGATTTTGCTGGCAAAATCATTCCTTAAGGAGGTCTTCCGTCGCCAAAGCTGACTGAGGATTTGAAAGAAAGCCGAGAGTTATTGGAGAAGCACAGCCAGAGGAGGGCATAGAGGGTTGGTCGCGTCCGGGCCATGAGTTTGTATACCTGATGCACTTCCCATCAAGGCAAGTCACGGTGGTGGGTTTCAAGGGTTGTTTTCATAAGAATTGAGCTGGAGTGTGTCAGAAGTATCGACCGGAAGGGCTGTTGTGCAGGCAATTGGGTGATCAGTTGCTCCGACTCAGGATGGCGGAAGTTCATGCCGAAGCTACTGAATGTGAGATGAAGAACAAATGCCTGGTCGCAGCCTTACAGCCCGCATCAGCCCGCAAAAAAGCTTCGGAGGCGAGTCTTGCTGCGGATTACTGGTTGCCATGTGCCATCCGCGCCGCGTGGGATGAGGCAGAAAAGAAGCAGCAACTCCAAAAAGACTTGGACGAAAGGTGTTGGTCTCAGTTAATTAATGTTAATTAATGTTAATTAGCAAGGCTGGGCTGTATAAATCCCACAATCGGAAACACACCCGGCATAGAATTAACATGATTACCCGTATACTGTATTGGATCGTATTCGGACTTTGTTGCAGTGCCTGCTCCCATCCACAACAGACAGGTCAGCATATGTTCTTTCACACCCACCCGTGCATTGCACAGCATCATTCCGTGGTGGAATTTCGGAATGCTTCGCATTCGAGACGAACCCGCCTTGCGGTGCAGGAAAATGAATGTCATCGAAAGCCTCAAAGAAAAGGTCTGCCTTTCGCAAGCTCTTTGAACAGACCTTGAGGGCATGGGATGTGGGAGCAGGGACAAAACAAGAATCAAAACTTGAAGGCAAGCAGAGGGATGACACCAGCCATAGATATTATGATGTATATAACGTGATGTAAGCCCCCTTTGACAAGCCATATCTTTGATGTTCTTTGCCAGTCTTTGCCTTTATGCCAGGAAGTCCGCCAGAAGCAGCTGGCCGGGAACCTGTGTGTGTCGGGGGGTTCTGCAGGCATTCGAGGGCAGGTTCCTTCCAGGTTCCTCCGGTTGCAGGTGGGCTTGTATGACCAAGGCAGAAGCAGTATGAAGCAGTGGTCAGATGTGGTCAGTATTTCCTGGATAGTGCGAGGGCTGCTAAGGGGTTGCAAGGCTTTTCCTTGAACCCTTACCCAAACCATTGAGCAGAGTTTGGCCCCCCATGATTTGTGATGGTGCTTGCCGATGCTTGCATGTTTCAAGATAATTCAAGATATTTCAATATCAAACAGATATCCGAAAGCAGAGAAAGGGCAAGCTGCTATGCTACAAGACACCTTACAGGTAGCATTATGTTTGCTTATTGACTTCATGGCTTCACAACCTGCCCCTGCAGGAAGTTGCACAGCCATCCCGAGCGCCCGTATGGGGATATATGGGGATAGGCAGGACACCAATTGAAAGATATGTAAAACCACCCTTCCAGAATCCTTCAGAGATTTTCAGACCTAAGAACATAGCCAAATCAGCACAGGTAGAGTGGTAGAGATCCAAAGTAATCTGTCCACGCCCACCGATGAGCCATGGCAAATCAGTACCAAAATTGGTCGGAAGTTCCTGGCCTGGCACGATGGTGTCTTGTCTCGAGATCCGGTATGCACATTTCAAAGGATGCATGGCCAACGTCTGAGATCCCTCAAGATCAACCAACAAATCCAACAAAACAAGGACCTAGAATGGTTGAAATCTGTTGAACACGCTGAAATTGAAACACGTACTGAACTATTCGGACATATCTGACATATCTGAAATTCCGATAAATTCCGCAGTCGTGGAACCACCCAAGGGCGCATATTTTTCCTAAATGTAGTTTGAGAATGTTTGAGATACAGTAGTTGGAGTTTTCTAGATTGCATAGATGTCCTTTTCGCAGGTGGTTGAGAAATCACGATAAATCAAGGATGGAAAGACGGGCGGGCCTATTTTTAAATGGCAAAACGACCGCGGCCGGCAGGAGCTCCAGGACAACTGCAACAGATGCTCCGACAAGCGCAGTGTTGCAGCGAGCCTTTGGGCTGATTAGACCGCTTCCACTGTATGATCTCTATTGATCTCTATATTGATCTCCATATGATCTCTAAATTGAATGGTGAATATCAATGAATATCAACGAATGTCAATGAATCTCATAGATCTCATAGGTCATAGGTCATATATTACGAAAGCCAGCCGAATAATCTCGTAAGTAGGTGCGGCGAGGGTGTGTTTTGGGGACTTTGTGTGATGGTGGTGGGGTTGATTTCCCTCAGGTCAGATGGGTGGTAGGGGCAGACAATGGAAGTACCAGTACAGCTTTTGAATAAAGCCAGATGTTGTTAAGAAGAAATGCATCTTGCGCGACAAAAGTGCGCTGGCTTTCGCTCCGCCCTTTTCAGGTGTATACATAACCACTATTATCCACTATAGACATCTAGACTGCATGAGTGATTCTCATGTTAGTTGGACACCTGGCAATGTCGTCCACGAAGCAATGCACGCAGGTGGCTTCAGTAGAAGCTTCGCCCGTAGCTCCTGCAGTTCCTGCAGATCCCAAAGCCAAGGCGAAGGAGAACATTGAGCGCAGCTTGGTCCTCCAGTAATGTCCTAAGATGCCTTTAGATGACTCAATGGATCTCAAGAGGCAAATTGAACATGAAGATGGTTGGCCCAGCATCTCCCAGCCAAGGTAGCGTGCATTCAGCAAGTATGGTGAACCAGGATGGTCACATTGAGGTGCGCCACCTCCGCGAGATGCTGACGGCCTTGAATGTCCCAGTTTCTTGCCTCAAGATGTGGGCCTACGGTAATTGTTTTGGGCAGTATACCCCAATGATAGCCATTTATAGGACGGGAGGACAATGAGGATTAAGCAATGGATTTGGGGGTATTAATCGAAGATGATTATATATATATAGATTATCAGGAATGTTCTGCTAAAATCATTGGAAGTCTTGAATGTCTCTGCGTGACAGGGTCTGCAAGAACCAAGGCAGATCATTGTGAAATTCTTGTGACTGCATCTGGTGCAGCGGTGAAGGATCCTTGTGGCTTCAATTTTAGACATGCCAACGGAGAGCACAGCAGAATTCGCCAGCACTTGGAATGCTTGGCAGGTCCTGGAAACAAGGAACATCCAGGAATCAACATGATTAGGGCATTAGGGAACAAGATGGGAACAAGCTAAGCTGGGGAGTGGGTCACAATCGAAAAACCAGGGGCCATAGATTTGGGATGCTCTTCTTGTTTTGTGATGATCATTATGATCATCAAATGACCATCAATTATCCATAGTCCGAAACTATTGAATCCCAAAGCAACGTTGCCTTGCCAATTCCTCCAATATGATCCAATAGTTACCCAATAGTTCTCAAATGTTCTCAATTCTGGTGACCCCAAGGAGGATCATGTCCACTTTAGCGACTTTCTGTCCTGGCTCTTTCCCGATGGAGAGGTGCTTTGGCAGCACCCAGCGCTCTGTCTTGTTTATTTTTTCCTGGTATTATCATGTCTTACCCTTCAGTACTCTTCAGGGAAGTGATGTGGATTTTTTTGGAAGTGGAAACTCTACTAGAGTTACTAGAGAGAGAATTGAGCCACAATGAGCCACATTAAACATCATTAATCATTAAACCACCACTTCGCAAAAAATCCATGCGCAACTCGGGTTCCACGACTCGGGTGACGACGAGTGGGGTGAGGTGCCCCAAAAGCAGCGCCATGTGCGTGGCACCGGATCGATGCTGGAGGGCCTTTATGCCGGGCAGCTGTCATTGGAGGACGCCGGATGGACGGATGGGATGGGTTCAGGACTCCAGGACCGTTTGGTCAGATTGGTCAGGCCATTGGGCCATGGGATGCCATGGGTGATGTTTTCAGACCATTTTTCGAGGACAGGACTAGAAAACATGCAGAATATGCAGACAATTACAATTCAATTATACAATTAATGTCAACCCTGGATTAATAAAGTTGTGTACGAGTCTGTCTCCGTAGCTTGAGGGTGCCGACACCTTCTCCCACGTTTTTTTTTCTTTCATCGCACCGTACTCGTACCTGGCCAGGATGCCTGGTGTCAAGCAAGCTTCATGATGCAATTGGACGATCTTCTGAAGGCCATAACTAAAATCACTGAACATCATTGAAAACCAATACTGCCAAGTGGATCTCACGGATCTCATGGCTGCCTGAAAACACCAACGAAAACGATAAAACCTACAAGGGTGTACAGTATGTTGTGCTTCTTAGTTTGAGTTTTATTGCTTATAGGATCTTATAGGCTTACAGGTCTTATAGGGGTCAGGCTGTTGGGTATGCTGGTGAGTGGTGAAGCAAAACTTTGCGGCCATCATGACATTCATGACATCCATGGCATTGCATCCATGGCATCAAACTCCTGCACCGCGCAGCGCGAGGTGCATCCATACTTGGAACCTGGATCTACCACGGCAGCTCATCCTTTGCAGTATTGGGTCACAAGGTGAGCTTGGTCAATGTGAACACTAAGCCACATTAAGCCACTAAGCAAACGTCATCACCGTTGATATCCAAGCAAGAGTCTGTACGGCACAAGTGCACGAGGGATTTCAGGCAGTTTCCACTTGTGCCCCACAATCAATGGTCGCTCGGAAGACTGACCACTTGCAGATTCTCATCATTCTGAGATATTCTGAGCGTGTGTTGATGGATGCCTCCCAAACGTTTTGGCCCCCAACATTTTAGACATTTTTTAGACATGGTGCATTTGTGTGGATTGCATGTGCACTTCTTGAGAAAAACAGTCGCTTCGGGGGACAGGGACATCAGGGACCAGCCCAGCTGCCATTGCTGCCTATGTTGCATCTATGTGCAGCATATGAATACATATGAATACATGTCCGGTACATATCCAAACAATCCTTGACAGCGCAGGTGCAGAGCTGCCTTCACTCGCAAGAAGTTTGGCGAAGCGCAGGAGTCTCTGCGACGCCTTCTTGCAGGTGAGTGTTTTGAAGAGTTTCAGTCCAGTTGGTTTCAACAGCACCTCAGTACCACTCAGTACCACTCAGTACCACTCAGTACCACTCAGTACCACTCAGTACCTCAGCAACTTGGAGCAAAGTTGTCAGGCTTGCGCACTGACCAGCGGCAAATCAGTGAGGCACACGGGGAAGTTATATAGTTACCACAGAGTGTAGTTCAAGAGCGCAGTTTGTGGGGATATGTGAGGATCATGTGGGGATCAATCTTTTTTGCGGGCACGCTAGCAATAGTTCAGGAGAGATAGATAGATATGCATGTCATTGTGTTTGACAGCGTTTTTGTGGCAGGCTTTCCGTCGGTTTGACACGGATGGCTCGGGACATTTGGATGAGCATGAGTGCAAAAAACATGCAGCTTGGATCAGCTTGGCAACGCTTTTTTTTTTGTCAGGTTGTTCTGAAATATTCTGAGATGGTTTCTGCCGAGTCTTAATGTTACAAAAAAACGGGGCCAAGGGCCAAGGAACGACGACTTGGAAGCGTTTTCAGGTTCTTGGCAATTGCAATGGGCCATGGAATGGAAGGGATAGACAGGGGTCATTATGGGTCCAACCCAGGTTGGGTTTGAGAACGGCGGAGCTGAGGTGTGCATACTTGGGCTGGGGCTTGGAGGAAGCAAGTCTTATTGACTTAGCATCTTGGCCCGCCTTCTTGCATGTTCTGATTGATTCCAGTGGACAGTAATGACAGAGATGCAAGGACCGTAGTGTGGAGTTTCTCTTGGGCTTGTGGGTTGGTGCCAAGGACAAGGATGGCCGCATCACGCTCCCAGACTTTCAGGGCTTTGTAGGACGAATGGGAGGCGGCCGGCGCAGTTGTCGCATGCATTCTGTAGAGTGAGACCTGGACACTGGCAAAGTTTCTCCATGTTTTCCATTTATCCGTGAGGTGTGCAACAGCTGTTCGAGCACCGGCGGCTGCGAATATCCTCAAGCCGCAAGGATCGGCCAGCGTTCCACTTTCCCAGTGGCAATCTACATTCTACTATATTCTACATCAATCCCTGCCATTGTTGGGATGTTCCAGTCAGACACGATGTACTCATGTGTGAAGATTTGAAGCCCATTGGCTGAATTTGGAACATGTTTGAACTAGAGGCCGGCATGGAGCCAGCTGCCTGCTAGGATGTATGCGACCATGCGGGCCTCGCTGTGGGCTCCCGCGTTAGGGCTCATTTCTATTGCCATGGGCACAAGAGCAGGTCTTGGCGGGAGGCAGGTGTCGACCTTTGGGAGAACAATTCGAGCCGTCAAAAGTGCTTTGGGACCACTGGCTGGTTTTTTGCTGCCTACATCCATGGGCTATAATGTTAAGGATATTAAGGGATGTTTCGCTCCTGTCCTGAAGGCTCAAGTGCTGGCAGTGGGGGTTGAGAAACGACAAGGCGGGCATGCTGTCGGCATCAGGTAACTGCATCAATTGCTTGCCTTAGCTACTGTAGGATACTCTGACAAGACCACGGCCTGATTACAAATCCGTCCTCAAACCCCGTATCACACCAGATACAGGTAGTAAGATTAGTGTTTAGATGTGTATAAGATTAATAAATGTCATATATAATATATACATATGAATATGTAAATGTTTCGGGCAATGGTCCTGCCCAGTTCCACAAAGCCAGCAAGAACCAATGACCTTCGATGACCGATGACACAGGTCCAATGGGTCCAGTGACCTATGGCGTTCTTCTGGAGTTTGGCTTTGGCTATTCGGAGAAACACAAACGCTGGCGTGCCAGGTTCGATCTGGGCTGTCGCAACACAAAAAAAAACACACATCCTGCTACCATCGCTACCCCACACTTGGCTGATGATTTTGTCTCTAGCGCGAATTTCTGAATGCTATTATGTGCTATTCCTTGATCAGACTTGTCTCTCTCCCTCATGAGAAAACATATATAGTATATTAATTTATATGATGTATATTATAATGTGTATTAATATCGATGTATATTAACGTACAGTAATACATTATATAACGTATAATAATGTATATTATACTTTCAGTATCTTTCAGTATCAGTTCTATTGTTTTCTATCTTCTTTGACATAGGATGTCAAGATCTGCTGTAGTTCAATTTCCTCATAATTTTTCTACAGTGTTCAGCTGCCATGTGCACAGGCAGGTGGTGCCGCCTACCTGGGTTCTCAGCAGCGTAGAAGATGCTTCCGTGCAGCTGGCCATGCGGGAGATTGGTCTGTTGGAGTCTTGACAGAGTGAGCTGTACCAACAGAGTGAGTTGTGGTACAGCACATGCCGCTAATATCCGCTAATACTATCTAGTACCTGAATGTTCACCTATTTGGTATGAAAGAATCTATTTTATGTCATGTGATGGTTATATGATGTGAGGGTGAATGATGGCCGTGTCGCACCCTTTGGTGGTCCACAAGCGTGCTGCCAAGAGACTTATAGATACAGCGAAAGGCTGATGAATCATGTAAGTTAAACATTTCCTTAGCATCAGGTTATCCCAGGTATGAAAGTTACGTATTTATAATATTTTATACTAAATAAAATTGAATAAATAAATATTGAATTATATATGTAATACATCTATAAGCAGATGTGTTGCACCCAAGGATGATGATCAAGCGTTCTGGGCACTGCTCCTTCCTGAGTCTGAGATGCGAGCTGTTGAACGTGCCTGTGGTTGCATGATGTTGCATGTATATTCACCATGCAGCGAAGAGAATCGGAACCTGGGAAAGCGACTAATTAGCAACTCCTGTAGAATAACGCCTCACCAGGTTCTTCTGATTCTGAGGTTGTTTCGAATCTTTTTGATTGTCGCTGGCTGGTTGGCAAACAGAACATGTCGGGAAAAAAACGTCGATTGTGGAAGTTGATACATGTGGATACAAACCATTTTTTCAGTGGGCAGCTGTGCAGGACCGTTTCATTTCAACATATTTCAACAGTTTGATGTGCATCGCGGAACCTAGCCTCTCATAAACTCGTATCTATCCCACCAAAAGGCAGTGCCATTGACTCGACTCAACTTCGCTATCATATGCTATCTACAAAGGCCTAATGCTGTTGGCAAGTATATTAATCACAAAGAAGGGGCATAGGTTAAACATGTTGAAACTGTCATCAGAAATCATCAGATGATATCAAGATATGTCAAGATATGTCAAGATATATCAAGATATGTCAAGATATGTCAAGATATGTCAAGATATGTCAGATTTATGTGTCACATACGTCACATCCGTGTCGCATGTACTTGCGGCAAGTGGATCTCTGCGGCCGAGGGTTGACGGACTGTCAGCGGAAGGCATTAGCAGGTGTCCGTGCCCACTCCACTGATAGCCACGAGCAGGCCTTGACGCAGGCGTCCTGGAGTCCTCGGGACGCGTGTCATCCTGTGTCCCTAATAGATCTTAATACCTTAATAGCCTATATCCCACTCTTCGCCACCATGCAGAGTATCTCCAGTTCCCTGCGAATTTGAAAGATCCAACAATTTCTATTGCCCTACTGCAACTGAATTGTTGCCGTTGCTTCAAGCGGCCAGTGCCTTTAAAATGACAAATCTAACTGATCTAACTTTTTCTGGGGCTCTCACGCAAAGACTGGTCCCAGATGCTCGGGGTATTTGCTTTGTTTTTGAATCATTTGCCTGGGATTTGTATGGCCTGCTTGTTTGATAGATTTTGATAGAGTATATAGTCTTGAGCTGTTGGAAACAACAAGCATGTGGAAGAGCTTTGCATGTATAATTGTTGACCTGCCTGAAAATTGCGCTAGGGACAAGTCCCCATTCAATCAAATAGATTCGAATTGAAAATTCAGTTGCTCAGCACATTCTTGGATGGTCACGTCGCATCACGTCGTCCGTACTGGTAGGTGAAGACGAGATTCAAGAGCATGGGATTTGAGGGCCGCGAATTGGAAACAACCTTGGGCTGGATTCAGGCAGGGCACTGGCGCTGGCGCACCATCCACCATGGACACCTCCATGAATTCTGTGCCTGCACCACGTCACCACGCCATGTTGGGCAGCATACAGATGCAAAAACTACTATATAGACAATAGACCCACACACACATTATATATATATAATTATATATATATATACAAGGAATATTATATTATATATGTATGCATGTATATATATATAGGGCATCTAATGCATCTACTAGCAGATCTTTCTTGAGTGACGTTGATTATTCCAACCACCTTTGACAGATGAGTCCTAGGGCCCTGGGTCCAACTTGGTTTTTTGATTTGGAGGACATGGCACCCGTTGTCATCCATGTGAATCTGGATCGTATGGGGCACTTCATGGAGACTGACGAGTTCTACCGCACCCTGGCGCTGAAAAGCAGGGGAATTCTTGGGCCAGCCTAGTGCCATTGTTGCGGCGACGACTTCAGAGCTGTCGGCTTAAGTCACTTTAAGTCAGTGAGAGCCTGGCCATCCTTATCATATTTATCACCCCAGACTCTTGTGGGATGAACCCCACAGTTGGAAGAGGTTCGGTCAGTAAATCAGTGAACTCAATGAGTCACGTGCAGATAGAAAACTTGCACCCTCAGTTGTGCAGAGAAGTTAGGGGCAGCAGAGCATTCTACAGCTAAACGGATGTAGACAAATGCAAATGGGGAGAAGATGGGAGAAGGAAAGCTGCGCCAGGCAACCAGTTTGAGACGAAGACATCCAACGGTGCCTTAGATCCAGTTGCTTGGCAGAATTACTGTATGAGACCACTGATGACCAGTGACTTGAAGCAGGTAGAAGAGTTTGCATATGTCGGCATATGCGTAAATGACATCAAATGACAATGATCATTCTTTGACCATTGCCATTGGCCCCCCCTAGCAACTGAAAAGCAAGCAGCCGCCCATGCATTCTGCAGCAAGGAGAACAATACCCGAAAGAACCTTGGCTCCTCATAGCTTTTTCCAGTCTGCAATATTCACAAGAGTAGGTTGTCTTCCAGATCCAAAATCCAAAAATCTGTGTTGGTCCCTCGGCTCATGGCTTTTGCTTCAGCGAGTCAGCGAGTCAGCGAGTCTGTGGCGTAGATTCTTAGTTGATTGTACCATCATGTGCCATCAAGCAGAGCACCGGGGTAAGTGGCTCGCTTTCTCAAACAAAAACATACTGTATCAATCTGTATCATATCCAACAGTCACATTTGCAAAATCACCCTTGAGTGATGCCCAAGCATGGCTCACACCAGCACATTCACCACAAGTCGGGCTTCCTCACGGGTTGTCCAGAAACAACCGCAAGCCACACCATTAGACGCGAGCATACGCGAGCCATATCAATGATCCAAATGGTGAGGAACTGGGAGCGAGAACTTTTTGGTGGCGCCTATGATGATGCCAAAGGCTTTGATCGGTGCAAATATGGTGCCCTGCGGCTCGGTTGAAGCCCAGAGTGGTATGGATCACCATGGATGACGATGACCCAAAGGGTGAAACCAGTATTCTGAGAATATCCTGAGTGTTGCAAGTCTGTGGTACAAATCTACAGATCAGTTGCTGTTTAAACATGTTTACACCCTTTGCTTCAGCCGTGGTTTTTTGTGAGCACCACAAGGCACATCAGTTGCGGCATCCCATGGCATCCAGGATATCATAGGCTATCTAGATCCATGATTCATAGAATTGGATGATGGGAAAATTTACCGGAAAGTCCTATAGGCCCTATATTTGATGGTAAAAACCCATGGCTTTCCGGTTAAAATTTTCCCTTAAACCAATCCAGTGAATGATCCATCTAGTCTCTGCAGGAAGTGTTTTGTAGGGGAGGTGCAGAAGGTGGATGTCCCACGACCCTCCGCACCAGGAACGTGATGAACGACTACCGAGGCAGGAAGTCACACATCAGACACCAACGAATGGATCGACTGGGGCATGCCTTGTGTCAGGATATTTCGGTGACCAAGGACAGATCAAGACGACTTCTTGTTGCATACCAAACCACCAAGCTATCTCTCACTCACAGTATCTCGGGTTCTTTTTTTTGTTTTTTTTTGTCCTCATTGTATTGCAAGGGATGTGTGTGCAATTGTGTGCAGGTGTGGTGAAAGCTCGCCAATACGGGGATTCCTATTTGGTGCTGAAGGATGTCCGCCTGCGCTGCACCATGTGCTCCACAGACTCAGGAGGCTGGGAGCAGAAGATGCATCGACTTTTGCAAGAGCGGATGGACCATGGATTCTTCATGATTCTTCCTTGTATTCTTCCTTATATTCATCCTTATGTTGTATATATTAATTAAATTTAATTTATATTAATAATCATGATAAGAATAATAATGATAATGATCATAATATATATAAATTATATTAGTATATAAATATATTAACCCTATTTAGATTCTATTTAGTCCTTATATTCATCCTTATTGAATCCTTATTCATCATCAGAGCATGAGTGGATGTGACTAGATATCGTTGAGGCATGCGCCACAACCGCCTCGGGGTGCTGGACAAATATGCCCACGTGCCCACTGGCAGCGAAGCAGCGGTTCTCGGTGTCTTCATTGCTCGTTACGAGTTGAGGTCCACAAATGAGGAGTGTTCAACCCCCCTGTTGGTTGATGGTTGTAGGATGTGATGCTATGTTATACATACTGCAAGAATGCATACTCATATATAAATACATAAATATATATATATATATGCATATGCATATAAGTATATACACACATATATATATATAATATTATATGTTATATATATACAGATATCATTATAGCTGAGCTGAGGTTGTCGGAATACAACGAGAAGGAGCTAAAGGCACGGAAGCCAACGGAATGAGTGCAGTTATCAATGGCATCCACATGTCACGAGGGGTTCTGACAGTAGTTTCTGACATGACTTCTGGATTCCCAGTTTTGTTTTCTGAGACACTTTGCAGGACCCCCCCCATAAATTGATATCAAACCATGGTCTCCTCTAAACAAATTCCATCAAATCCACCAAATTATGGATACCTCGGGTGTAGTGTAATTCCGACTCTGCCAGGGCCTGGTCGAGGTAGCCATGAACGCAACTGCACCAACTGATTCGCTGGCGCCGGTGCCAGACCTGTTGCGGGGAAGCACGGCGGACCCCATGCCCCCTGGCACCATTGGCCAAGGTGTGCAAGGTGTGCAAGGTGTGATACGTGGTGATGCCATGGTGCGGCATGCTGCAGCTATATAATGCTATAATAATGCTATATACAGATGTTATTTCTATTTGTTTCGTTCAGATTTGATCTTGTTTCAGTCATGGATGAAACGATAGTCTTGGGATGTTTTGGTGACAAAGAATTGATAGACTTCGAAATTGAGGTCAGACTGGATCACGATAGGCTTTCCAAAGCACGCTCAAGAGACTGGCCAGTGGTTCTTTGAAGTGCACTTGCGGGAGGCAGGATGGTGCAATCTCCTACCTGCAGCAAAGACTCCACGAATAAAGCTTATGTTTTTTTTGCAGAAGATGCATGCGTTGAATAATGGGTTTTGGGCTTTAATTCGGCTTCAATCTTTTGAAAGTGTATGGCTCCAAGATGATCGTCGCATCGCTGTTGAGGAGTGTGCAGCACCACAAGTTGGCCTTCTTTCCACCAGCTTCCAATCCCGTCCTGGCAGCAAAACCGGTCAAGGCAAGCTCCAGACTCCAGAGATTCCAAAGTTGTCGCAAGACTTGAACTCTGTTCATTCAGAGTAAAATATGTAGAATGCACGTACTTAAAGGGCAGGCAAGACAGACTACTTGTACCATAGACATCCATAGGCTACCCATTTTGCTTGATATGTTGTGTTTGATATGCTATATAATTCTTAATATATGTCATTTTTTATAGTCAATGATACTTAGGGTCGCAATCTCATTCTCCAGACATTATTGTCGCTTTGCCAGGCGTCGGCGACGATGCACACGGCTGGGCTGCCGATGGCTTAAGTGCTTCAAGATGGCACGGAGGTCGCGGCTTGACCTGCATGGCAAGATGTTACTGCATGTTACTGCAAGTATTAACTGTATGTCTATATCACAATAGTAATTAATACAATTAAATGTTACATCTATATACATCTATGCTATTGTATCTATTGTATATAATTTTCATTTATTCTGCTTGACTTGGCATGTGTGTGTGTCTGAGAGACATACTTTGCACTGGCCACATTGCTGAACAGAGTGAGTTGGAGTCCTTCAAGCACAGCAATAATTAAGGCATAAGCCTCTGCCAACCGACAGCACCAAATAGTCAAGCCGGGCAATTCCTTCAGTTGTGAGAAAGTGTTGGTTTTTATAGCCAGGATCAGGAAAGGTATCCTTTCTATTGCGTGTGAATGGTAGGACATGACGTGTTAATATGATATCAGATGCAAGGTAATCGCTCCTGGAGTCAAGTTTGGCAAGCTAAAGGCGGACAAGGCTGGGCTCTCTTGCGAGCAGTAGCGTGTAACCAATTGGAAAAGAGCATTTGAAACGTACTATAGTAAGAGGTCCTGAAATGCAGTCGTCAGTCAGCCCGAGAGGGAACGAGAGAGCGAGAGAGAGAACGAGAGAGAGAGAGAGAGAGAGTAGAATGATTTCAAAGCCCAAGGTGGAATAAGGGTGACGGTGGAACTCAAGCGAGATAGACCTTGATAAACTTGATAGGGACCTTGAATGACCTTGATAGGAACATGTTTGGACATGGTTGGGGCTCAGTTGTGATGTCCTTGTGGTGACCGCAGACGCCAGGGAACCGTGTGCTGAGCGCCGGCGTCACGGTGGGCGTGGCTGTTGACCTTGATGCACGGAAGATTTTCTTCGCCACAGACGGGCAATGGGATGAAGTTCCAGCCTTCAGTGAAGAGGACCGGAGTTTTCACCATCAAAATCCATCAAATATGGAGGATTATCATGGATTATCATGGATTATGGAGGTATATCGAGGTTTTCAGACACTTTTTACTGTTGGTGGTGCTGCTGTTAGTCCCTGCCGAAAAAGTGAGGGCAGTGGCATCAAGGACATCCCACTGGGCTTGGCTTTGTACCCTGCAGTGTCTCTCAAGGGCAGGGCATCATTTTGCTTTGGCAACTTGGCCGAGATCCTTCATGCTGATGATCATTGATGAGTGCAACTAGAAGCCGGATGTTCCCGTCAACTTTGCCAAATGGAGCCATAGCCGGATTGCTTACCTTTTTTGTAACTCTCCTCCATATAAAATTCCTAAATTCTAACAATTGAGTCTACGAGTAGGCTAGTAGAGCTGAAGGAGCAGTATTGATTTGTAGACCAAATCCCGGCCGCACATTTAAATTTCTGAGATGTTCTGTGAACATATCAAAAACACATAGCAAACCATGGCGCACTTGGCACTATCACACCCTTCAAACCATGGCGCACTTGGCACTATCACACCCTTCAATCTTTAAATGTCGTTGCATCATTAGAAATCAAGAACAGATATTTGATGATACGTGCATTTAATATCATTTAATATTGACGTGCCAGTGGTTTCTACAATTTGCACATCTACCAATATTCCAGGATCTTCCAGGATATTGCAGGATACTGCAGGTCATTGGTATCCCATTTGTTTCCTGAAGCGCAGCAAGCGCAGCAAGCGCAGCAAGGTCCAGAGTGCAGCTTCGGTCCTCTATCCAGTCGCTTCTCCCATTGGCCTGGCCTTTTAGGGCAATCTCGCATTGACATGCCTCGCATTGGTGCCTTGATTTTTTGAGACAGGGGATGACCATGATGGTAATTGCTTGATATTACTTGTCTAATTAATATTTGGAATATTTTGGAAGTATTCAAGATCAGCATTCAATGATGTGTCGCAAATCGATCTGCACGAAAAACTCTTGAGATCTTCGCAAATCCGCAGCAGAGAAGACATCGAAGGTGTGCATTAGCATAGTTCTGGAAACCTTCTTGCGGTGTGCTCGTACACGGAGCACTTCTTCAGCCATGTATATAGTATATAGATGGAATTTTCATGAATTTTCTATTCTCGAAGCAGTGGCCAGTATTCTGAACCAGATTGCGCTAGTTCATTTTTCACAACATGAGGTGATGAAGAGATTCTGAGCCTGTACAAGGCGCAGTTGGAGAATAGCTTTGTGGAGAACGGAAGCAGCGGATTTCTGTGCATGGTAGAATCTTAATGCCAAACCTCAAACTCCATCAAATTCTAAAGAGTCTGCACATTGCCCAAGACTTTGCACATTGTTCACCCATATCATCGGTGATCCCAGGAGATACTTAACTCACAGATAAAATGCAAAATCAGAAAACATGATACATGAATAGATATGAATAGAATATAGAATAAAATCATATGAAAACATATCAAAAGCATGAATTATATCAAGTCACTGTTTTTCATGAAGTCCTTGTAACTTGCAATTCTCCGTGGCTCATTGGCTGCAGCCATCGTGTCCGTTGTGTCCATTGTGTCGGCGTGTCCCGGTCGCCGGCGCCATGGCCGAGAATGCCGTGGAAATGCGACCCGTGCCACAGGAGTTGAAGCGTGGCAAGAGGATGAAATGGTGGAAAGTCGTAGAACAACACTATTGCCAATCTATCGGCAATCTATTATTATATGATGATTATAGGTTGTTAATGGTTGTTACTTTTCTTTTAATGTCATTATTATTATTATTATTATTATTATTATATATTACTTTTCATATTTGTCAAAAGATGGTGAAACAACTGAAATGGGCTAAACTGGCTTGGGCTTGTGCTGCTTACTCTATGCCTGCCACGGGCCCTAAACTTGCACGACTCGTTGATGTCCCGTTGATGTCCCGAGGAATCTGCTGCTGGGAGTTGTGTCAGTCTTTGCACTGATGAACACCATGAGCGGCACTTTCGTGCAGGCAGGGCCAGAGTCTCAGTCTGTCTCAGTCTGTCTCAGTGTGTTGCTGATGTTGCTGATGCATGCCTATGATGCTTATGCTTGATATGGCTGATTGACTCTTGATTGACACAGATTATAATGATGATACATTAATATGTATATATTCATGCATTGAGTTTGGCAGGCTTGGGTGTGCATGTGTCATCTTTAAGTGAGTCAATGAATGCTTTCATTTTGGCTCAAGTGGAGCTGAGCCAAAATAGCATTCATTGCTGTTTCTTTCCTGGCCCTGGTAAGGGGTGACCTTCCTAGACCTTGATTGAGCGGCTCACCACATCAATAACCAGGGGTGACCTGGTTGGTTACAAGCATCGTAAGGGGTGACCTGGTAGTTGCAAGGGGAGACCGTGCATGCAGCGTAAGCTTCGTGGGAGCGATATCCCGGCGGCCACCGAGGCGTCGCTCCTCCATGCTGCTGTGTTCCTGGAGTTCAAGCAGCACGTGGCGAAGCGATGCATTCTTGCTGCAGCAGTCCTTGGAAGACGCCAGAAACGGTTTTTGTACACCTCCTCTGCGGCGAGCAGAGTTCCTCAGGGACATTGGCGGCCGGGCACATCGTCTTATCCTGCGCTGTGTGACCACCCAAAGTTCGGGGAAACAACGAGTCATCGACAACGGTGACACCGGAGGGCAATCAGACCTTTCTTCCGATGCCAACATGCTTACACTATGTAGTCGCCCATAAGCCTGGTTATGCGTCGTTGGTCTGAGGACGAGGTCGCCGAGTTTTGTCACCATGATGCCTGGGAGACAGGCTAAGAGGACCTGCCGTCTGCCTACAGGTACTGCCCCATGTCAGCAGGAGAGCTTAGGCTGCGTTGTCGTCTGGTTTCACTGATGAGTGGCAAACTCCGGTATCCCAGGTCTATGCAGGCCTCTTGTTTAGGCTCCCCCTGGCAATCACTTCGTTCAACTGATTTTCCCAGACTGTTGGAAGCGCTGACTCGCTGGTATTGCCAAGTTTTGACATCCCTGTACTTCAATGCCGCGATCACTGATGTCCGCTCTGCCAAGGGCTCCGGGCAATGGGCGATGAAACAACTATGCCTGATGATCGGATCTTTATTTGCGGAAGACAAAACGCAGACCATGCAGAGCACTGGCGCTTCTTTGGGACCTACCCATGACCTGAGTTGCATCAATAAGACAGGTCATCTTCGTTTTTGGGCCCGCACCAGACTCCATGGCAAAGTTCGTGATGTCTTGCCACAGCACGTCAAGCAGGCCACTTTACTCGAGGCACAGCTTCCAAACTTTATAGACTTGCAATCTTCTTGGAGCAAGGTATTTCTGGGCGAGTCGGGTATGGCGGTCTCATGGCCATCAAGGCACGCAACTGGAGCTCTCTATGGTGTTGTGCGCCTTGATCGAGCGCCCCGACCTTTTTCGACATCGACATGGTCTCTGGTTCCTCGACAACGTTGCCGCAGTCATGACCTTGGTGAGAGGGCGCTCTAGCAATTCGGGGTTAGCAAAGCTCGGCCATTTGATCCATTTGGCTCTGTTTGCACTGCGTGCCCAGCACTTGAGGGTTCCCAACACTTGCCATGCATATGAATTGACTTTTTAAGCGAGTTTCAGTTTCCAAGTAGGGGTGATCCTACTTCTGGAAACCTGGATATTTGCGATTTCAGCAGCGCTGGCTGCTGCTGGTTTTGACTTCCCCAAGCAAGCTGGGTGTCGGCAGTGGGCACAGAAATGTGGGCGTTTGCTGTTTTAAGCAGGTTGGGTTTCCAGCAGGAGGTGATCCTGCTTGGTGTGGCCGTACTTGCTTTCGTGACATATATTGGGGTCCAAGCGGGGGTGATCCTCCTTGATGGCGCCCAACACTTGCCATGAGTATTGCTTGGACCACAGGGGGAGTGACCACACGGCTGTGGGCCTCTGCGTTCTCAAGTAGGTTGGGTTTCAAGCAGGAGGTAACCCTACTTGGTATGGCCGTATTGCTTTAGGGGCATAGGGTTTGGGTCCAAGTGGGGGTGGTCCTACTTGAGGGTGCCCAACACCTGCCATGAATATGGCTTGAAGTTTTAAGAACAATTTCAGTTCCAAGTAGGGGTGATCCTGCTTCTGGGCAACTTGGTTTCTGGCCATTTCAGCAGCTGGAGGCTGTTGGTTACTTTGACTGCCCCAAGCAAGCTGGGTTTCCAAGTAGAGGTAACGCTACTTGAGGATCACAGGTTGCCCACTGGCACTGCCAGGGAGTGAACACAGGGCTGTGGGCCTCCGCTGTCTTAAGCAGGTTGGGTTTCAAGCAGGAGGTAATCCTATTTGGTGTGGCCGCACTTGCTTTCGTGACATAGTTTTGGGGTCCAAGTGGGGGCGATCCTACGTTTTGGTGCCCAGCACTTGCCATGAATCTGGCTCGAATTTTTAAGCGAATTTCAGCTACCAAGTAGGGGTGATCCTACTTCTGGGCACTTGTTTTTTTTTGCAAATTCAGCAGAACTGGAGGTTGTTGGGTCTGACTTCCCTCCAGGAGGCTGGGTTTCCAAGTAGAGGTGACGCTACTTGCAGGCCACAGGTTGCCCATCGACACTGCAAGGCAGTGACCAGAGGGTTGTGGGCCTCTGCTGTCTTAAGCAGGTTGGGTTCCAAGCAGGAGGTAATCCTACTTGGTGTGGCCTTACTTGCTCTAGCAACATAGGTCCGGCGTCCAAGTGGGGATTATCCCACTTGAGGGTGCCCAGCAGTTGCCATGAGTATGGCTTGAAATTTAAGCAAATTTCAGTTTCCAAATAGGGGTGATCCTACTTCTGGAAACTGGATTTTTGCAATTTCAGCAGAGCTGGGGGCTGTTGGTTTTGACTTCCCCAAGCAAGCTGGGTGGCGGCAGTGAGCACAGAGATGTGGGCCTCTGCTGTCTTAAGCAGGTTGGGTTTCAAGCAGGAGGTAATCCTGCTTGGCGTGACCTTATTGCTTTAGTGACATATGTTTTGGGCCCAAGTGGGGGTGATCCTACTCGTTGGTGCCCAACACCTGCCATGAACGTGGCGTCAGTTTTTAAGCGAATTTTGGTTTTCAAGTAGGGGTGACCCTACTGGTGGAAACTTGGAGGTTTTCGTTTTCAGCAGAGCTGGAGGCTGTTGGTTTTGACTGCCCTAAGCAAGCTGGGTGTCGGCAGTGCGCACAAAAATGTGGGCGCTTGCTGTTTTAAGCAGGTTGGGTTTCCAGCAGGTGGTGATCCTGCTTGGTGTGGCCGTACTTGTTTTAGTGACAATTGTTTTGGGTCCAAGTGGGGGTGATCCTACTCGTTGGTGCCCAACACTTGCCATGAACGTGGCGTCAGTATTTAAGCGAATTTTGGTTTCCAAGTAGGGGTGACCCTACTTGTGGAGACTTGGAGGTTTTCGTTTTCAGCAGAGCTGGAGGCTGTTGGTTTTGACTGCCCCAAGCAAGCTGAGTGTCGGCAGTGCGCACAGAAATGTGGGCGTTTGCTGTCTTAAGCAGGTTGGGTTTCAAGCAGGAGGTAACCCTACTTGGTGTGGCCTTATTGCTTTAGTGGCATAGGTTTTGGGTCCAAGTTGGGGGTGGTCCTACTTGAGAGTGCCCAACACCTGCCATGAACATGGCTTGAAATTTTAAGGAAATTTCAGCTTCCAAGTAGGGGTGATCCTACTTCTGGGCAACTTGCTTTTTTTTTTGGGCATTTTCAGCAGAGCTGGAGGCTGTTGGTTTTAACTGCCCCAAGCAAGCTGGGCTTCCAAGTAGAGGTAACGCTACTTGGGGATCACAGGTTGCCCACTGGCACTGCCAGGGAGTGACCACAGGGCTGTGGGCCTCCGCTGTCTTAAGCAGGTTGGGTTTCAAGCAGGAGGTAATCCTACTTGGTGTGGCCGCACTTGCTTTCGTGACATAGTTTTGGGGTCCAAGTGGGGGCGATCCTACGTTTTGGTGCCCAGCACTTGCCATGAATCTGGCTCGAATTTTTAAGCGAATTTCAGCTACCAAGTAGGGGTGATCCTACTTCTGGGCACTTGTTTTTTTTTGCAAATTCAGCAGAACTGGAGGTTGTTGGGTCTGACTTCCCTCCAGGAGGCTGGGTTTCCAAGTAGAGGTGACGCTACTTGAAGGCCACAGGTTGCCGATCGACACTGCCAGGCAGTGACCAGAGGGTTGTGGGCCTCTGCTGTCTTAAGCAGGTTGGGTTCCACGCAGGAGGTAACCCTACTTGGTGTGGCCTTATTGCTTTAGTGGCATAGGTTTTGGGTCCAAGTTGGGGGTGGTCCTACTTGAGAGTGCCCAACACCTGCCATGAACATGGCTTGAAATTTTAAGGAAATTTCAGCTTCCAAGTAGGGGTGATCCTACTTCTGGGCAACTTGCTTTCTTTTTTTTTTGGGCATTTTCAGCAGAGCTGGAGGCTGTTGGTTTTAACTGCCCCAAGCAAGCTGGGCTTCCAAGTAGAGGTAACGCTACTTGGGGATTACAGGTTGCCCACTGGCACTGCCAGGGAGTGACCACAGGGCTGTGGGCCTCCGCTGTCTTAAGCAGGTTGGGTTTCAAGCAGGAGGTCATCCTACTTGGTGTGGCCGCACTTGCTTTCGTGACATAGTTTTGGGGTCCAAGTGGGGGCGATCCTACGTTTTGGTGCCCAGCACTTGCCATGAATCTGGCTCGAATTTTTAAGCGAATTTCAGCTACCAAGTAGGGGTGATCCTACTTCTGGGCACTTGTTTTTTTTTGCAAATTCAGCAGAACTGGAGGTTGTTGGGTCTGACTTCCCTCCAGGAGGCTGGGTTTCCAAGTAGAGGTGACGCTACTTGAAGGCCACAGGTTGCCCATCGACACTGCCAGGCAGTGACCAGAGGGTTGTGGGCCTCTGCTGTCTTAAGCAGGTTGGGTTCCACGCAGGAGGTAACCCTACTTGGTGTGGCCTTATTGCTTTAGTGGCATAGGTTTTGGGTCCAAGTGGGGGTAGTCCTACTTGAGGGTGCCCAACACCTGCTATGAAATCCTACTTCTGGCAACTGGATTCTTGCAATTTCCGCAGAGCTAAAGGCTGTTGATTTTGGCTGCCCCAAGCCAGCTAGGTCTCCAAGTCGAGGCACCGCTACTTGAGGCTCACAGGTTCCCCATCGACACTGCCAGGCAGTGACTACAGGGTTGTGGGCCTTTGCTGTCTTAAGCAGGTTGGGTTCCAAGCAGGAGGCAATCCTACTTGGTGTGGCCTTAATTGCTTTAGCGACATAGGGTCCTTCCAATTGGGGGTGATCCTACTGGTGGGCACCCAACACTTGCCATGAATATGGCTTGAAGTTCAACCGAATTTGAGTTTCCAAGTAGGGGTGATCCTACTTCTGGAAACATGTTTTTTTTTTGCAATTTCAACAGAGCTGGAGGCTGTTGGTTTTGACTGCCCCAAGCAGGCTGGGTTCCCAAGTAGAGGCAACGCTACTTGAGAAGCCCAGGTTGCCCATCGACCCTGCCAGGCAGTGACCACAGGGCTGTCTTGAGCAGGTTGGGTTCCAAGCAGGAGGCAATCCTACTTGGTGTGGCCCTAATTCCTTTAGCGACATAGGTTCGGCGTCCAAGTAGGGGTGATCCTACCTGAGGGTGCCCAGCTGTTGCCATGAATATGGCTTGAATTGTTTAAGCGAATTTCAGTTTCCACATAGGGGTGATCCTACTTCTGGAAACTGGATTTTTGCAATTTCAGCAGAGCTGGGGGCTGTTGGTTTTGACTTCCCCAAGCAAGCTGGGTGGCGGCAGTGAGCACAGAGATGTGGGCCTCTGCTGTCTTAAGCAGGTTGGGTTTCAAGCAGGAGGTAATCCTGCTTGGCGTGACCTTATTGCTTTAGTGACATATGTTTTGGGCCCTAGTGGGGGTGATCCTACTCGCTGGTGCCCAACACTTGCCATGAATGTAGCGCCAGTTTTTAAGCGAATTTCGGTTTCCAAGTAGGGGTGTTCCTACTTCTGGAAACTTGGATTTTTGCGGTTTCAGCAGAGCTGGAGGCTATTGGTTCTGACTGCCCCCAGCAAGCTGGGTTTCTAAGTAGAGGTAGCGCTACTTGAGGATCACAGGTGGCCCATGGGCATTGCCAGGCAGTGACCACAGGGCTGTGGGCCTCTGCTGTCTTAAGCAGGTTGGGTTACAAGCAGGAGGCACTCCTGCTTGATGTAGCCCTACTTGCTTTTGTGACATAGGTTTGGGATCCGAGTGGGGTCAATCCTACGTGGTGGTACCCAACACCCGCCAGGAGCCTGGCTCGAAATTTTTAGCGAATTTCAGCTCCCAAATACGGGTGCTCCTACTTCGGGACACCTGAGGTTCTGAGCATTCAGTAAACTGGAGGCTGTTGGTTTTTGACTTTTCCCGGGCAAGCTGGGTTTCCAAGTAGAGGTAACGCTACTTCAGTGACCACAGGGCTGTAAGCCTCTGCTGTCTCAAGCTGGTTGGGTTTCAAGCAGGAGGTAATCCTACTTAGTGTAGCCTTACTTGCTTTAGCGACATAAGTTCGGCATCCAAGTGGGGGTGATCCTACCTGAGGGTGCCTAGCAATTGCCATGAATATGGCTCGAATTTTCAGCGAATTTCAGTTTCCAAGTAGGGGTGATCCTACTTCTGGAAACTTGGATTTTGCAATCTCAGCAGCGTGGGCTGCTGTTGGTTTTGACTCCCCCAAGCAAGCTGGGTGTCGGCAGTGCGCTCACAGATATGGGCCTCTGCTGTCTCAAGCCGTTTGGGTTTCAAGCAGGAAATATTCTGCTTGGCTTCAGTGACGTAGGTTTGGGGTCCAAGTGAGGGTCCTACTCGTTGGCACCCGTTTTTTTTTTCTTCTTTTTTTTTACGTTCTCAGTAGAGCTGGAGGCTGTTGGTTTTGACTGCCCCAGCAAGCCAGGTTTCCAAGTAGAGGTAACGCTACTTGAGGTTCACAGGTTGCCCATGGGCATTGCCAGGCAGTGCCCACAGGGCAGGGCTGTGGGCTTAAGCTGGTTGGGTTTCAAGGAGGAGATGATCCTGCTTGGTGTGGCCTTATTGCCTTAGTGATTCAGGTTTGGAGTCCAAGTGGGGGTCATCCTACTTGCTGGCACCCGTGTTTGCGTTTTCAGCAGAACTGGAGGCTGTTAGTTTTGCCTGCCCCAGCAAGCCAGGTTCCAAGTAGAGGTAACGCTACTTGAGGTTCACAGGTTGCCCATGATCATTGCCAGGCAGTGGCCACAAGGCTGTAGGCCTCTGCTGTCGTAAGCAGGTTGGGTTTCAAGCCGGAGGCAATCCTACTTGATGTGGCCTTACTTGCTTTTGTGACATAGGTTTGGGGCCCACGTGGGGGCGATCCTACGTGGTGGTGCCTTCCACTTGCCATGAATCTGGCTCGAACTTTTAAGCGAATTTCAGCCTCCAAGTACGGGTGCTCTTACTTCGGGAAACTTGAGGAGCAGGGCATCTATGGGCGAGTTGGCTATGGTGACCTTATGGCAGTGAAGGCTTGCCAGGACGAGAGTGTCACCAGCTTGACTTCAGAGATTGAAGAATGCTTCGAGGTGATCGAAGCAGTGATGCGTTTCGAGCCAAAACGTGAATTTACAGTTTTGTTGCTACCAATTGCGAAGAACTACAATTCCTGTGGCAGCCTGCAGAGACCCACATTGCGCAGTTGGAGCTCTCCATGGTAATTTACACCTTGAGTGAGAGCCCTGGCCTTCTCCGCCATCGACACGGTCTATGGTTCCTCGACGCTGTGGCTGCAGTCATGACCTTAGTGAGGGGACGTTCTAGCAATTCGGACCTAGCAAAGCTAGGCCATCTGATTCCTTTGGCCCTCTTCGCACTGCGTGCCCAGGGCTACTGGGAGTACGTCCAGAGCAAGAGCAACTGGGCCGACGACTTGGTGGCGCTGCCATGGATCTAGCTTTCATTCGTCGTACCTCCCCACAATCTTTTTCCAGTTGCCATTCGTTGCAGTCATTCTCACCTTTGAATTCCTCTAGTGCTTTGGGTGTTTGAGTGCATTGGGTGATACCTGCAAAGGCAGGTCCCAACCTGGGGTGACCAGGTTGCTGACCAGAGGTGATTCGGTCTGGGGCTATGTGCGAGTCACATTGTGACACATCCAAAGCAAACCTGAGGAGAGCAGGTGAAACAGACTGAACTTTGGTAGGTGGTTGAAAAAGAGCTGTGCGCGGAAGACGTGGTGAGTTCTTCATATGTCACTTTGAGATGTATTCATGCATTGAGTTTGGCAGGCTTGGGTGTGCATGTGTCATCTTTAGTGAGTCAATGAATGCTTTCATTTTGGCTCAAGTGGAGCTGAGCCAAAATAGCATTCATTGCTGTTTCTTTCCCCACCCTCCCAACCCTAAGAGCCGACCTCCCGTGGAGATGTCCGCCTAGGTTAGGGGAGCCTGCATGGCAGGCGAGTACATAGCCTCTTTCGGGGATACTCTTTCGGGGCGACCAAAAGAAACTTCCCTCCCTTAGGTTAAGGGACGGGTGATACCTGCAAAGGCAGGTCCCAACCTGGGGTGACCAGGTTGCTGACCAGAGGTGATTCGGTCTGGGGCTATGTGCGAGTCACATTGTGACACATCCAAAGCAAACCTGAGGAGAGCAGGTGAAACAGACTGAACTTTGGTAGGTGGTTGAAAAAGAGCTGTGCGCGGAAGACGTGGTGAGTTCTTCATATGTCACTTTGAGATGTATATATATATATATCACATTAGGCTTACATGGAGCAATGACCCAAACTTGAACATCATGAACATCCGAGGAGTCAAGATCAATAATTCGACAACACAAACACACTCAGCAACAGTTTATGTTTTCGGTCTTTTTTGGGCCACACGAGACAACTGCAGAACATCGGAAGGAATAAGGAACCCATTTTGAAGGCCTTACGTACGACTTTAACGCGAGCTCAATATTCAGACATCCGCTCTTGTTTTGCTTCTAGCGCGGAAGAATGCGGAAGAACTATCAGAGCATATCAGAGCGCACTAATCGTCCAGGTGTTCTTTTCAGAGAACTACGGAGTTGGCTGCGTTGTCGCGATTGTGGGGAACCTTGTCCGGAGATGTCAAGAGATTGGGATTGCAACATGCAGCTTGGATCAGGTTGGTTAAACATTTTTTTTTGAAACCCCATAGGTCGCTGACAAATCCGTTGGACGACAGTGAACTACCTCTGTTTAAACACGCCTGTAACCACACAGTATAGTGGTGTAGTTGAAGGCGTGCTGCAGCCCTTGTAGTCGCTAGCAGCACGGCAGGACCTCAGCTAAGAGGTCCTTAGTAAGTCCTTAGTTGTGCAGAGGCATGTCTCGCATCCCTGAGGAGCCTGACCTTAGTTGCCATGCTCTGCAAACGGTCAATGTCTCCTTTTTCGTGGTCGAATCTGATCCAACCAAACTTGGAATGCCACCAATTGCCACTTTGGTCTCGTGCACTCAAACATGAGATGCGGAAAATGACCATGGTCCTCACCAAAGAAGGAACATAGAGGATCGTGGTTAGCATTGCTGACGTGAAGCCAGGCATCGGACACTACAGCACTTACATAGGAGCATATAGGAGCACTGCCCTATGATCACCTGAGATCTTGGTCTGGTCCCTCGTGAGCTTCAAGTTAATCAGGTCAAACTGATGGTGCAGCGCTTCAGGAGACGTCCAAGGCAGCCTCGGCTTCATGCCGTTCATCCTGGATCCACTCATTGATCCGGTTGTGACGCCACGTCCGCAGAGCGTGTAGGTCCTTGCTGAGATATGCTGAGATCAACAAATCTTCTAAGGTTGATGCGCCGTTCCACAAATCGTCCATATCCACTGTTGTGGACGAATTGCCAGGGTGCAGTAGTTGTCCAACCCTCCTTAGTGAGAAATCTCCTAAGTAGGCCCGTGGTGGTGAAAGCACCGTTGTGCCACTCAACCCTGCCCTGTTGGAGTTGGCGGTTAACACGACGAAATGTAACCACACAGTATACCCTTTAACAAAACGGTTTGTTTACCGAATCGGCTTCATGACGCTTCATGTGTTATCCCTGGTGATCCAGTGATCCATGACTCAGCACAGCCGTTAGGAATGCCATTGCTCCTCTGGGCTTGAAACTGATGAAGCGCCTGGGGGGCTCTCTGAGCCCCAAGCTGTCCTTGCTGGCCAGCAACTCGGATGCGTCGCGTGTAGGCCTTGCCACAGTTTTGGAGTGGGACTGAAGTGATTCCAGGTTGGTACTGAAGCGGCAAGCCGCTAGAGCATGATCAAGTTTCAATACATGTGGAAAATACAACAATTGATTCAATTGATTGATTTGATGGCTTGATGGCATGGGCTGGAGACATTGCCGTTTGATAGAGGGCTAACACTGGGAAAAAATACCCACAATATCCCACAATACATCGCAATACCACCCAACGCCTGGAACACTATTTCTGTTGTCCCACTCCAGCCTGCAGTGGACTTGAGGCACAGGTGCAATGCTTTTTGGCCTGGGCATGGCTTTATTCATTGAAACTTGGAAATGAGCCGCCAAATGCCACAGCAGATGCGAGCAGATACGTACATCAATTATCAATGATCAGTACTTTCTTTTTAACTTGGTCAAACATACTAAACTATCTGCTGATCGTGCCCCACCAGAGTTCAGCTGTGTCCCGTACACTTTCTTTTTTCTTTTCCGCTGAAGAAAACCTCAACCTTTTCTTTGTGCCATTTTGTGCAAGGATTCGTTGCTGGTGATGATTTGGGGCTTCACTACCACTACGGCCTCTGTCACCTGCTGTTTGCAATACATCCAGGACGGATTGCTGTCATCATCAATGGATCATTAGATATTTTGCATATATTAATTATGCACACACACATATATATATATATGTGGCAGGGACCTTTTGGTATAATGCGACCGTCCTCCTTGTCTCCCCATATTGTATTGCTGTTCTTTCTCTGGCTGCTCTCTCTCTCTCTCTCTTTCTGTTTCTCTTTTTTTTTTTCTCTCTCTCTCTCTCTCGCTCTCTTTCTTGCTGTTCTTTTCTCTGCGTGCATTTTTGGGCATACGATTCTCTTCGTCTCCCATCTGTGTCCCTACTTGTCCCCCTTGTTCTCTCCAATTTGTATCCTTAATTCCCTCACCATTGCTATTCTTCTCATTTCTTCTCTTAGGCTGCTTTCTGTACTTGTCTCTTAATTGTTGTGCTCGTCTCTGTGCGCTTTGGGACGAAACCTATTGTCCATTACATTCCCTTATCCTCGGTCTCTGCTTCCTCTTGTCTTTCCTCTTCCCTTTCTTTCCTTACTTGTTCATCTATTCTTTCCCAGTGCTTTCTTCACCCTCATTACAGTTGTTATCTCTGGGTGCTGTTGGGACCCAAGATTCTCCTTGCCTCCCATGTGTTCCAATTTGTGTCCTTATTCAGCCAATTTTTCTCCCTTTTCTTACTCCATTTTACTTTCCTACTCATTCTACTCTCTCCGTTGCTGTTTCTGTCTAGGCTTTAGAACCTTCAGGTGCTTTGTGGCCATAAACATTACCGAGTCCATCATCCGGGTCACCAGCATTTTGGGACGGAGAGGAGAGTGTTTCTCCTCTTTCCTTTCTTTCCTTACTTGTTCCTCTAGTTTTTCCCAATGCTTTCTTCGCTTCTCTCCTCATTAATTACTGTTGTTCTCTCTGGGTGCTTTTGGACCCTGGACTCCTGATTCTTCTCGTCTCCCATTTGTGTCCGTGTTTGTTCCCCTTGTTCTCTCCAAGTTGTATCCTTCATTTCCTTCCCATTGCCATTCTTCTACCAGGCTGCTTTGGGAAGAATGGATTTCCTGGTCTTTGTTTCTCCCTACTTGCCTTCCTTTGTGGAAGTCTGCGTGCTTTGGGACGAAACCATACGAAACCCATTATCCGTTACTCCGTTACATTCCCTTACCCTGGGTCCCTACCATATGTTACCCTACTTGCCTTTCTACTAGTCCCCAACTTGTCTCGGGATCATCTCTCCACTACCGTGCTTCTTTCCAGGTCTCCAGCATTTGGGACGGAGAAGAGAGCTTTTATCCTCTTTCCTTTCTTTCATTACTTGTCGCCCTAGTCTTTCCCATTGCCTTCTTAACTTCTCTCCTCACTACCGTTGTTCTCTTTAGGTGCTTTTGGGACCCAAGATTCTCCTTGTCTCCCACGTGTGTCTAGGCTTTAGGACCTCTAGGTGCTTTGGGGCAATAAACATTCCCGAGTCCTTCATTTGTGTTGCAGTCCTCCTCTCTCCCTTCCTTTTGTCCATCCCTGTTACTGTTCTTCTTCCTGGATGCTTCTGGGCACAGGATACTCTTCGTCTCTTCGTCTGCCATTTGTTTCCGTGTTCGTTCCCCGTGTTGTCTCAAACTTGTTTCCGTACTTCTCTATCTATTGCTATTCTTTTCTCTGGGTACGTTTGGGACGCAAAGTTCTCCTTGTTTTCCACCTGTTTCCGTGCTTGTCTCCCTTGTTGGCTCCTACTCCCTGCCTGAGTTCTCTTTCTCTGGGTGCTTGATGGCAGCGGATTCTTCTTGTCTGTCATTTGTTTCCATGCTTAGCTGCTTGTCTCCTTGTTTGTTCTACTACTCCCCCCCGCGCTCAGTGTTCTTCGTTTGGTTGCTTTGGGTACAGGACTCTCCTTGTGTCCCATCTGTTTCCGCGCCCGTCTCTCTGCTTGTTCCCAACTTGTTTTGACACTTCTCTCTTCATTGCTGTTGTTCTATCTGGGTGCTTCCGGCGCACAGGATGCTCCTTGTCCCTTGTCTGTTTCCGTACTTGTCGTCCTTGTTGTCTCCATTTCGTGCCCTTCTTTCTTTCTTTCTTTCTTTTTTTCTTTCTCTCTTTCTTTCCTTTCTTTCTTTCTGTCTTTCTTTGTTTCTTTCTTTCTTTCTTTCTTTCTGTCTTTCTTTCTTTCTTTCTTTCTTTCTCTCTCTCTCTCTCTTGCTGTTCTTCTTTCTAGGTGCTTGTTGGGACCCCTGATTCTTCTCGTCTGCCATCTGTTTCCGTACGTGTCTTCCTTGTTCTCTCCAAGTCGTATACTTGTCTCCCTTGTTCTCTCCAAGTTGTATCCTTAATTCCCTCCCCATTGCTATTCTTCTCTCAGGCTGCTTTGGGAAGAATGTTTCTCCCTACTTGTCTTCCTTCGTATAAGTCTCCTTGCTTGTCTCTCAATTGATGTGCTTGTCTCTGTGTGCTTTGGGACGAAACCTATTATCCATTACATTCCCTTACCCTCGGTTACTACCACATGTTACCCTACTTGCCTTCCTACTTGTTTCCAACTTATCTCCTTATCATCTCTCCACTACCGTCCTTCTTTCCGGGTCTGCAGCATGTGGCACGGAGAGCAAGGTTTCTTTCCTCTTCCCTTTCTTTCCTTACTTGTTCATCTATTCTTTCCCAGTGCTTTCTTCACCCTCATTACAGTTGTTATCTCTGGGTGCTTTTGGGACCCAAGATTCTCCTTGCCTCCCATGTGTTCCAATTTGTGTCCTTATTCAGCCAATTTTTCTCCCTTTTCTTACTCCATTTTACTTTCCTACTCATTCTACTCTCTCCGTTGCTGTTTCTGTCTAGGCTTTAGAACCTTCAGGTGCTTTGGGGCCATAAACATTACCGAGTCCATCATTTATGTCCCTTCCGTCACCTTGTTTGCACCTTGTTGCAGCTTTGGAATTCTTTGGATTCTTCTTGCCTCCCATTTGTTTCCATACTTGTCTCCTTGTCTGTTCCCAACTTGTTTCTTTATTTTTCTATCTCCATTGCGATTCTTCTCTCCGGGTGCTTTTGGTCAAAGGAATCTCCTCGTCTCCCGTTCCTCTCTCTCCATTGCTCAGTGTTCTTCGTTCTGGTGGCTTTGGGGACAGGACTCAAGTCTCATCTGTTTTCGTACTCGTCTCTCTACTTCACTCTCACATGTGGCTGTTCTCTCTGGGTGCTTCCGGGGGACAATATGCTCCTTGTCCTCTGTCTGTCTCCGTGCTTATCCCCCTTGTTCTCTCCAACTCGTGCCCTTACTTCTCTCTTCTCTCTCTCTCTCTCTCTCTCGCTGTTCTTCTCTCTAGGTGCTTATTTGGACACATGATTCTCTTCGTCTCCCATCTGTTTGCGTACTTGTCTCCCTTGTTCTCTCCAAGTTGTATCCTTAATTGCCTCCCCCTTGCTATTCTTCTCATTTCTTCTCTTAGGCTGCTTTCTGTACTTGTCTCTTAATTGCTGTGCTTGTCTCTGCGTGCTTTGGGACGAAACCTATTATCCGTTACATTCCCTTACCCTCGGTCACTACCACATGTTACCCTACTTGACTTCCTACTTGTCCCCAACTTGTCTCCTTATCATCTCTCCACTACCGTGCTTCTTTCCGGGTCACCAGCATTTTGGGACGGAGAGGAGAGTGTTTCTCCTCTTTCCTTTCTTTCATTACTTGTTGCTCTAGTCTTTCCCATTGCCTTCTTCGCTTCTCTCCTCACTACCGTTGTTCTCTTTAGGTGCTTTTGGGACCCAAGATTCTCCTTGTCTCCCACGTGTGTCTAGGCTTTAGGACCTCTAGGTGCTTTGGGGCAATAAACATTCCCGAGTCCTTCATTTGTGTTGCAGTCCTCCTCTCTCCATTCCTTTTGTCCATCCCTGTTACTGTTCTTCTTCCTGGATGCTTCTGGGCACAGGATACTCTTCGTCTCTTCGTCTCCCATTTGTTTCCGTGTTCGTTCCCCTTGTTGTCTCAAACTTGTTTCCGTACTTCTCTATCTATTGCTATTCTTTTCTCTGGGTACGTTTGGGACGCAAAGTTCTCCTTGTTTTCCACCTGTTTCTGTGCTTGTCTCCCTTGTTGATCCATTGCTCAGTGTTCTTTGTTTTGGTTGCTTTGGGGAAACGACTCTCGTTGTGTCCCATCTGTTTCTGCGCCCGTCTCTCTGCTTGTTCTCAACTTGTTTTGACACTTCTTTCTTCGTTGCTGTTGTTCTCTCTGGGTGCTTCCGGCGCACAGGATGCTCATCGGATGCTCCTTGTCCATTGTCTGTTTCCGTACTTGTCGTCCTTGTTGTCTCCATTTCGTGCCTTCTTTCTTTCTTTCTTTCTTTCTTTCTTTCTTTCTTTCTTTGTTTCTTTCTCTCTCTCTCTCTCTCTCTCTCTTGCTCTTCTTCTTTCTAGGTGCTTGTTGGGACCCCTGATTCTTCTCGTCTGCCATCTGTTTCCGTACGTGTCTTCCTTGTTCTCTCCAAGTTGTATACTTGTCTCCCTTGTTCTCTCCAAGTTGTATCCTTCATTCCCTCCCCATTGCTATTCTTCTCTCAGGCTGCTTTGGGCAGAATGCTTCTCCCTACTTGTCTTCCTTCGTATAAGTCTCCTTGCTTGTCTCTGTGTGCTTTGGGACGAAACCTATTATCCGTTACATTCCCTTACCCTCTCTCTACTACATGTTTCCCTCCAAGCGGTCTCCTTATCCTCTCTCCACTACCGTGCTTCTTTCTAGGTCTCCAGCATTTTGGGACGGAGAAGAGAGCTTTTCTCCTCTTCCCTTTCTTTCATTACTTGTTCCTCTAGTCTTTCCCAGTGCCTTCTTCCCTTCTCTCCTCATTACTGTTGTTCTTTTTGGGTGCTTTTGGGACACAGGACTTTCATTGTCTGCAGTTTGTTTCCTTATTTTGCTACGTAGTTTAATATTGGTGGCTTTTTTGGGTGGATATATAGTTTAGTATTGATGATTTTTGGGGTCAACAAAGTATATAATAAGATTCTCAGAAAGGGAACCACACACACACATGGTTTAGCATGTTTTTTCAAACATAGTTTAGTATGCTTTGAATACATCTTTTAGTATTGAGATTTTTTGCATATATAGATTACTATTGGGAGCTCAGCTTCTCGTTTTGGGGTATGCATTTTTTTGTTTTAATTTGTTGAATTTTTGAATTCAAAAAAAAAATCAAAAAAATATGAAATTCCCAGAAAGAGAGCCAGACTTAGTTTAGCAGTAGTTTTTTTAAAATGAATACATAGTTTAGTATTGTTTTTTTAAATGCATAGTTACATAGTTTAGTATTGAGTTGTTTTTTGCATATATAGATTACTATTGGGAGCTAAGCTTCTCACTTTTGGGGTATTCATTTTTTTTTATTTTTGATTTTTTGATTTTGAAAAGATGAAGGCATGGAATTAAAAAAATATTATAGAAACTAAGGAAAAGAAGAAAGATATATTTAAGAATTGATGGTGTTACGACAAAATATTAATAATGTAAGGATCAGAAAAATAACATAAAAGATAAAAAGTGAAAAAATGATGGATTAAAAAGACACCCCTATTTAAAAAAAAATGAATTCAGAAAATTCAAAAAAAAACAATAACAACATGAAATTCCCAGAAAGAGAGCCAGACTTAGTTTACCAGTAGTTTTTTTTTCAAATACATAGTTTAGTATTCGGATTTTTTTAAAAAATAGTTTAGTATTGAGTTTTTTTCCACATACTGTATAGATTACTATTGGGAGCCCAGCTTCTCACTTTTGGGGTATTCATGTTTTCAATTTTTTATTAATTTTTAAATTCAGAAAATTCAAAAACATCAAAAAAAATATGCATTCACTTTTTGGTGATTTCATTATTTTTTGAATATTTTGAATATTTTGAATATTTTGAATTTCAAAATATTCAAAATATTCAAAAAAATTAGCCAATACAAAAATATTTTGAATATTTTCAAAATATTCAAAATATTCAAAATATTCAAAATATTCAAAATATAATGAACTTCTCCCAAAAGTCTCTCTGAACCTTGTTTTTGGTGATTTCAAAATATTTTGAATATTTTGAATATTTTGAATTTTTTGAATTTCAAAATATTCAAAATATTCAAAAAAATTAGCCAATACAAAAATATTTTGAATATTTTGAATTTTTTGAATTTCAAAATATTCAAAATATTCAAAAAAAATATTTTGAATATTTTGATTTTTTTGAATTTCAAAATATTCAAAAAAATTAGCCAATACAGAAATATTTTGAATATTTTGAATTTTTTGAATTTCAAAAAATATTCAAAAAATTTAGCCAATACAAAAATATTTTGAATATTTTGAATTTTTTGAATTTCAAAATATTCAAAATATCCAAAAAATTTAGCCAATACAAAAATATTTTGAATATTTTGAATTTTTTGAATTTCAAAATATTCAAAATATTCAAAAAAATTAGCCAATACAAAAATATTTTGAATATTTTGAATTTTTTGAATTTCAAAATATTCAAAATATTCAAAAAATTTAGCCAATACAAAAATATTTTGAATTTTTTGAATTTCAAAATATTCAAAATATTCAAAAAATTTAGCCAATACCAAAATATTTTGAATATTTTGAATTTTTTGAATTTCAAAATATTCAAAGTATTCAAAATATTCAAAATATAATGAACTTCTCCCAAAAGTCTCTCTGAACCTCGTTTTTGGTGATTTCAAAATATTTTGAATATTTTGAATATTTTGAATTTTTTGAATTTCAAAATATTCAAAATATTCAAAAAATTTAGCCAATACAAAAATATTTTGAATATTTTGAATTTTTTGAATTTCAAAATATTCAAAATATTCAAAATATTCAAAATATTCAAAATATAATGAACTTCTCCCAAAAGTCTCTCTGAACCTCGTTTTTGGTGATTTCAAAATATTTTGAAATTTTTGAATATTTTGAATATTTTGAATTTTTTGAATTTCAAAATATTCAAAATATTCAAAAAATTAGCCAATACAAAAATATTTTGAATATTTTGAATTTTTTGAATTTCAAAATATTCAAAATATTCAAAAAATTTAGCCAATACAAAAATATTTTGAATATTTTGAATTTTTTGAATTTCAAAATATTCAAAATATTCAAAAAAATTAGCCAATACAAAAATATTTTGATTTTTTTGAATTTCAAAATTTTCAAAATATTCAAAATATTCAAAATATAATGAACTTCTCCCAAAAGTCTCTCTGAACCTCTTTTTTGGTGATTTCATTATTTCAAACATATTTTGAATATTTTGAATATTTTGAATTTCAAAATATTCAAAATATTCAAAAAAATTAGCCAATACAAAAATATTTTGAATATTTTGAATTTTTTGAATTTCAAAAATTTCAAACTATTCAAAAAATTTAGCCAATACAAAAATATTTTGAATATTTTGATTTTTTTGAATTTCAAAATATTCAAAATATTCAAAAAAATTAGCCAATACAAAAATATTTTGAATATTTTGAATTTTTTGAATTTCAAAATATTCAAAATATTCAAAAAATTTAGCCAATACCAAAATATTTTGAATATTTTGAATTTTTTGAATTTCAAAATATTCAAAATATAATGAACTTCTCCCAAAAGTCTCTCTGAACCTCGTTTTTGGTGATTTCAAAATATTTTGAAATTTTTGAATATTTTGAATATTTTGAATTTTTTGAATTTCAAAATATTCAAAATATTCAAAAAATTAGCCAATACAAAAATATTTTGAATATTTTGAATTTTTTGAATTTCAAAATATTCAAAATATTCAAAAAATTTAGCCAATACAAAAATATTTTGAATATTTTGAATTTTTTGAATTTCAAAATATTCAAAATATTCAAAATATTCAAAATATTCAAAATATAATGAACTTCTCCTAAAAGCCTCTCTGAACCTCTTTTTTGGTGATTTCATTATTTTTTTTGAATATGAAATGGAATCAAATAGTCAACGGTCAAATAGTACATGAAGGTCCATCGTACATATATATATATATACATACATACTACAGTAATATTATGTAATGATATCTATATAATGACATATAATGACATACAATGACATATAATGACATATAATGATATATAGTGACATATAATGACATATAATGACATATAATGACATATAATGACATATAATGACATATAATGACTATAATGGCAACTGCCTATCTTAGCTTACGCCTCTTAGACCCTGGACGAGTCTCAAGTGACCAGGACATGTTTTCAATGCTGAAGGCTTCAGACGGGGAGAAGGCCTTTGAAGGGTAGGGTACTGACGGGGTACTGTATGTGCACACAGGGGCAAGGAAGATATTTAAGTCCCATTGTACTGTATCCCAACATGCGAGTCTTCGACTTCGTTTACGTACATCTCCGCACATGCCGTCCATGTCAAAGGACACGACAGGACTTGGTGCAAACAACTGAGCCGGGAAAGGATGGAAAGGGGAACACAACAGGATGTAGTGATATTAGGAGGTGCTGCATCACTCTTGGCCAGTAAATTAACTGATATCTAGGTCCTACATGGTCCTACTACATGCAATACAGATTAATGCAGTGTGCAAGTGTGTCATTTGACTTTGTCCATCGATATTTTGATAAGTGCATTGGCTCTCGTTTGCTCTTTAAAGAGGCACGGACTTTGGTAAGATGCGTGTTTGAACAGGCACAGTGGACCGCACAGCGCACGATTTTTCCAGTTGTTGGAGCACTTGCAGGTGCTTGGGCCTGCTTCGGGAAGGGGATGGGTTCGTTCTTCCTCGGGCTTCCAATGTTTTATTGCAGTCAAAGAGTGTAGTTTGTCAAATTGTTTCACCATGTTTCACCATGCCTTCTCCACGACAACCTTCGAGAACAATCCTCTTTTGCTTCCTGTTGACTACCACGCAACCTAGTATTCTTGTGCTGCACTTCAGACAATCGCCACTTGTCCTTTCGATCCAATTAAATACAATTTGCCAGTACCTGCCAGTCGTTGACAATCTTGTGATCCCTTTGTCCTCCCTTGAGCGGACGTGACAATAGCAGGTTTTCTTCTCGGGCCTTGCTTCTTCAACAACCTGTGGCAATCGCAGGTTTCTCAATAGTACCGCTGGGGTCCTGGGGCTGGGGTGTTGACGACACCTATTTACTATGCCTATGTGGAACAAAACTGCATATGTTGCATATTTTGTGCCCATACTGTCATGTGCCTTGCCGACTGCAATTGAAAGCACATGGCTTAATATTATTAAGGAACACATTTGGACATAGAAGACAGCCCGTTGCACTAGTCATTGCTAGATTTAAGGGGCCTCTGTCAGATTCCAGCAAGTTGATGGTCTCACATGAGGCTGCTGGGTTGTTTGTGATGACCCTCATGCTGCCCTTGCTGCTGCAGTTGCCGAATCCCGCGACCTGGCACAAACAACATGTCAGAGAACATGTCAGAATATGTCAAAATCTCATGAATTGAATGCAAGATAATGCAAGAAGAACGATGAGAAACTTGACATACTCAGTTCTGCGAGGGCTTGTTTCAGCATCCGCCATTCTCACAGTGGACTCATGCACATCACAAAAAACCAACCGTGGGTCGCCGCAGGTGATGTATGGTGACCATGGTGTTGTTCTGCTTTTGTTTTGCATTTTTCCTGGTCAAGGCATCTACCTATCAGGCTCCTTCTGCCTGGAGCTTCAAGGATTTGAAATCTCCCAACATGAGACTGTGCTTTGCATGTCTGCTCCTACAGGCCGAGCTTGGTTGGCGTTGGGGGATATTTGCCAAGTCGAGCCAAGTGGCATCTAAAGCCCCCATAATTCTACAACATTTTTAGCCGAAAAGGTGCACAAAGAAGCAAAATGGATCAAAAAGGATCAAGAGGGTACAAAAGTCAACTGGCCAGAAACCACGCACAGTCCAGGATGAGTATGTTGAGTACACAACAGCCCTAGGCCCTAGTTGGAACTGCCCGCAGGTCACGCGCAACATTTGTCGCGAGACACTTTGGGGCCCTTCGATCACAAATCGTGGTCTTGACCCAACCTTTGGCTTTCCACTGGACAATGCCCTGCTTGGGTGGGAAGGGTCATGGATCCAAAGGCGCAGAGCTTCTCAAAGGTTTGATTGTTTGATTTGAGACATGCCAGCACACAAACTTTGCCATGAGCATTTGGGACATGTCCAAAGCTATTTTCTGGCCTCGTTCAGGCCTCGTTTTGGCCTTGTTTTTGGCCTCTTTCGGAACCCATTGCAGAAATATTGAGTTGAGATGCAAATCAGAACCCCATAGATTCGTTACCCAAACATACCACAACATATATGAATCATGCGTTCACATTGTGTTTCGAACCAAAAGATGACATTTTTTAGATGTACTTGTTATACTTTGAACATTAGAATTCGATGCGTCTTGCAACAAACGAGATATTTTACCCAAACATACATGAATCATGCGTTTACATGCTGGTGTTTTGATATTGAAACAAATCATCTTGTTAATAGTTTTCCATAGTTTGAAACCATTGGGATGACTTGCGTTCTCATGGTGTTTTGCACATTTGGGATGATAGTCTTTTTTTATGTTTTCTTTTGTACTTTTTTTCAATTTCGTGCTGCGTTTACAATGGGCAAAAAAGTTGGGGTGACTTTTCCTAGCAGTTGGGGGGCACAGTTCCATGCGGGAATGACAGTTGACTGCAACGTTGGGAGACCTTCGCCGGCATTGAGTACTATCTTAAGAGCGGGTTAAAAAAATCAAAGAGGCGCTATGCAATCAAAAATCAATGGCCCAAGGTTTGGTGGGGAGAGGCAGTGTGCATTCCTGAGCGCTCCGGAATGCACACGGAGGGGGTGCAACTGACCCCTCTCCCGTGTGCAATGACTATCTTAAGAGCAGCTACGTACCACCCTTGACTATTTTCAACTTTTTCTGCATTTTCAAAGGTTTGAGCAGTGGTGGATTTGATAGTGTGAGACGAGAGTTGAACAAGCATTGGCTTATTACCTCATAGGGTGTTTTGGGTATTATGATTGATTTTGTTTTCGGGGGATGGGGGCACCATCCCCAGAAAAAAAGCTCAACAACACCACTACATTAATAATTAAAACCCATGGTATAAGCCTGCCTGTCATGCCAATTCAATCCATGTCCTGGTACTATTGGACTATGTTAAGCACAGCCCAGTACCAGAAATGCTTCGACAAAATCCATCCGGGACTTATACTCCATATCTTTCAAAGGGCCTCCCCCCCGCACTTGCATCACTTCTTTCCCATGTATGCGAGCAAGCCCAGCAATACATTCAACTGGGCACAGACATCGGACCACAACCAGCCACAGTCACCACCTCACTCCCCCAGGGAGATGCACTTTGCCCAGCAGCATTAAACATCCTTCTCTCAGCAGTAGCACGACATGTTCACTATACGTTTCGCCATCAGGTCATTTTCATCGACGACCGCACAATTCTTTGCAACAACCTGGCCACGCTCCAGGGCTGGAATGACTGGTCCACACTCCTTGCACTCAGTGAACATTTCGACAAAACCACCATCACTAACAGAAATTCACAGCACCGCAAACAGCTACTCCAACGAGCCTACCGCAAGTATGTCAAACCATACACCAGAGTACTACTACCACCACAAGGCCCATGGACCTGACGAGTTCAACAATGGCTCACTCTGTGGCGGCAGGACGCGCCCATGCTGCCAGGTTCCTAGAGTTGCCTTTGCACAGAGAAGAAGCAATGGGCGGGCCCCCACCCTCCTTCCCAACCTCCTTGCTGACGCGCGCTGGGAAGACTCTCCTCCCCAGCCGGCTGCTGCCCTAAACCTTGGAACCTGACGAGCAGCAAAAAAGAGTTTGGGTGAAAAAACTTATGTAGTTTTGGCATGGTTTTGCATGTCATTTTTTTGTGCTATCTCTTATCGATAGATTTTCACTGATTTTCAGCTTTCCTTGCGCAGTTCTGGTTACTAGCAATGTATAGAATCATCCAGCCAGTTTCTTTGGTGAAAATTTGGCTGCAGGATATCTGGTGCTGGGCCCAGCTGAACTTTCTGGCTGTTTTCGGAGGTGGAAGACGGGCGAACATGGGCGGTCTTGGTCTTTAGTGTGACTTAAGAAATGGCACGTTCAGATTCAGATTTCTGTTTTGGTTTAAATCAAGAAAGCACGCGCTTTCCTGGATTCCTGCTGCATTGTGTGCTACAGTACATACCAGTAGTATCAGCACAAGGCGGTGGCGGAAGTTTCAATGATAGGAAACCTATAGGAGAGTTTGGTTGTTGTGAGCCACGGATGACAGAGCGAACCGGCTGATGGATCGAAAGGTGGTTGGAATGTCGGGCTATATACAGGCATCTGACAAAGTCGTACCTGTTTTAGGAATAAAAAATCGTTGTGCCTTGGGGAAGTGTGTTTCGCAAAAGTCGTGCCTTTAGCAAGAACGCATAGGAACTCTGGAGTTTGGATATGTAACCCGTTTTCTTATGAGATCACGTAGCTGATCACTATTAGCATGCAGAATTCCAGGTTGTGGGTATGTTGATTAGTTATAGGTAAGATGGCGTTGAGCTGGTGATTTGATCATTTTGGATGTTCATCCCAGATTATCTTGTTTTTCCCGAATGCGTAGCGAAGGGTTCCCGTTTATAGTCTGGGGGTCTGGGGGCTGGACCCTTGTTCGCCTCGAGTGGCTCGTCGCGTCGTCGTCGGGTCGGCGTTGCGTCGTCGTCGGGTCGGCGTCGCGTCGTCGTCGCGTCGTTAATTCCGTGTCTATGGGGGAAGCTGCAAAACCTCTCCTTTTCGAAGGTTTCCAAGCAGGTTGTCATATCGTTTTGCGTGGCAAGCGCGGCACTTTGTCACATTCCAACCTGTTTGATAACGTGTCGAAAAGTGTCAAAATTGGAGGAAGTCTCGCACGAAATGCTCGTTTTGCTGCGCCCACGTGTCTCGTCTCGAGTCTCTGGTTTTCCTGTGGCGTCGCCGTGTCTATGGGGGAAGCTGCAAAACCTCTCCTTTTCGAAGGTTTCCAAGCAGGTTGTCATGTCAGTTTGTAGCTTTGTAGTACAAAGTAGTACTGGGAAGTCCTTTGTGCAAGCTGTGTAGTACAAAGTAGTACTGGGAAGTGCTTTGTGCAAGCTTTGTAGTACAAAGTAGTACTGGGAAGTACTTTGTGCAAGCTTTGTAGTACAAAGTAGTACTGGGAAGTACTTTGTGCAAGCTTTGTAGTACAAAGTAGTACTGGGAAGGACTTTGTGCAAGCTTTGTAGTACAAAGTAGTACTGGGAAGTACTTTGTGCAAGCTTTGTAGTACAAAATAATGATGCAGAATCCCAGCGTTGACATGCAGGTTGCACACGAGAATGACATTATAAGAGAGTAGAAAAGCAATATTTTCACCAGTCGCGTTCCATTGTGTTTCATGTTTTTTTTATGTGTGAAATGCATGTTTACACTTTTATTGAGGACAGCGTTCCATGCAGAAAAGCATTTAGGCATGACTTAGGCATGACTTCTTGGATGCAGCGTTTACAATGGTAAATGCCATTCAAAAACACGCTAGGCATGACTTAGGCGTGACATTGTCGTTTCCCTGTATCTCTGTATCTACCTGTGTATCTGTCTATCTATCGATCTGTCTGGCATTTCTGGCATTCTCTGGCTGTCTATCTATCGGTTTATCTATTTACCTCTGCGTCGACATGTATTTGTTTATGGTACCGGGCATCTGAGAGGCCCGCGACTGTTGTCATGTTTTGCATTCTACGATGCAAAGAACATTGTGTGGGGTGTGGGGGGTGGGGGGTGGTGGGATAATAATGTCATTTGCACTTCCACACATATGTGATGCAACATATCTGTACGCTCTCTTGCACTTCATTCACATCCACACATGTGTCATGCTACGCTTCTGTAAATTCTTTTGCGCTTCCACACATACGTCATGCTACGCTGTAGGTTCTCTTGCACTTCCACACATACGTCATGCTACGCTGCTGTAGGTTCTCTTGCTGCACTTCCACTGTGTGTCATGCTGTGAGTTTGTCGAAAAATTAAAGAGACCTCTTCAAAAAGGGGCCAGTACAAGGCTGGAACCCAGTTGGCTGACCGCAATTGGGACCAGCTTAACAGTTGGTTGCCTCGTAGCATAACAGCCTTGCAGAAAGGACAGTTGAACCCAGCTTTGTACGAATACACGTACAACTGGGCATGGAGATGCTCCCACCTGTCACAAGACATGGATTTCGATATTGCTTTGCGTAAGCTTGCTCACCTGGGAGCCCCCGCTTGAAAAATACGTCTCATCTGCTGATGATGAAGGTGAACATGATGATGATCATGATGGTCATGATGACAGTGAGAATAGTTACGGTCATGATGTTGAGGATGATCATGATGTTGATGATGAACATGTTGATGTTGATGTTGATCATTATGCATCTGATGTTGATGTTGATATTGCTGACGATGCTAGAGTTTCCTTTTTTGAGCTTTTTCAATTCCCCCCTAGAAAATGTTTGAAAAGTGACGACAGTCGCTGGGCCTCTCAGATGCCCGGCACCTTGTTTATGAATCTATCTGGGTATTTATCCACCTATCTATCCATTTGTCGAATCTAGTTATCTTTCTATCTATTTGTTTATCACGATAGCTAGCTTGCTACCTGGAGTTGGGTTTTCTTTAGCAACGAATTCAGACTGGACGCAACTGCCATGATTTTTCCACGCGTTCGCATCATGCCCGCGCACCCACATATACAAGATGATATTCACCGTGAGTAATGTGAATGTAAGGCAGTGTAATGCAATGTAACGCAACCTAATGCAGTACAATGCCATGCAATGCAAGCTAATCTAACCTAACGTAACGGTATCTAATCTAATACAATGTAATGTAATCAAATCTACTGCAACGTAACCCAATGCAATGTAATCTACTCTGACGTAATGTAATGTAGCGTATTGTAATGTAGCATAGGGCGCAAAGTAATGTAATGTAAGTAACGTAATTTAATGTAATGTAACGTAACGTAACATAATGTAATGTAAGTATGCAAATGCAATGCGTTGCAATGCAATGTAATGTAGTGTAAGCATGCATTGCAGTGCAATGTAGTGTAATGTAAGGTAAGGTAAGGTAATGTAGCGTAGTGTAATGTAATGTAGTGCAAAGTAGCGGAATGTAATGCAACGTAATATAATGTAATGCAATGTAATGCAACCAAATGTAATGTAATGTAATTTAATGTAGTGTAATGTAAGTATGCAATGCAATGCAACGTAATCCAATGCAATGTAAGGTAATGTAAGGTAAGGTAATATAATGTAACGTAGCGTGCTTCGCGCCACAATGCCGTGCACTTTTTGCACATCTCAACTTCCAAAAGTGCTCCGAACCGGTCACTTTTTAACACTTTTGATTTCGAAATGTGCTTTGCGCCACGACGGCTGACATTTTTTGAGCACCTGAACTCCAATTCTGCTTCGCGCCACAACTGCGTGCAATTTTTCATCTCTCATCTGGCCAGATGGCTTCGCACCCGCCGCTTTATCAAGCCTACTTTTCGACCTTCCGGGGCTTGAAAACATTGGCAAAACACAATCTGCATCTTATTTCTTCTGACTCTTTCTCTTCTCTTCTCTTCTCTTCTCTGATCTTCTCTGATCTTCTCTGATCTTCTCTGATCTTCTCTGATCTTCTCTGATCTTCTCTGATCTTCTCTGATCTTCTCTTCTCCTTCTCTTCTCCTTCTCTTCTCCTTCTCTTCTCCTTCTCTTCTCCTTCTCTTCTCCTTCTCTTCTCCTTCTCTTCTCCTTCTCTTCTCCTTCTCTTCTCTTCTCCTCTCTTCTCTTCTCTTCCCTGACTCTTCCCACCTCTGGTTTTTCACCTGCATATTTTCGGATGTTTCACTTCTAAACTTCCTTCGCTAGTATAGTAAACTTATGTAAATTTCAAGCCGAACAGTGAAGCGCACCGTGAGTTGCACTTTTCACCAACAGCTTTGGATTTTTTGATTCATTTAGAAAGGTTGGTTGTTTTACACTGCTTGTTACATCTTGTGATAGCACTCCGCGATCTGACTGCGCAGGTGTAGTTGGAACAGTGATGTCCCAGAGTTTGCAAGCTCAACCGACAAATCGTTTCTTCATCGCACCTTGGCATCAGATGCATCAGTCTTTGTTCGGCATCTTGTCGGGCTGATAGTCTTGAAATGTATTGAAATAAGGAGACCATTTGCTGATTTGTGGTTTCCATATTTGCATTTTTTTTTCCCTTGTCTTCAGCCTTATTTGGGATGATTGCCTCAGTTACCACTATCTTTGGCAATTTTGGGTATGTCGAAAACAAACAGCAAAAATGTGTGGAACAACATGTTCAGCCGGCGAAGGTGATGCTGGCCTTCCTGTGCTGGCCCCTGTTTGTCATGGAGATTCGGTGTGAGACTCTCCGGCACCCAGGAATGGATAGGAATTCAGGAATCGTGTTTTGTGCCTGTTTGCAACATAGTAAGGGCGGCGATATGAGGAGGATACGTTTTAGGGTTTCCCAATTTCCCTTTTAGTGATTCTGCCCAAGACTATTTTGGTGCCTTGCATTTCTTGGAAACAGGCAAGGTCGCGTGCATCAATGACTAGTAAAGATCCACCCATTGGCTCGCCCGATCCAAGGAAAGCTTTAAATCACTGATGATGTCAACTTTTTGTGCTGCCACCCTGAGACATCTCTCAACACCTTTGATGTGGATACTCGGGTGTGTTTAGCTGCCCCCGTTTTTGTTTTTCCTCTGCATATATTTACTTTTCTATATATATATATAATATATATATATAATATATATAATATATATAATATATATAATATATATAATATATATAATATATATAATATATATAATATATATAATATATATAATATATATAATATATATATAGAATATATATTATATATATTATATATATTATATATATTATATATATTATATATATTATATATATTATATATATATTATATATATTATATATTATATATATATATTATATATATATTATATATATATTATATATATATATTATATATATATTATATATATATTATATATATTATATATATTATATATATTATATATATTATATATATTATATATATTATATATATTATATATATATATATATTATATATATTATATATTATATATATATTATATATATTATATATATATTATATATATATATATTATATATTATATATATTATATATATTATATTATATATTATATAATTATATATTTATATATACATATATATATATAATATGCACAGACACACACACATATATATAATATCATGTACGTGCCAGACCCAGACATTATTTTTATAGCATATTTTTTGCAAAAAATCTGTGGCAAACGGGGGCATATGGTGTGTGATATGTGATACGATATGATGACATGGTTCTGATATGTTTTGATATGTTTTGATTTGATCTGACTTTTTGAATATGTATATTTTAGGTAACTCCTTAACCGCTAGCGATTGACGCGGAGAAGCACACAGCAAATCCATTCTCAATCTGTTGGTCAAGGTTTAGGCTAGCATTAATTACCTTAATCACGCCGCCACCCTGCCATTCCTAGGAAACTGTTCGATGGAATCATCTCCAGCGAGGAGATTGGACTATTGGTGCAGGCGAGAGTTCATAGAAAGCAGGAGCGACCCCTCTGCATTTGACCCCCCCTCATCTTGAAGGGCCAGTTTGAACAGAACTTAACATCCAGCGGAGCCTTCCCCTGTGTGTCGCTTAGTTGTTGATGTGAGGGCCCAAAACCCTGTAAAACAGCAGGTATCATTGATGTGACATCCCCAGAGCACTTGAGAGCTGATATGAACGAGTTATGAGTTGAGTCCGTGCCTCTCGTATGTATGTTAAGATCACTCAAGAGGGATTAAGAGCTACTATGAAGGGTTTTGAGTCACTATAAAGGATGATGATGGGTTTTAGAGGCACACTAAAGGATTGTTAGGCCTTTATAGGCTCTTTAGAGTAGTTATTTGACTTACCTGCTCCCACCCCCAGATAATTAAGGAGGGTCACACCCAAGGGAGTAGCAACTGCTTTCTGGTAAAAAGACTTTAGCTCCAAAGAATCCAAGTGATGGTGTCTGAACCTGTTTATTATTTTGGTATTATGTGTATATAGTAATATATATATATATACATATGTATAATAATAAAGTAATAATAATAATAACACACACACATATATATATATACATATGTTAGTTCATGTTTGTTCCATAAGTGTGCCTGCGATTTAAACCTGCAATTTACAGATTGTCTATCTCCCGCTTCCCTCGTGGCGGAAGTGGTTGGCCATGTTTGGCGATCTCGCCAGGCTTCCGCCTACTTCGAAATCGTCCTAGGCTTCGTGGTGCCAATCACTAGTGGCATTTTGGGCTTTTATGGCTTTGGCAACATTTTCCTCACAGTGACTTAGCTGATCTTAGCTGCCTTAAGCATTCTGCAGCTGCCTTAGTTGCTTGAGCCGAAACAGAGGAAGCTGGAGACAGGAAAGTCGAGATATGTCAAGACAAGTAGCTAGCACAAATGCCTTCTTGAGAATGCTAGTGAGGGCAAAAAGGTTTGGGATGGTTTGGGTTTGCTCGCATGACAGTGCCAGCCACTGCGAGTATCACTCGTTGCTGGACCTTAAATAAGGCGATTTGCTGTCTTTTGCTCCTCATGCTGGCGACACTCCCGAAGAGAAAGGCTGACTAAAGGCCATTTGGATCCACTTGGAGGGAAGTTGGCACACGTGCGCCATTTGCAACATGATTGAGACCAAGAGTTCTATACCAGCTGTGTGCGTTCTTTATCTTTCTGTGGTATTGCCTTAGTGCTGCTAAGTTGCCTGTAGTGAAAGTTCTCGAACATGCTTAGCCTGAAAACATGTCCATAACCTCATGAGCTTGAACAACTTGCGACGGATTCGAAAGGCTAGGGTTTTGAGTCTTGCATGAACTTGATTTGGGAACCGGTGAAATCATTCGAGAGCAAACTATACTCAGCTCAATGTTCCGGGCTGCTGAAAACCCTCACTCATGTGCTACTGCATCCAGGGTCCAGCAATCTTAGCATCTCTCAGCTTCCATTCAGATCAGTCAGGTTAGCAGATAAACCCTGGAACTGCCAATGGCAGCAGTGAGCAGCTGGGGGTGTGTCGTTCAACAGTTTTTCTGCCATTGTGACGGAGAGCTTCCACACCGAAGAGTGGGACAGCCCTTGACATAGACAGGTTGCCACAAATTGTGGCTGTGGTACTATTGGTACTTGGAGTATGTCCTTGTCTACCATTTCGAGCTGTGTTGTCCAGACCCAAGTGTGTATACCATCCTCAGATTTGCTTGTGGTTTGATGTTTGATCTTTTGGTATTTGCCCTATTTAAAACCGTCTCCGTTTGCATATTTTCATTTCGGGGGTCTGGACATTCAGCCAATCTACACCAGTTTTGAAGCGAGTCGGCCTCCGACCAAACAAGGGACCTGCTGTCATGGCTCCTGGGTTGGGGGGATCACGGCTGGGCACAGGTTGATGGTGACCTGGTGGTTCATCGTGGTTCATCCCGTGCCACAGGAGGTCCAGATTCATGGGGAGGTCAACCTGAAGAAACATGTGCAGCGCCTGGTGGCCGCCAGCAAGTACCGTGACGTGCCCAAAACGCAGAGGCCGGTCCAGTTGCACCGCAACGACAGATGCTGTTCTGCATAGGCATATCCGGCATACAGCTTTGCCTCATCGCTTCTGTAGTGTCTCTAACGTGTCTAATTAAGCATGATCAAATCATAGAATGCGCAGGATTTTGAAGCAGCTTTGAAAACTGCTTGAAACTTGGCCTAGCTCGCTCGCTGCATGTTGAGTATGCTGTATGCTGCAGGTCCTATGCTGTGCGAGTGACAGGCCCTGGAAAAGTTGCTGGCAAGTACGAGAGGATGGGTGCACACGCTGGCATGCCGCTCTACCAAGGTGCCTTCATGTGCCTTCTAGGGCCTCTAGGGAACACCAACAGCTGCAACAGCTTGGAGATGCTTAGAGCATTCTTGAGAAGAGAGTTTGAGGATGCAGCATGATGTAGCTGCACCCGGGCTGATATTCCATCAATGTGCACTTTCAGATTTCATCAGGACAGTGTGTTCTTTCGTTAGTTTTGGTTTGAGTCGCGTGAGTTGCTGTATCATGCCGCGAAGTTTATTCAGTTTATTCTTCACAACCATTTGCCAGTTGCGCTGCATATTGAAGAGAGTCAGAGCAGGTACATGCAGGTACTATGCCTTGCCTTGCCCCCATGACAGAAGTTCAGCATAACACTCAAGGCATCTCAAGGCTTAGCCCCCAAGTTTGATCAAGTTTGGCTTGAAGGTGAGCAAGGACAGAAGATCCTCTATGACCCAGGTGCTGTTCCAGGGGATATATGAGGACGACTCACCATGATTCACTATGATTCATCCACTCAACATTGAAGATGTCCCGGTATTTGCAGCACATGAGAACTTCATTGCAATATGGTAAACTATGGTAACATGATGTAACATGTGGATATTGACACAATACTAGAATAAATAATATGAATTTATACATTTTGCAACTGCCTTCTTGGAAACTTAGCTAACCCATGCTAATCCTAGCAATTTTGCTTGGAGTGTTGTGTGGCTTCAATAGTTGCATATGTTGCATAATGTTGCATGTCAGGTGCAACGGGTTGGAATTCCTCCAGCCAGGCAGTGGAAGATGGAGAATGGTCCTGTCGGACGAGGACTGTCCTTTTACGGCAGCAGCATCCCAGCAACGATTGGCTCATGGGTGTCATGACGCTCCATGGATGGTTGGAGCTCCGGCCATATCCCAAACATACAGGGGATTACAGGGGTCTTGTGTAGGTCAGAATGGTTGATCTTAGTGTCTTAGTGGATGAGGTGCCCTGTTTTTTTCCTTTTGGGAAGACTGCCACATGTCTTAGGTTTCCTTGCCCTGATGGCTTTGGGCTTTGGCTTCACTTAGGTACAGCCTGGCGTCGAGGAACCTCCACGAGGCGGCTGGGAAGCACCCGAGGAGTCCTGGGGATTATTGCCTGTGGAGATTTTCAAAGCTGCGCCTCGGCTAAATGACGGGTCCTGCTTTGGCATGAGAATACCGTTAAGGCTGCAGCAATCCACTTGGAGAAATTATGGGTTGCGCAGCTCAATGTCGTTTTGAGTTTTTAAAGTAGATATAGGATGATGTAGGCATATGTAGGCATTGGCAGAATCCAGCTGTGTTTCCCAGCACTCTTGGCAGGGATTCAAATCGTGACAATTTGCGAGCAGTTGGCGCCAAACTTTTGGGTCCCAGATCGCCAAGGCTGTTTCTTCCGTGCGCCCTGTGCCAAACTGCTCACGCGGACATAGTTTGAAGCCTGACAAGCGCACGGGACATTCCTGTCGCTTGCTTGACATTAAGAAAGCGTATCAGAACCAGCAGTAAGCAAAGTCTCCCTTGGTGAGGACATGCCATGAATTGAGTCCGGTTTTGATAATTATATATAATTTTGGTGGGTTCCACTGCAGTGAGAATTGGCCTTCAGACCTTGGGTGTGGGAGAATGGCCGGGCTTTAAGCACTTGAACGCCGTTGGACATTATTGGACATAGGCCATAGGCCAAGACTGTGTGCCATGTTTCTGGGTTGGAAAGGGAGGTGCAGAATGGTTCTGATGCCTGATTATGCATTCATTTATTGAATTATATAATAGTTATATACTAGTTTTTTTTAAATAAAAATAAATAAATTATTACTATTATTTTAGATAAATAAATAAACAAGCATATAAATAAATAAATAAATAACCATATATATATATATATATATAAATATATATATATATACATAATATATATATATATGCACATGGGATAAAATGATGAACGGTAAAAGCATGTCACGTGGCAAGTGGAACCCAAGGGCAGCATGTTTTTGTTCGTTGCAACATGTTGCAGCTGGGTGTTGCTGGAAATGTCTTCCGCAATCCAGGTGACCTCTGTGGAAAGTCTGGCACGGACTATCGATGCCCAGAAGGGACATGTGACTATGATGCTGGGTTGAGATTTGTTGAGATTTCACACATGGTGCTGGTATGTATCTGGTATGTGCTGGTTTTGCTACTGCATGTTTCATCTCATGCACATTTGATGCCATTTGTCACTGACACAATTGAACTTGTTGACCTTGCAAAGTGCAGATGGGTAAGTTTTCTGCCAAGGGATAGACGCTAGTTGGAATCTTCTGCATGCTTTGTTTGCTGAATAATGCATGCATGAATTATATTCGTTCTCATCATTCAGGGCTGCAGCCCACGCAGCACGTGGTCCAGGCCAAGTGCCATGTTTCCTTCTACAAGAGTCACACGTATATTTGCGCATGCACTGCTTTTCAAGGACCTTTGCGCTTCATGCTATGCTCAATCGTTGGGGTCCTTGTTTGGTGCTGTGGGTCTGAGACAGTTGGGCAAAAAAGTCAAAGCATGTCAAACAATGGCCGAATAAATATGCAGTGCATTGAAGGCCAGCTCTAGACCACCATTATAAATTATAAATATTAACATTTTGATAGCTTTTGATATGTTTCATTTGGAAGCTGTGTTTGTGCAGCAAAAAGGATGTCGGTTTGGTTCACTGAAGGGTATTGACAATATTGATGGCTGTGACATGCTGTGACTCTTGAAAAGCCCAGAACAATCCTGTAGAGCACACGAGGCTGGAAAGCGCAGAAACGGAAGCAAAGGGCATAACCGAGGAACAGCTGTCAGAGTTGCTCTCCAAGCTCCAAGGGCAGGCGCCGGGAACAGCGGGACATACTTGGACTATCTTGGATTACTGACCCTCATCTCAAGCATTTTCAGCCAATCATTAGAAACTAGTGATGGAATGTGATGGACAATAATTGATGAATTAAATTGTACATTTGGTATCATTTGGTATCATCTGGTGCAGTGAAACCTTCAGAATTGAGGATTTTCCTTATGATTCAGGTTCAAAAGTTTATCAATTTAGATCCTACTGGTATAGGCCCTTTAAAACACCATGCATTTCTATACATTTCTCATTCTATCCCAAATTTCATCAACAAATCTGATCCACAATCAGCTCCAACAGATCAGGACCCGGTCACTGGGGCGTCGGTCGTCTTCCGGCGCAGAGACAAAGCCGACTTGGGAGTCTTGGCCGCACCAGCGAGGTTAGGAGCAACAAAGGCTGAAAGAATTGCGAAATATGAGGGGAACATGAACATGTGATTTAACTGAGTTAACTTTCAAAGATGGTGATTTTTCATGATTTATCCACCAAACACTGGGATTTAACCATCGGACATTGCGAGCTGTCCACTAGATAAATGAAACTCATATGACTCATATGAATTATGAACACAAAATGGGTAAGGTCAAAGATCGGTTTACTTGGTCTGGGACACTAGGTTGGACTAGTATCTATATAGCTGAATATAGCTGAATCTAAATACAACCCTTTCCTTTTCGCAACTGTCCCCATCATATTCATCTCGTCCTCAACCTGAAGGCCTCCTCAATATCCTCAATGAAGCCTCTACAAGCCCGGTCAGCCTCGCCTGCAATTTCTGAGTGCAGGCCTTTGTCCGACATCCAAATGCCGAGGCACGGAATGGCCCAAGATTGCTCCCAGACTTGGCCACGCACAGGTTGGGAGCGGATCAACTTTGGAATTGTGCCAACTTTTCCCAACTTTGTCTAATTGATAGGTCTGCGGCTTCTCAAAAGCTTGGGGCGATGCAAAGTTGGTTTCACACTTTGAAGCCACATTTGGATACACAATTTCTACATAGCCCACATCGGATCACGGGAAAAAAAGGTGGTCATGTCGAACGCCCCAGGAGCTGTGGCTCGAAGGCCTGGAGAAGCTGAAAGCAAAGCTCCAGGAGGATGCCGGCTTCAGCACCTTGGAGCCAGCTGGAGCTGGAAGGATCTATGGAAGGGTCATGGGTTTATGATGGTTTATGGCATCCTAGTCTATAGCTCATAGGATCCTACGAGATTTTATGGGATCCTATGGTATATTATGCACACACATATATATATATATATATCCGTGTGTGTGTACGCACATGTTCAAAGTGTTTTGGGCTTCGCCAGGCTACGACGGGTGTTGAGTCAGAACTAGGGAGATGTTTTGTGGAGACATGGGACAGATTGGATCAGATTGGGACAGTGTCAGGTCAGTGTCAGGTTTCAGATCTTGGCCTTGACTTGAGGTATGGGACGGGTGCTGGAAACCAATCACCCGTACGATGCCAAACGCTTCAGCTGGCGAAAGGAAGTGAATCTCAACGGTGCCGATGCTCTGGAGGTGTTCTTTCATTCAAGGCATCAGGGTTGCATGGGGTTGCATGCTACTTCAATCTGCTTCATGAAATTCAACGAAACAAACACGAAACAAGCAAAGAAAAGCACAGCCGAATCAAACAAAGATCATCCGGACCCAGTAGGACGCCGTGGAAATCGGACCCCAAGACCTGGATCGGCCACCTGCGGCAGGAGTTCCACTTTGGACCAAAAGGCGCGCTTCAAGATCTTCAGCGGTGGCCTTCGGCGAATGTGTGCCGGGAAGTTCAGCCGTGTGGAAGTGGCCGTGCCAGGTGAGATGTGGGGAATCGGAGCAGCAACCAGAGAACTTCAAAATCCACAAGAACTCATACTTTGCGCCCAATGGCATCACATACAATGATATCGGACATCGTTCTGGCCATGAAATGGAAGGAGAGAGGTGCTTCGGACTCTTCAAATCTCTTCAACGAGTTCTCTGTGTGTGTGTGTGTGTGAATAGAACATAAATGAACACAATGCCAAATGTAGATAAATGTAGCAACTTGCTTCCTGTATGGTGAAACATGGTGAAACATTGCAGCACGCACCAAAATCCCACAGTTTGCCCTCCAGGCAGCAGCGACAAGGTCTGGGGCACTGTGCTGGAGCGGGACGAAGCTGCAGGCGAGCTTTGGTCAATCACCAGATATCACCAGGCATTTGTTTCTGGACCCACAACGTTGTTTATGTTTAAAGGTATCAACTCAAGAACTTTGACCATCTTTGACCCATCCAACATTGGTTTCCCGTACACGTGAGAGACTCCTGACGATCCAATTCAATGATATAGTTTTGACCAATTTGGGGCAAATACAGACCTCAACTATTTGGACATATGAGCACAATCTTCCAGGGAACATGAGCGAAGACTACGAAGAACCCCCCCGGTCAAGGGATCTTCAGATATCTTCAGTCTTGGAACATCTCCACCAGTCTTCACCCGTTCCATGTCCAGGGAAGTGGATTGTGCACTTGGACACTGAAGTTCGGCCATCGCAGTCTGAGCACATTGGCTGCTGCGGGTGGCGGGATACCCACTGACTTTTCACGATTGACCGAGCCACATGTGCTGTCCATAATTCATGTGGGACACCCAAATATGACAGACATGATATGACATAATATGACTTAATACAACCCATCCATACCCATCCTCAATTTTACATAATTTTACCAGAAATAGGTTGCATTCGGTATGCCATACGCCATCCATGATTCCCTGTGGCTCTGAGGGAAACATCATGGCCTGCAGTTGGGGAAGAGCTGGAGGCCAAGAGCAACGGCCTTTGGCATCGTGCGACAGTTGCAGAGATAGGCCAGGGATGGCCTGGGAATGTCGGAATGTGGAGGAAATGGATGGAAAGTGCACAGATATGCACAGATTGCCACATGATTTTGATACATACTTTGTAAATCTTTGAAATTACTTTGTAGCTATATCTAATATTCTATAGATTCTATGATTTCGTCATTTCATGTTCAAACACAATCTCGGCCATGATTTGTGAAACACTTTTTTTGGTTTGACGCCCACCCAAGTGGTGTTTGATGTGACCGACAGAAATATCCTGCTTCAGGTGAGGATGGCACCTATTTGGTGGACTGGTTTGATCGGGATGAAAAGGACCGCGGCTTGGAGAGAGAGAGAGCTGCAACCTTTCTGAACAGTTGTTCCATTGATTGCTATGTGGGAAACCACATAATTCAACATATGCCAACAAAAATGCAAAACATAAATATGGAGGGAGATATATTTGCACGCACACATACATATATTAAAGTATAATGGACCTATCGTGTTCCAACTGGTGCATTACACTTTCCGCGCACCGGGATGTCATGGTCGGTCCGTGTATAATTTGTGTACGGCCCCTGCTTGAGGCCACCAACGTGAATTCTTTTTGTCAGGATCGGAAGAAGACAAAAAAGGAGCTACGGAAACCAGTGGAAAGATGCTTGGTTGGATATGGCAGCAACCATGATGGAACGTGTGGCACCTCGAGAATGCTTGTAAAAAATAAGTAATTGATTACATATATATATACGTATATTTATTGGAGGCACACAACTTGTAGGTGCGCATTGCATCATTTGTCACCATCATCCACCATCCCAGCATGAACTGCCGCATGCTTTACGTTAAGAGGGTCTCTTTTGTACAGTGTCAACTGATGATCTTGAAAGGCTCCAGCAGCAAAAGGGTACAATGCATATCGACGCATGCATGTCACGTGCATGTCTCGCGTGATAATGTGATATGTGTGATAATTTGTATATATGTGATACGGATTTAATTATATGCCATTAAACAAAGGCGGTTTGTTCTTAAATTGCAGTCATCCAAAGTCTCCATATATCCAAGCACTGCACTGGAAGCTGTTTCGTCACTTTCGTCTTTCAGGACCTTTCGACCATCGCAGTTTGGAAGATATTCCTCGCTTTTCAACTTTCCAGGTGCAGATTGCGCGGCGATGATACACGAACTGCGTTTCATCTTGGCTCAATACTCTTCACATCTCTTCACGCACGTGGGCACTAGCAAAGACCTTGCCGCACTATAATGCACTATAATTATACCTTTAAAAGGCAGGTTTATTCTCAAAATTGCCTTTAATTTTTCATGACCTGAAACTTGGAATGGCATTGACATTCACTGTGTAAGATCGCAGATGCCAAGATCTCCCTTTCGTCGCTCCCAGGGCAAGTTGTGCAAAGCCATTTGCCTCGAGCAACCTGTGACGAAGCACGTGAGATTTGCAGCTGGCACAACGGAGGCTGGACGGCTGGAGTCTGCTTACTGTGCTGGGACTGCGACTTTGGTGTGCGATACTCTTCCATTGCAAGTGGCTCAATGTCAATCAAATCAATCAACCATTCAATCTAAAATGACATGATGACACTGGTCGCGAATATGCACACGCACACACAATCATTTGCTTTTACATGTTTGGGTGGTATCATGTGGTATCTATTGAAGTGTTTATATAGCATAATTCCTTCTTGCAATTTTTACACAGTGGGATAGATTCAGTGCAAACAAGACTGCAATACAGTACAAGCAAAGCAGTGCAGATTGCTCTGCATTTGCATCACGCGTGTAGGTCTGGCGTTGCTATGTTTGATTGTTTTGCGGTTCCAACAATATCATCAATATATCAATGGCAATTCAATACGTGGACGTTCCAACTGGAGAAGTTCCTTTGGAGAAGTTCCTTTCAGCTGGCTCTGCATACTCCATAGTGACTCTGGGGCATTGGCATGTACAGTATCAGCGCCCTATCAGCAACCTCTTAGTAAATTTGTTGGCAACCTTTTTTCTTTTCCATGAGCATTCCATTTAGCATTCATTCATTTCCTGCAAGTTTCGACCTTGAAACTAGCCAGATCCGGCCCATGTGCAGGTTGATGAGCAAGGAGTCGGTCGCATGGTGGGTGATGAAATCGCAGAGTCTCTTGGGTGACATTTGGCACCGCATTTGTGGTAAAGGATGTAAAGGGGACTGTTTGACCTTCCCGGGTTCACCTGGTGGCCGCAATGGGTGGATGTGGTATGCGTTGTAGACATTGGATTGTCATTGTTTGTAAGTGGATAGTTGACCAGACATTGCACAAAAGATACCATGGACAGCAAGCAGATGAGTGAACTTAGATGAACTCAAATCAATTGAGATGAACTACTGATGAACTGAGATAAACTGAGATGAACTACTGATGAACTACTGATGTCAGGTTTGCTCTTGACCTATCCTCGCCCTTGGCCCCCTTGAGCATCGCCTCCTTCGCTGGGCCGGGACCTGCCCAGGCGCCGCCTTGTGGCTAGAAGAAAGCTACCATACAGCTACCAATTTGATCCAATTTGTGATGTTTCCTTCAGAGCTACAGTATGCTACAGGATGCTACAGGGTCCTTTTGTTCCCTCCAAGCCTTGAAGTCTCTACGCTAGGAGGGAGGTGTTGGAGTTGGTTGGTACCTCGATCTTTGTGCTACTTTGGGCGGTCCCTCGAAAGCTCAGCTCTCGAAAGTCTTTGATTGCCTTGGTGGAGGCTCAGCAGCTATTTTGATTCGTCTTATTTCTCGGTGAACCTTCCATTTTGCATCCCAGCTTGTGCGATTGAGAATGTTTAGATATATCGAAAGCAGCTTTCATGTCTTGAATGAAGTGCCAGGACTCAGTGACTTGGATTTGATATTTGACTGGTGATGACTGGTGATGACTGGTGTAATTTGTAGTAAATTATTTATCTTGTGCCAACTCGTTGCCACAAATTTGTGTGGCATGTGGCAAATCTTCCCGGGAAGGTGAATCCAAGATCTCAGATCAGGCTGCCATCATTCAGGCGCGGACGTTGGTTGAAGTTTCGGGAAAGTTCATGAAATTTCTTGAAAGGCGTGTTCATCAAATTGTAGCAGCCCAGAATCATCACCGTTCACCCCACTTGGATCTGACATCATTTGACATCGGCCCGGCGACATTTCTAATATGAGTGCACTGCAGCTTGCAGCACTGCAAACAGGCCTGTTTTCAGAATCTTGAGGAGGTGCAGCAAAGGTTGAATAGCGACGTGCGGAAGATGCGCTTCTTGGACTGTTTGTTTCTCCAGGTGGAGACAGAGAGGAGAACATCCCCTGGTCCTCACGACATCTATAGTGTTTTGCTCCTTCCTGGCAGGAAGGGGATAACCAAAGGGGTAGAGGGGTTGACAGTGGCCTGTTGAATGCTGGGGTAGCTGCAGGATTTTTCGCTGCAGACGTTTGTCCTTGACAATCGATTTCAACAGCTTAGGCGACATCACCCTCGTGTTCACCAACAGTTGCTCATCCAACAAGGTGCTCCGTTCTGCGCAGTCAGAAAGTGGACATGCATTCGAAAGCGCGCGTGCAACATGCTTCAGGTAAACTTGCTACCAGACGCTCATGTCAAGCCACTTGGTCAGCAGTTCTAGAACAAACCCTTCTCATGCTCATGATATCTCATGATCGAAAATGATGGTTTGGCATCATTTGGCATCTAGAAATTTGTTTCCTGTACAGCCTGTACCCTTTATCCAAACCCTTATAATCCCTTATAGTTAACCGAGATCCTTCAATGTCCCTTTCCTTTTTCGAAACAGTGGCATCAGTGGCTAGCTGCCAACCCCCGCACTGACAGCACTGACAGTCTCAAGGCTCCTCATTTTCTGTGGGGAAAACTGAGGAACCCCAATCTCCAGCAAAACCATGTCAATCAAACCATATGAATGACACATTTCAATAGATTTCCAACACTATTTACAGTACTGTTGAGAAATGTTGAGAATTTTTGATATATTTTGTTGTTGCACAGTAGTAATGCATGTATTAGCTTTTCACCCTCTTATACTTTGTTGCTGTGGCTCAAGAAATAGTGCGTTACCGGGTTACTGTGTTTTGTGGTTGTTGTAGGCCCTTAGCCTATTTCTACAGGTTATCAGCCGTATCGCTAAGCGATCGCTGGTTTCCTTTCGTATCACCTTTTCGCTCTTCCCTCCTTGTTTTCGCTATGGCTACACCCCCTGCGTTGCCTGCCCCGGGCGGGAACGCCACGGCTGCTTTAGCACTGGCGAACACATCACAACTGGAGGAAGTGGTAATCCATTCAGGCGCGGCAACAACTGAAGGTGACATGAGTTACCTGGATGAAGAGTTTGACCCATGCCGTCAAGATCCACGCAGGAACATGCCAGGTGTCTTGGACTCGAACATTGACATCAGTCAGCTCAACACCATCAACTTCAACAGTGTTGATCAGCGTACCGCCAATGTGGCAGTGGTACAACAAGGTCTTGATCCAAACCTGGCAAACCAGCTCATGGCTGCTCAACAGCAGGCATTGCAGAGTGAGGCAAATGTACGTCACTCTGAGGTCATGGAACGTCAACGAATGGAGCTTGTGAGTGAGGCTCGAGATCAACTTGCAAGCGTTGAACAACAAGCAGCCGAAGAAATTTCCAGGAGAAACCTTTTGTTGAACGAGCAGGCCGCCCAGGCGATGAGTGAGCAGAAATCTGCTCAACTGCAGGTCACAGCGCAGGATCATCGCATCAGGGAACTGAGTGCCGAGCTGACTCACGTGGTCAACAATGCAGGTGTCTTGACATCGTCTGCGGAGAAGTCCAATGCTGATCTGCAGGCAGCACGTTCAGAACTTGCCGAGTACCGCACTCAGATTGATGCAATGAATCAACACGCTTTGAACATGCATAAGCTGGCCGAATCTCAGAAGAAGGACTTCGAGGCAGAGATTGAGAAGCTTCGGAAGGAGCAGAGAGAACTCATCCGGAATTTAAAGTCTCAACCTCTGGAGGGAACTCCTGGACTTATGATTCATTATGGTCCCGGAAAACCCATTCCACAATCCTCGAAGCCCAAAGGTCCAACCATTGAGGAGTTAGCTTCGGGGAGCAAGAAGCCTCAGCATTCATCAGATGCTGACGATGAGCATTTTCAGGCAGAACCTTCGAAGCCACCGGGATTACCCGGCGGTGGACCTCCAGGAGATGACGATGGTGATGATGACTATGACGACAAGAGAGGTCGCAAGAACAAGAAAGACAAGAAGAAGGACCGCAAGACTAGTCGTGGCAGATCGCGACGACGACGTCGGAGAGATCCTTCATCTTCACCTTCATCATCAACATCCCCTACGACGTCAAGTTCGGATTCTGAGAGTTCCTTTGCACGAAAGGTCAAAAGGGCCTTAGAGCGTTCTAGGACTACTGATACTAAGGCCAAAGAGTCTGATAGGATCCTAGTTCCTAAGTTCCCTCAACCCGAAAATTATAGGAATTGGAGAATCCGAGTAAGGGATGCCAAAATTGCTGCTTCTGCTAAACCCGACCTAGCTTTTCAATGGGTAGAAGAAGTGTTCAGGACAGATCAGTCTGTCGATGCCTTGAAGGACTCAGGTAAATTCGTGACCCTGGACGCAAAGCTCATGTCTTCGCTTACCAACATCTGCGAAGGGGACTTTGCACGGCAACTTGACATTTTTAAAGAAGAACAAGCCAAGTCAGGGACACCAGCTAGGGGACGTCAAGCATTGCTCATGATTCATAAACACTTCAGTACAAGTAGGAAGCATGGTGCAGTGTATGACATTGAGGACCTCATGGCTGTTACCTTAGTCAATGATGATCTCAGAGGTTTCATCACTCGATGGGACGCTGTGATCGCTGGAATGACTTCCGAGCCTGACATGATGTGGAAGCAAGCTTACTTTCACAACGCCATCAAGAACTTCAAGCCTCTCTCTCATGATCTGGCTGTGTATGATCGCACACCGGAGGGGGAACCCAACCGCTCTTATGATTTTCTCATGAAAGCTGCGAGGGACTACCTTGAGAGGAGACGTCTGGAGAAGATGCGCCAGGCTACCAAGAAGTCCGTTTCAGGCAAAAGAGATGCAACGCCAGCACCCACGAGGCCGCCATCCGCGGGAAAGCCCACTGGCATTTGCTATGACTTCCAGGCTGGCAAGTGTACCAGGGGAAAGGATTGCCGATACCGACATGAAAAGGCAGACAAAGGAAAAGGCGGAGGTAAGAAAGGCAAGTCCAGATCCAAGTCAAGGGGCAATGGTCGGTCTTTGTCTCCAGGATCTATGAACCAGGTGTGTAAGTTTTGGAAGGCAGGCAAGTGTCAACGAGGTAATGACTGTGCTTTCCAACACCCACCGAAACCTGCAGCTGCATCTACAAAAGATGACAAGCGTGGAAAGAGCCAGAAAAAGAAGAAGAAGAACAAGAAGAAGGGCGATCGCTCCAGATCGTCAAGTCGAGGTTCCAATTCCTCGAGAGGCTCTCAGAGTCTTAAGGACAAAGGGGGAAAACCATCTTCCTCTGGCTGAGCTGCAGTTTGCCTGATGCGCGCTCTGATGATGGTCGCAGTCGTCAACCCTTCGACCAGCACTCATCGCGTGCCGGAAGGCATCGCCTCTCCGCATTGTTTCAACCAGCATTTTGCCATGCCAGTTACACCCAATCGCACTGTTTCATTTGGGGGCAACGATGAAATCTTCGAAGTTCCCATCGAGCAAAATTGTAATTTGTATCCGTGCCAAGCCAAACAACGAACTTTCAATCCAGTTCGCATCACCAAGAACGATCGTACTCGTAAAGATACGATCGAAGCACGAGAAAGTGATGCAATACTTGCAGCACAGATGTTGCAATCAGCTGTCTTTCGGGAGTTGCATGGTAAACTTTGCAAATGCAGCTTTGAATGTGACAGTGATATCGGCTGTCGCCACTGCATCCGTTCCGATTTGAATGCATTGCCTGGACACATGCCTTCTCAGCAGCGTAATGCATCCGCTGAAATTGCATGGATTGCTGACACCGGTAGTGCCCAGGACTTAGTTTGCAGCAAGATGATTCCCGATGACATCGTGTATCACTCTCATGAACCCCTTGAATTAATCACTGCACATGGTTCTCAATCAGCTGACCAACAAGCTTCTGTTCATATTGACTGCATCGACAAAGAAGTTCATCCATATGTTCTTCCCGATACCCCGGCTGTAATATCGGTAGGGATGAGATGTATTCAAGATGGATGGGATTTTGTTTGGAAAAGCTTTAGTCGCCCATATTTCAAGAAGAAAGATGGAACTAAGATCAAACTTGAAGTTAAAGATTTTGTTCCTTATCTGCCATCAAGAGATGGCCAGGTACCCGCTGCAGTAGGGTTTCCGTTTTCATGGGACTCCGCTGCCGGGAACGGCAAGCCTATCATCTCACCTGTTCGAAGGTCTCGCATGTCCGCTGTCGGCACTGAGTCCGACGACGAAGTCGAAGAGGTCGAAGAACCTTATGAGGCTTCCATCGCAGATGACGATGAAATCCCTGGACGTGGTGACGATAGTCTCGAGGAGTTCTTCCCTGGTGAACTTGCGCCAGGACCTCCAGCAGCCATGACACCTGAGGGTGGTGTGGGTTCGGAAGATGAAGCCGAAGCTCCTGAAGAACCAGTTGACGGTCGACTTCAACTGCCTGAACCTCAACCAATTGATCGCGGTGAAGCTGCACTTCGAGAAGAGGCCAGGACCCTTAGGCACATGATGACACATACCCCAAAGAATCCTTTTTGTGAAACATGCAAATGTGCAAAGATGTACAAACCTACCAAACGTAGCAAAGGGGAATCTCTGACTGTGGAATCCCACAAGTTTGGGGATCACATCACTGGGGACCATCTTGTGACTAGGGATGCCAACGAGCAGTCAATCGATGGTGATAGAGTTGCTATGGTCATGAAAGATGTCGCTACGAATTTTCGTTGGATCTATCCTTCAGCTAGAAGTCATGCCAAGGATTGTGTTTTAGCTTTTAGGCATTTCATTGCACCTGGTGAAGAAGTCGGAGTGTTTTATTCCGATGCAGCGCCATCCATCAAGCTCGCTTGTCGGGAAGTTGGGTGGAGGCAGAACACTAGTGTTGCTTATGTCTCTAAGTCGAACGCAGTCGCCGAGAGGAATCTCAGGTCCGTACTTGAAGGGACTAGAGTAAACCTTGAACAGGCAGGGCTTCACCATTCGTATTGGAGTTATGCTGCACGACACTGGTGTATGGCACACAACATCCAGGACCACCCTGAAATCTTATCTCCGTGGGAGCTTCGTTTTGGGGAGAAGTTCAAGGGACCCAACATTCCTTCTGGGGCTCGCATTGACTTTTGGACTGGTCCGAAACTTAAACCCAAGAAAGATCTGCGTTTTGACCCAACTTCAAATCCAGGTGTCTTTTTGGGATATGCCATGCAACCAGGTTTCGTTTGGAGAAATGAATTTCTTGTGGCATCATTGAAGGACCTCATGGAAAAGGAATTCAACGAATCAGTTCAAATTGTGCGTGTCAACCAACTCACTGTACCTGATGGACCGTTTGTTTACCCGTTGAAAGGTAGGTATAAGGCCATTAGGGAAGGT